CGTGTGTTTGTCGTTTGGTAGGTGTTGCGTAACTTACTACTCTACGCGATCAGCATGGCTGAGCCGCTACTCGCCCAACAAGGCTTGCCTCGTGCTGATCCAATTCCATCCTTCATTGTGGCAGAATGGCGCCCGTGGGCGTGGCCTTATCCCAAGATAAAGTTCATTAGGTATTCTCGGCGCTAAGCAGCATTCGCAAATCGTTCTGGAAAAGCGCCACGACTAGAATCATCAAAAACAAAATGATGCGATCAACGAAATATCCACACAACCGGAGGCCTGAGAGCAGTATTCGCGGGGTAGCAAAATATCTCACCAAGCTTCGTATCAGTAGGTACTTTGGCCTCGGGATTCGGCCGAAAGCCGCGAAGGCCGAGCCTGTGAACTTTTGAGAATTCCCTCGGACTAGCCCAGACGGTCCACTCTACACACGTTTAATGTGACGTGCGGGATAGAGGACTCCTGAAAGAGCAGCTGAAGCGCAACGCCCTTTTGTGTGCTGACAGTTTTTTGACAGCCCAGTTAAGCAAGGTAAGGAAACGAGAGCGATGCGCTCGTCAAGAGTTGCTCGTTTGTTGCGCGCTTTTTGTGGACGCTGGAGCCTCGGGCCGTCAAAAACAAACAGGCTGGCAAAATTAGTTGGTTCGCTCAACCGCTGCAAGTTTGCTGCAGGTCTTGTAAATGATTGCCTCCCAGTGGTTGCTAGTGTTGGCGAGGTGCACAAGACCAGGCTTGAGGGTGTGATGGGGCTGGATTGTGCAAAGCTCATTTGTCCTTGTCGCTCGTCACCCGTCTCGGGCACCATCCTTCGCTACAGAGGGCCCAAACAGGACGCGGGATACACGAGTAGTAAGGATGGCGTTCTATAGCCACTTATGAAGAGCCAATGCCAGGACAAATTGCATGGCTATGTGTCGCACAGCTCCCTGCGCCCCATATCTACGGTGCTCGAGTCAGGGTTGCACAGTCAAACAACGGCCGTCGAGCCAGTTAGATGCGCTTGATGCCGTCAACAGCCTTACTGGGCTTGGGCCTGGCCCAGTTGCTGGGGGAAATTGAATCGCCGCCACGCCAAATCCTTTCGCGCCCTCTGAAGATGCGATAGGACGGCAAAGATGGAGCCTCGAGGCAAATGGTGAACATGGCAGCTGAAAGTCCTCTGCTTTACCATGAGCAACAACCACGGATTGGTCCATCGAGAATAGCACGCAGGGTCCGCAACGGATCTCAGTGGCAAGGGCGTGGGCCAGGATTGACCCGTAAACATAACCCGGCGCCGAAGATGGCAAAGTTTGGCATGAGATCTTGTGCTGCTATCCTGCAAACGAACGAGTGACGATGGCATGGCCGGATCCATGCAGCCTTGAAAGCCCGTTGCCAGCTTTTCTTCGCCACCCCCTTAGAGGCCCTCGGGCGATTCATCTAGATCCAGTTATACTGGCCGTCACGCGGATACTAGGAGTCTACAATCACGACGCAGATGGATAAATTGAGTCCGAGGCAAATTTGGCGAGCTAGGCCGATGTCAAGCTGTCTGTATTGCTCGATGTCCTTGGCCAGCGGCTTGGCATCCCCTGCACTGCCTCGAACCAGTGGAAAGTGCACAGCAATTTTGCTATGCGAGGGACTGACACATAGTCAAGGGTTGGCGGCAGCAAGACTGTCCGCTGCCCAGGTCAGGACATTTATCAGCTAATTGTCCACCCTAACGCACAACTATCTATTAATAGGGCCAAGAGCAAACATATGAGAGGACCGATTCTTCAAATGGGGTATTGAGCGCCGGGCTCGGCATAAACGGGACGGGCAATGCCAATCAGGTTACATCGCCCATACAGTGGCGAGACGAGCAACACTGCCATGAGAGGCGAATTAGGCCGAAATGCCGGTCGTTCCCATGCACAATAATTGATGCAATATTTGGGTACCATAGCCACAAGTGTCCCTGGTCGAAGCTCGTTTTGGGGGCTCCCCACGGGCGTGCCATTATATACGCATTCCAAGACTGTCCACGCTGGACAAAAGTGAAGTCCGTCCACTATGAGTTGATGCAACTTGCTTAAGCAAGTTCCTGCTTCCTTCGTGGTAAGACCCAACGGCCTAATTACTGCTGTTGTGGGCTGAAAGGCATAGTGCACCACGGCTGCCGCTAGAATGGCAACGCTCACCTGCTCATGTCTGAGATGTTTTAGCCCGTAGGATGCACTATAGGCCACCAATTTTATCACTGTCTTAGGTGTCTCCTGGCCCAATTTCGCTGCCGACTCCGAAGTAGGGAAAGATTGCGTATGTGGCCCCACGGCTTCATACCAGTGAGCTTGGTCAAGCGAAAGACAAAAAGCAAAGACAAGTGATTGACTACTGGAAACCAGATTGTCGAGGAATAGGGCCAAGACAGCCTCCGCTAGTGAATACATTGGTCAACCCAGATGTGCCTGCGGGTTGCTACACCACCACCATCATCATCACAACTGTTAATAGTACATACTAGACCGGTAAGGGGGTGCGGCCAGCAGGATAGCCGGGAGGGGGCGAGCGTTCTCTCAAACTTGCACGGATCGGCGAACGGCAGACGACTAGCCAGAGAACGCGCTATGCCTGGCAGGGCTGCGGGACGCTGATAAACTTTTTTTTGGCTGGCTGGGGCTAAAAAGCCCGATCGCTAACGTAGCATCCTTCCCCCCTCTCGCACTGGCTTCCTGTTTCTTGCAAGGGGGAGGGCCCGTAATAAGCGAATTGCGGCCGACTAGATCCTTGCCACAGTGCCATCGAACCTGGCGGCAGTGGTTCAATGAGAGGAGAGGGAATGTTGCAGCCTAGAGAAGCTCGTCTCGTCCTGTGGAAAGATGCTCTTCTGTCTGGTGGAGGAGTGCCCATCAGCGGAGCGTCATCGTGTTTCTCCGTACCATGTCGCAGTAATCGTTGCTTGAGGCTCACCGAGACGCCCGCGACGGCAAGGTTGCCCGTTGGCAAGGCCAGGAGGCAGGCCGGCAGGCCCCATAACAAGCAGCAAAGAGGCCACTGGGTTTCAAGGCGGCAGTTTTGGGTGCCGTGACTGTTTTGGTGCGTCACGCAGTTCCGGAACATGGCTAATCCAGATGTGCAACTACCGTCTCACCGGAACCACCACACCGATGAAATACCACTTTACTTTTAGAAACCAGGCCCGCACCGTCGACTCAGAAACACCTTTCGGCTGCTGGGTAAAAAGCGCGGGGGGGCAAGACACCACGATGCCTAACGTAGAACTGAGCTGTGTGGGCGGCGTGATCAGATTTGCGTCGTCTCAGACTGCCGGTGGAACATGGTGTGGTGAATGGGCTACATACAGAGACAACGTCTGTCGAACTGGTGGCGCCTAGCGCACCGCTGTGTAGGTACCGTTGTTCCAAACGGTGATTCAGACAACAATGATTCATAACACGCGCCATTGGGATTCCGAGGCAACAACCTCGTGCTTCTAGTTTCTGTGTCAAGTTATCTCCATGTCGGTACAAAGGTTTGACAGCGGCACACTGTGAGTCTATAGACAACAGAGGTATGCGTCATGTTCGCCTGCCAGCCATGTGGGATGTGATGTACATGCACAGATTCGCAGCGAGGTGATACATGCGGCTCAGTCGTCTACAGCCCCGGCGATGCCAGATCCCAGAGACTTTGTCTTTGGTCTTGTAGCACTCGAGCCTGTCACTGATAGACATCTCGATGGCTGGGTAGAGTGCTACGAAGGCCATTTGCTGGTATTGGCATGTCTGTTCGTAGAGAGAGTAGGCTCGACTGACATCATACACCCCCTATGCGTGCATGCCTTGAGGAGGACAAAGCTAGCATAGCATAGCGCGTCTACCGGAATTTGTCAAATGTAGACATTGGTGGAATTTATTGTCACTGTGCTAGCTTTGGTCGGTGAACGCTGTGAGCAGACATGTCATTTCGGTAGTTGTCCATGGACCCAGGAGGGCGTGTTGATATCTCTGGTCATGGGTTTCTGGGCACGCACCTGGCTGGCCATCGCGTCTGAATAGGTAGCGTGATGTTTTTCCGTGACACGACGTAGATTTGGATCTTTAGTAGCACCTGTTTTGGTGGGCAGTATGTGTCTTGGCTGAGTTGGTGTACCAAAACGAGCCCTACAAGACAGCACCGGCGTGTCCGCTGCGTGACCCAGTATGTGAGAAGAGGGCTGTAGTACGGTAAGTTTAAGACGCGGGTGCGTATTCCCATCATTTAATGTCAATTTTGGATCACAACATATTTGATTGTCGGTTTTGGTTGTTGGAGCGTGGCAACAGTGTACGAAGGAGTAGATCAAGTCCTCATACATGTAAACATTCTGGCTACATTAACAACGTTAATTAAATTTTAAATTGGTAGATCCATAATATGTATAGATTAGATGGAACTGAGCTTGATTATAGGGCATTTACTCGAAAAAAGTGCAAATTCAGTTCTTGGCTCCTGGTGTCACCGCGACAAGTGTCTCCCACGTAGATGCCGCAAATGGTCGCAGTTCGTTTCTAGCATATGTAAATACATCCTGTACTATTCCTTATAACTGTTTCCACCTTTGTAAAGTATGTTTTAAAGAAAGATATTTACTTTGTGTTTTTCAATATCGAGTTCTCGGAGCGTGGACTCGGAGTGGCATAACGCACGAAGTACACTCCTCGATTTACAGAAACCGCGACATAATTGGTACTGAATTACCAATTGAAATGCACTCATTGTGACATATCTTTTAACTCGCTTTATATCTGATTTCATAATAGCTGACATTATACAGAAACACACTTTGTTGAAGTCGCTGTTCGTATCAATATCGCTGCGGACTAGAATAGTAAATATCTTGGCAAATCTATGTAGAAGATTATTTATAACACTTTTAAATTATATTTATGATCCATCAGTTTACTCTAATAGCTGATATTTATCCATAGATATTTTATTGACATTTTTCGTACATATATGATATGCAGTCAACTACTCCCGTCGCCGATAACCATGCCCAATCACACCTTACTGCCCAAAACAAGTCTTAACTTTCAATACGTTTGTTCATTACAATCCCCATTATTTGGAATATGCACAGCTATAGTTTTGTTTTGTATCTGCGTTTTGCCAAATTACATTTTTATACAATGTCGTCGTTCGTTGCTCCGTGACATCGCCGCCGCCCCACCAAACAAACAACTGCAATGCTTCGACGTCACAACGCATCTTCCTGACAAAAACGCAGTTTATCCCACCGCCAACAACCTCTGCCGCCTCGATTGATGCGCAACACAAGGATCATTGTTATCCTCAGCATTATAATTATCCCAATTGCTGCACTAGTCGCCAGCTTCTTCCCTACCACGCTTGCCCACCTCGCCCGATTTGTCCGCCCCGAATCCGACACCGCAACAAGCTCAGCAACAACGGTCGACAAGATGGCCTCGAGCATCACAAGGGCTGCGCCCATCGTCATAGACGCCGTAGGCAAGCACACGGCGACCGTCATCTTCATCCACGGCCTCGGCGACAGCGGCCGCGGCTGGATGGACGCTGCGCAGCTGTGGCAGTCCAAGCCGTCGCTGAGCGAAGTCAAGTTTATCCTGCCGCATGCGCCCGCCATTCCCATTACCATGGTACGCCGCTTGGTCTGATAGTACTTTTATAGCGTTTATTAACGGGAAATGTAGAACGGCGGCTACCAGATGACTGGCTGGTTCGACATTGTGAGTGACGACAAGACGCTGCGCCGGATGGAGATATCTAACCTAGCCAAAAAGCGATCGATTGGCGATCTCGAGTCGGACGACCTGTCCAAGATCAAGCTCAACGAGGACAAGGACGGTATCATGACATCGCGGGCGTACTTCCACTCGCTGATCCAAGCGGAAATCAGCGCAGGCATTGCGGCTGAGCGCATCCTGATTGGCGGCTTCTCGCAGGGCGGCGCCATGAGCATCCTTTCGGGCCTTACGGCACCCGTCAAGATTGGCGGCATCATTGGCCTGTCGTCGTGGCTGCTGCTCAACCAGACCTTTAAGGACTACGTGCCGGCTGGCGATGTCAACAAGGAGACCAAGATCTTTATGGGTCACGGCAGCGCGGATCCGCTCGTGAGGTATCCGCTGGCGGTTGCCAGTCAGAAGAAGCTGACGGAGCTCGGCTACGATGCCAAGATGACCACCTACCCGTACGTTTTTTTATTCCCTTTGGCGGCTTCCCTTTGGCGGCTACTTGTCCTATCCAGGCAGTAGAAGCATGGTATAGCTGTCTGTGTGTTCTATGTACTAACCACCATACTTATATAGGGGAATGCAGCATTCGGCGTGTATGGAGGAGCTGAATGACGTGGAGCGATTTATCGTGTCCAGACTACAGCGTTAGGTTGGGTACAAAAGATAGCTGGGTGAAGGGCTACTATTTGTTTGCCCAGCGTTCGACGACAACAAAAAAATTATAGATTAATTACCTATGCAGCCAACGTTACACGGATAAGCCACATGCACAATTCTTCCAGCAACCTAGTGAATTATTGTTAAAGGGCGGGCAGGGCATGGGTTGTACATGGCTCGGATAAGGCGTCGGCTATGGGATGCCGGGTAGCGGCCGGCAGCAGACTAGCTAGACGACGGGTATACCATATATGGAGAGACACCCATGTTTTTTGTAACATGTTTTCGATAATTACTCGGGGTCCCTGTCGTTTATTGCAGCCTCGCGTGTTTAACAAAAAAAAGTAGTCGCCTTTGCGGGTGTAGATACGTAGACGAGAGTGGGACGGAGTTTGTATGGAAACGGCTAAGGGATGCCGTGAGAGCCGATCTCGCGGGTGGGGAATAACAGGTACCAAAGACGCGGGCATTAAAAATACTGGGGACGAGTGAAATAACGGTGTGATTTTGTGGCGTGGAGAAAAAGAATTGCAATTGGGAGAAATAAATTTTTATATACAGGGAAAGAGATTATCGATACGCTGAACGAGGTGACGGATGCAAGTAATGTTGATGATGATGGTGGTATAAGCACTTCCCCTTACAATGGGAGTATTGCAGTAGCTTGACCGCAGCACTTTAGCATGTCGACAGTGTGCGATTTTGATAGGCAGCATTCACGTAGTCCGTTACTGTGGAAGAAATATAGATGCTAGCGAGGCTGGAAGACGACGTCAACAAGAAGAAGGCAGATCAGGCAGCCGATGGTGCCGTGTTGCCGATGAGGTGTGGTTGGTTGGCGGGCGGTACTTGTCAAGGTGTCTAGGATGGCATTGGCAAGGCAAACAACAAAAAAGAAAGGTTGTGTATTGGATAGTACTTTATAGCAATGGTAATTGAACGATAATTATTTCTCTTTCTTGATAGGTACAATGGCCGCGTTATCTGGATGCATGCATGCAGCAACAGTAAGTTGCACTACGTCTACTCTTGTATACTGCAACTCTGTATGGCGAAATTATAGAGGGTTTGGAACGTGGTATTAGTGGGTGCTGCTGCAACTGACGGCGGCTTACGTGGGCTAGCACCGCACCCCAACGCGTGCCCCCCGGTGGGATGGGAGGCCTGCCGATTCCGAATTTTGCAGGCCGCAGGAGCCTATGGAAAACTCTACGGAAATATGCAGAATTGGCAGAATTGGCTGATGACTGCACATGATTTTTGCCATGGCCTCATCTGCTTCTTCTGCTCTGCTTCTTTACCCACCAGCGGAATCTCTGGTCCTGGGGCTGTTTGCTGAGTGTCCTGCGAAAAGAAAAAAAGGCAAAAGTGGCGCTGGCACAGGACCCGCTCTCGGCACCTCCAGGCCGATGTGGCCACTAAGAAAGTCTCTCATGCAGGCCACCCCCGCCTTCCTTGTGCTGCTTTTTGGGGCGAGGCGGGAAGGTCTGGCCTTGTAGGCAGGATGACCACTGTACGCGGGCAGGATGTGCGCTGGAACGGCGCTAGAATAGGCGGGCGGGTTGATGGATGATCCCCTCTGCAGTCAGTTGGCTGCTAGTGCCACTGCCACAAGGGCTTGGCTACTGGCTGCTAGCTGCTATAAGAGTACTTAGTGGTGCTGGGCTGCTGCTGATTCACCCGCCCCCTGTTGCTGGCTGGCTGCCCGCCCCAGTTTGTTCCCGCGATCTCAGTGTGTCTGTCGCCTGTCTTTCTCACCCCATCCCAATCCTTTCTCCCTGCAATTTTTTTGTCATCATCATCAGCACCACCACGACATCCGCCTCGCCCGCCAGCCGCCCTCTTCACCATCGTCGCCGACTCTCCGACACCTCTTCGATTGTCTGTCGCTCTCTCCGCAAAACAAAAGTCCCGCTGCGGCAGCCGTCTCTGCGTTTTCCCCCCTTGCGGACAATCCGCCTCCTTCGTCCCGACTCACCCTCCGCCTTTCACCAGCGCCCATCGCTTCGCCATTTTTTTCCTGCTTCCATCGAAAGCGTCGCTTCATTGCGTCGCAATCTCGCCGAAATGGCTGACAGCGACAATGAAAAGAGCCGCGCCCCCTACCATCCCGGGGCAGACCAAGCCGCCGTCCACGCTTCGGGAAGCGACGCCCATGATGAATCGGCCCGCGCTCGCCTCCCCAACGACGAGGCCATTGCCATGAAGTCCGAAGCCAGCACAAATACCGTAAGCGATTGTCCGACTTTTTGCTGCTGCTGCTGCTGCTGCTACCCCAATGCCCGGTCCTCGTAGTTTGGCAAGCAGCAGTAGTGATTTGTATGCAGTCTTTGTAGTATGCTAACTTGCGACCTAGGAACCCTTTGCCTACGAGGAAGAAGATGAACGAGATTTTGTCGATACCGCCGCCACCGAGCACGACCTCAACGTAACAGAAGACGATCTCCTCGAAGCAAACGAAATCGCCTCGCAATATACCCTCGAGCAGGTCCGCGACATCATGGTGCGCGTCTACAAAATCCACCGAACAGACCCCAACTTCCCCTCGTCCGTCATTCGCAAAATCGCCCTTTTTCTGGAGAATGAAGACGTCTTCAAGCAGCCCGGCCGCCACCAGCTGCTGATTCAGGAAATGAAACTCGAGGCCGCCCTTGTCACCAGCAACAGCCCCTACGCCGAAGTCCGCGCCGTCGTCAGCAACAAGGACGATCCCAAGATTCTCAGCTCCACGATCCGAACATGGGTTATTGGCCTCGTCTTTGGCGCCATACTCGCCTTCATCAACCAGCTCTTTGATATTCGCCAGCCTGCCATTCGCGTCATGGCCAATGTCGCCCAGCTGCTCGCATATCCCATTGGCAAAGCCGCCGAACAATGGCTGCCCGACTACGGGTTTACTCTCTTTGGCATCCGCCACAGTCTCAACCCGGGGCCGTTTACACGAAAAGAGCACATGCTCATTACGATTATGGCCAACGTTGCCTACAACACGCCCTATACAAACTACATCATCTGGGTCCAGTATCTGCCCCAGTACTTTAACCAGGGCTATGCCTCTCACTTTGCCTACCAGATCCTGATCGCCCTCTCGACAAACTTTATCGGCTATGGTATCGCTGGTGTCTGCCGCCGCTTTCTCGTCTACCCGTCCTTTTGCGTCTGGCCCGCCTCGCTCGTCACCATTGCCCTCAACTCGGCCTTCCATACTGGTGCTAACCCGCCAGTGGCTGGACCCTTTCGCAAGATTTGGCGCATCTCTCGCCTCAAATTCTTCTACATTATGTTTGTTGCCATGTTTATCTGGTTCTGGTTCCCCAACTACATCTTCACCGCCCTGTCCAAGTTCAACTGGATCAGCTGGATCTCGCCAGACCACCGCAACCTCAACATTATTACGGGCATCAACAACGGCCTCGGCATGAACCCGTTCCCTACCTTTGACTGGAACGTCCTGCTCTGGGACTCGGCTGACCCCCTCATGGTCCCCTTCTTCAGCACCCTCAACCGCTTCATTGGCGCCTTCATCTCCTTTTGGGTGGTGCTCGCCTTCTTCTACAAGAACGTCTACAACACAGGCTACATCCCCATCAACTCGAACCGTGTGTGGAACCGCTTTGGCGACATTTACAACATTTCCAAGGTGGTCAACAAGCACGGCATCTTCAACGCTACGAAATACAACAACTACTCGCCACCGTACCTTAGTGCCGGCAATGTCGTCATCTACATGTTTTTCTTTGGCATCTACACCTCCACGCTCACCTACACCATCCTCTACCACCACAACGAAATCGCCATGGGCTTCAAGGCCCTCTGGATCAACTTCCGCGAATCTGTTTCGGATCTCTACCACAAGACGGTCCGTACGGCCCTGCCTAAGCGCTCGCGCGCACCGCCACCTCCAGAGGACAACATTGTCGACGTTCATAATCGCCTGATGCAGGCGTATCCCGAAGTGCCCGGCTGGTGGTACCTTACATGCTTGGCCTGCGCTATTGGCCTGGGTGTCGCGGCTGTCAAGGGCTGGGAAACACAAACAACTGTCGGTGTTGTATTTTACGGTCTGGCATTGTGTCTGGTGTTTGTCATTCCCGTGGGCATCATCAAGGCCATGACGGGTATCGAAGTCACGCTCAACGTCTTGGCCGAATTTATTGGTGGTTCGTGGGTTGACGGCAACGCGCTGGCCATGAACTACTTTAAGTCGTTTGGCTACGTGACGTGCGCGCACGCCGTCTGGTTCTGTAATGACTTGAAGCTGGCTCACTACGTCAAGATCCCGCCCCGACAGACCTTTGCGGCGCAGATGGTGGCCACGTTTGTCAGCACCCTGGTGTGCGTCGGTGTGCTCAACTTCCAGCTGGTGCACATTAAAAACGTCTGCACAGAAGAGGCCAAGTTTAAGCTGACATGTCCTGGCGTCAACACCTTCTTCACCTCGTCTGTTCTCTGGGGCACTGTCGGTCCAACGCGCACCTTTGGCCACTCAGGCCAGTACAGCGAGATGCTGGTCGGCTTCCCTCTCGGTGTTGTCGTTGTAGTGGTCATCTGGCTACTCAACCGCAAGTTCCCGCACTGGGCGTGGACACGCCAGATCCATCCCGTGGCCCTCATGTACGGTGGCATTGTCTGGGCACCATACAACATGTCGTATATCTGGCCATCGGTGCCCATTGCGTACTTTTCGTGGATCTACCTCAAGTCGCGCTACGTCGGCCTGTGGTCCAAGTACAACTTTGTGCTCTCTGCCGCATGGTCGTGTGGTATTGCCATTGCCGGCATCATCATCTTCTTTGGCCTGCAGTACCGCGAGACCGAGTTCAAGTGGTGGGGAAACACCGTCTCCGACACGGGCTGCGAGGACAATGCCTGCACGCTGTATGATATTGATCCGCCACAATTCTTTGGCCCCGATAAGTGGAATTAAAAAAGAGCTTCTCTTTCCTGCAAGTTGACAAGCAAAGAACCTTCTTGCCTCCTGAAGCTATAGCCGAACAGAGAAGAGAAGAGGCGCAACATGGGGCGTACATTTTATTTTTGGAGAGGAGCAAGGGAAAACACGTTATCTTTTTTATCTATCATCGCTGCGGCGTTTTATGTTTGGCTGGTTGGTTGGCGATACACTTTGGAATTTTCCTTTTCTTGGCGTTTTTATATGGGAAGTTATAATGGCTGGCTGATGTTGCCGACAAAACGTTTTTCTTTTTCTTCCTCTTTCTTTTATAGCATACATAGTAGTCATCTCCTAGATGATCTTGGACACGCACCACATAGTTGTACATGTACAAAAAGACAGTTATATTTTATATGTCCCCTTTTCACTATTACCAAGAGTCATATCGACATCTTTTACATTAACTACCTCAATCTCGTTCCTCGATTCACCAACTCTTTCGCTTCGCCTTTTAATTATCAATCTGTGTAGAGACAGCGCACAACTTAGGCCTTAATTTTGGCTTCAATCGCCGTCTTGGCCTCATCTTCAGCCTTCAAGAAGAACTTCCTCGCGTCCTCGATGCGATGGCTCACCAGCGCATCGCTGCGAATATACTCGTCCAGCGCCTTGCCATTATCTGCGACATAGTCTGTCGCCATGGACGCCGTGACGCCGTTCCACTCGCCGCTGGCCAGCGGATCTGTCTTTTCTAGCGCGGCGTACTTCTCGGGAGTCTTCCACCCGGCGTATGTGGGCGACGGCTTGCCCGCGGTGACGGGGCCAAGTGTGTCTGGCAGAGCGGCGAGGCCCTCAAGGTTGGCGGCGGAGATGGTGATGTGTGGGCATCCGAGGTTGGCCATGGCGAGGACTTCCTGGGGTGTGATGTGCGAGGCAATCACCATGATGGGCTGCGGGGCGGGCTGGGAGGCGAAGAAGCTGAGCATTTGGAGAATGCGGGGAGACATGGGGTGCTGTAACATTTTGTTTGTTAGTATGTATGAGCGTGGGGGAAGTTTGCATGGAGGTAGGTGTATACCTGGAGAGCCGTGTCGGCTACGTTGATGCGCGCGGATGGGTCAATGTGTGCAGCAATTTCTAGGTATACAGTTAGATTGATTGGCTAGATGGGTTTGAGGGGGTTGAAGTCACCATTGTAGTAGGGGCTGATCATGACACAGCCCGCCTGGCTCGCAGCTACAGCTTGCTCCATGCAAAATACAGACGTCGCCAGCGTAGCGATGCCCTCAGCCTTGAGCTCGCGCGCTGCAGCAGCTGCTGCACCCGAAAAGGGTAACTTGATGGCATACCTGTCGTTAGGGATACCCGCGTCAGCAAACGACGCAGCGTACTCGCGGCACTGGCTGATGATGGCCGCCTTGTCGTTGAGGTGGCGCAGGGAGACTTGGATCAGCACGCGGCCAGAGAGAAAAGGCACATTGCGCGCGACGAGAGCAACAGCCTACACTAGTTAGTAAACAGACGTAACAAAAGAGTTGGGTAACGCACGGCTTTGTTGTAGACGGTTTCCCAGCCCTGCGAGCCATACTTGGCCACGAGGTCGTCTAGAAGAGCCTCGTTTTCAGACTTGAGCAGTTCACTAGTAATGATGCCCTGGTTAGATGTTTCTGTTGATCAAGGAGTTAGAATAAGATAGAGGTGAGAAATGGGAGGAAGATTACGCACGGTTGTAGGGTGTAAAGGGGAGGCTCTTGACCACGGCAGTCGAGGCATCGTCGACGTCGATGTTGGTGAGCGCAGCGAGGCGGGTGAGCATCGACATGGTGGGCGTACGAAGGTCAGCGTGCTATCCGAATTAAAGAAGGTTGTTTGTATATTCTACAGTGAAATGGTGAAAGGAGAGATTGAGAGGGGGAGTCGTTTTTCGTTCCCCTCTTTCTCGTTCGGGGACGGCACGGCGTGTCCCCGACGTCGGGGCGGAGAGGAGGCCGCAGGCGGCGGTGGTGGCGGGGTTCTAGATCGATCGTGGGGGTCAAGCCAAGTTAGGCAGACATATAAGAAAAAGGAGGGCAAATAAATAATGCGAGATGGCGGGATCATACAGATGCACAATGAGGGGGGGAATACCAGAGTACAGAAAGGAAACCCGTAAATTAATGGTACATGGACAACAACAGTAACCGCATCATCACCACTACCACTACCACACTCGAGCAATATGTAAATGCAAAATACACATCTCAACCTTTGATCCATCTATAAAAGTACACGCAATAATAAAAACCCAGAAAATACGACACGACATCAACAAACCATGCTCATATATCTTCATGCCTTGTCCTCGTGCCCAATCACAACCTCCTCCTCGTCATCTAGTGAAGCGCGCGTCGCTGCCTCCTTGACCTTTTCAATGTGATGGCCGTCCCCGTCTACCGGCGACACGACAACCTCGTCCTCGCTGTCCTTCTCTGCCCCCTTCTTCTCCGTCTTGGTCGTCGTGCTAAACGGCCACAGCCCACTCAGGCTGCGCGCCGCCTCCTTGGCGGGGTTGACAGCTAGTGGCCGGAACACGCTCTTGTCTTTGCTAGCAGAAGCATTACCACTGTCACCTTGCTCTGCGGCGTCAGGCTCTGCCATGGCAAAGTCCCCGAATTCCTCGTCATCCTCGGAATCTGGGCCCTCTTCGCTGCCGCGCCCAACTACATTTCTCCACCATGATCCGCGCCCTTGACCCCCGGCATCGGCTCCGTGGTCCATGTCGTCCTCATCGTCATCCAGGTCGTCATCATCATCAGCAAACGGGTCCACGTCGTCGTCGTCGTCTTCGTTGCCATTGTGGTCTAGGTCAGATGCGTCCACACCACCCGTGTTCTTCTGATGCATGGCCAGTCGAGCTGCAAGCTGCAGTCTAGCTCGCGAGGGCGGGATGTTCAGAGGAGGGGGAGGTGGTGGCGGAGGGGGAATCGATGGCGGGTCAGATGAGCCGCTGGGGTTGTTCATCGAGTCTGTGTATGCGCGAAACTATAGACAGAAAGCGTTAGTATCGTAGGCACAGCGAGGAAAGCAAGTAGCCAGTCAACGGTGGCCGGCCCACGCCCCAGACAAGTTATCTCTTCTTCTGTTTGTTCATCAATAGCCATGTTGCCAATTATGTTCCATAAAATTGCCCTGCTCTTGCTCTTCCAGCGACGTAGCGTCACCCAAATCGCTGCTAAATACAAAATTCATGTGCTTTCATCCCCAGTCTATATGCTAATACAAATGCCTCTTATAAAACAAACGCCACCCAAGCCGCCGTCTATCTGCTGCTCTCTTCGTTGGATCCCAGCGCACTGGCGTTGGAGTCTAGTGCCGGTAGCAAGATGCCATCTACGGGCGTCTGTAATTCTGGCGACAGAGGCTCCGGCGACTTCATAATGACGTCTGGTGGCGAATCGGGCGTCACCGTTGAGAATGCTGGCTCATCAGAATTAGATGGACTCACCTCCGAGTTAACGTCTTCGTCCTCCACATCTCCATCATCATCATCCTCGTCGCTACTACTGCCAAAGCCTGATATTAGAGTGTTCGAGGTAATGGTAAACGCTCCCAGGCTACTCCCGCTGCCGTTATCATCCAGGCCGAGTCCTCCATTTAGTCCTGCTTGGGCGAGAGCTGAGGACCCTCCGCCAGAGGTACCGCCGAGCCCGAGAGTCAGACCACCTCCAGCTCCAATACTTTCGCGGTGGCTCAGAGCAACTTCGGGGCGGACACCTCCCAAGATGGCATTGTCGCGCTCTCTAGTTTCTGCCAATGCACCTTCGACATATGTAATCCAGCCTTGGCTCATGACCTTGTCCAGGACAGTCTCCGACAACAACTCTGGCGGGTGACGCTCTGTAAACTTGACCACTTCCTCAGCAATCAAGGTCAGGTGGCCCATGTAGCCCATGCGCGTCTTGTTCTTGGCCTGCGACTCGTCGCTGACGTTTTGGCCTTCAATAATGGCCGTGGTAATGTCAGCAGCACCAAACAGCGACACTGCTAGTGTCGGGTTGTAGCCACGATCCATTGGGCCATTGAACACCTGCTGCACGATATCATATACAACATTATGGAGGAAGTTATTCCAGGGGTATTTAAAGAAAAATGACTACCATCAGGTTAGCATACAGAACACAGCTTCGGAGCAACAAAGCAAACTTACCAATATTACAGGGACAACACGATGCTCGACAAATTGCATCTTCAAGTAATCTCCAACAAGAGGCTCGGTAGCAGCATCTGCAACCAGAGTAGCCGGGGCTTCCACGGGAGTGGTCTCCTCGGCTTCGGGAACGGCCTTCTCTGCCTTGTCGTCAGCGGCTGATGCTGGCACCGCATCGGATGCTACGGGCGAAGACGCAGCAGCAGCGCTTGAAAATAGCGGAGCGGGCGTGTCTTCTGGGTGAGGAGAGAGCTCGCGAATAGAAGGCAAAGAGTCTCCCGAAGCCGAGGTGGGGAGGAGTAGGCTGCTCAGCTCCTTCACTGTGGTCTGGACAGTGGTACCGGTAGGAGCATCGCTCGTCTCAGGTTCAACCTCTTCAGTTGTAATCTTGGGCTCCGTACGGGAAACATCGGCATTGGCAGCTTCCAACTCGGTGGCTAAAGCAACAGGAGGAGGCTTGGAGGGTGACAGTGGCGCAACCACCAGCTCAAGGTTCTCAAATGCCTGCTCAACAACCTTGTCCTTGGATGCATCCAGTCTTGGCGAAGTCAGCGGCTCGTCAACAAAGTTGTCCTCATCAGTCTTCAGATCGCTCGAGTTCAACTTGCTGCTGCTGTGATCCTCGGTATCGGGGGCGACATCTTCAAAACCATCATCACCGGCATTGGTAACCTCAAGGCGGCGGCCGTCGCCAGACAAGTCATGTGCCATGTTCATAGTCAAATCATCGCCCGACTGCTGGTCATCGTCCCGCGTGGCATTCAGCGTTCCCCATTCACGCAGTCTGTGGCGCTCAGCGTCGCGCGAGTTTATGAGCTTCTCAATGCCTGCCTCGTTGAGGAGACCCATGTTGCTGCAGTGAAGCAGCTCAGCCATGAGTTCGCAGGTCTTGAAACGGTCGAAACCCAGAGGCTCCAATCTCTCGCCAAAGGTCGAGTCCATGCTGTTCTGAGATCTGGGTCCCTCCATAATTAGGGTCATGAATTTGGGCACGTTCTCGGCGAAAAGGCGCAGCAAAGTGCCCAAGTAGATGGGATCTCTGCTGGTTGGGGCATGCTGTGCCTCAATGACAACATCGGGATCGTAGTCAGAGTTGTTCTTGCGAATCACCTCAATGACCACACCAACACCGACAGTTAGTGGGTTACCGCCATTGAGCATATATCCAATAAGCTGCTTGACGCATTCTTCCGATACAAGCTGGCGTGTCAGTTCGTTGGGACCGATACACTGCTGTTCATTTTGTGACGCATTGGCGGAGATGGTAATGATAGCCTTGAGAAAGTCACCAGCAGCAGTCTGGACGACCCAGCCGTGTTCGGGGCTAATAAACGATAGGAGCGTTGGAATAAGGTTTTTGGAGTACAGCCACTATCGTTGAGTTAGTTGATACAGCACAGACGTTCTACTCATGCGATCCTTACCTCTACAATGCCGTGGCCACCGTCGGTACGGTCCAGGGCAATAATCTTCAACAACAGATCCATAATCATAGGAGATTCTACATGCTTGAGCAGATCCGAAATGCCGGTGGGCAAGCTCTGCAAAAGATGCATCATGTCTTCTGTCTTCTTCTCGAAGAGCGATTCGTTGACTTTTGTAAAGTAGCTTGCCTGCAATGGGTCGAGAGGTGCAGGTCGCGACAAAAAGTTCCAAAACTGGCGAATCATCTCGGGGTCTTCGGTTAAGGATTCGTATATCGACCAAGTGTCGGAGCTTAGGATTTCACAGGCAACAAGGGCGTATCGGTTGCGCTTTCGCTCTTGTTCCTCGTGCTCCTCGGCGCCCAATACGTCAGCACCTTGGGAGAAGCCTCCCAAAGCCGAGCCGGCAGCCCCATCAGCAGTATCGTCGCCATCATCGTTCGCGCCGGCTTTGGCAATAAAAGTCTCAAGTTTAGGGGCAACAACGTATGCCAGGAGCTTCTTAAGGATGGCGTCTTCGCGAAGGTACTCAATGAGCTTGGAGTTGTGCTGTTTAAGCTCTTGGATCAAATCGGTCTCGTCGAGCAGGTCTTCGAGGGCAAAGTCGGGTTTATCAAGGATCGTATCGATAGTGGATATGTTGGCGTAACCGCCAAACCTCCAAAACATGGTGGTGTCGTGTGTCGAGGCCGATGGCCGAGGCGCCTCAGCAAGCAGAGAGCGCCGACAGGACCAGGGACCAGTGGTGGACGCGTGTTAGCGCAAGAGGGCGAATGGGGCCGACTATGTGTCGATGCGGGATTTCGTGAGTCGAGAACGGGAAGATGCAATCTATCTGCGGTGCGCAGCAGGATGTCGAGTAAAAGAAAAACGACGGGCAATCTACTTCATCACGTGGGGAAGCCGACAGCTGCAAAACGAGGACGTCCGGGCAAACGAGTTGGACGGAGATGCAAGCCTCGAGAGCGTCGCGCCGATGCAGAGATGAGTCAATGAGCGACGATGCAAAGCGCACTGACGATGGCAGCCCGCGGGATTTGGCGTGGTGATGGGTGGTTGTGGAGGAGGTGGAGGTGGTGGTGGTGGTGATGCTAGAGAAGGACGTGGAACAATGTGCCGCACAAGCACAGCAGCATCCACCGAAGCGCACAGATGGGCTGCCGGCAGTCAAGGCAGCGGCCAGTGGACGGTGATTGGCCTGTGCGCTGGACTTGGGTTTGTTTGGTTGGGTTTTCGTTTGGGTTGGGACACGTTTTCTCCGCTAAAATTGGGGTGTCCCCAGCGGCTGTCCAGTGGGGTGCCAGGTACCGCAGACCGCTGAAACGGCAGGTCTTACAGGGCTAAAAGCCCAAGCTTGCCCAGCGCCAGTGCGGGACTGTTCTGCACTGTAAGTTTAGCGGCATGCGCTGCAACGCTGTCGTTTGGGAACTACTACTTGGGCTATGTTTCCTACAATACTGGTAGTTTCACATATGTCTTTTTTTTTTATCTCTTTGTACCGTTTTCTTTTTCATAGCTGCTGCACATCTTGTCCAACGTTAATGTATTTTACACTATAAAGAACCCCTGGTCCTTTGACCCCTACAACCAGTTTACCCCTTTTATGCCGGATCGGCAGCCAAAAGCAAGCACGCGCTTACGCTAACACCCGCTGTAAATAGACTGTAATAACATGGGAAACCCTGCGCTGAAGGAACCAGACTATCGAATATTGGCACAGGGTCTAAAGTAGCCGTTTTGTTTTGGTATTTGTATTGTACAAGTTGTTGTATTTATCATGTAGTATGTACAAGCTGCTTCTCTTACAGCCCACTATATCATATTCATCACCACGAGGCCCCGGTCCAGCTCAACGGCTATGGCGCTGTCTGGGGGCGAGCCTGCTATCAAATCCTTCAAAACAACACCGCGCCACCAGGTATACCAGTCGGCAACCTCGCTGAGATTAACTTCACCAAGCGCAAGCCACTCGCGAAGCTTTGCGCTCCACATTGGCATCAGATGCTGCGCCAGGACCTCACCAACAACAGCTTCCCCCAAGAGGCCTTGCCATTTCAGCACGCCTGTCAATGCAGGGAGATATGGTTCTTGGTCTGCTGGGTCAACTTTGAAGTTGCGAGCCACGTATTTGCCCATGGACGGTAGGACGTGGGACATGATGAGCGGCCGCCATTGATCTCCCAGAAGCTCTTTCCACTGTGTAAGTCCGGGAATAAGACCTCGAGAGTAGTCCCATGAATCCACCACATGGCGGAATTTGCGCTTGACATCTGCCAGCATACCAGTGCCTTTGGGATCAAGGTGGTGCGCTGGTAGGTGTGGAAGCCACGGGAATAGCCACGTATGTGGCATGTGCTCGTTTGACTTCCTCATGCGCGGGTTCCAGCTCGACAGCATATCGTCCAGTTTGCGGATAATGTTCTCTAGAAATTGTGCACGCACAAACGGAGGGAGCAAGTCGCTCCAGTGCTCGAAAATACTCAGCATCGGCGCGGCATCAAAGGCATCCCAAGTGCGTGACGCTGCCAGAACTTGTGGTAGCCAGCTTTGGTACATCATGGTTTCGTAGGTTGTAGTCGCTTTGTGGTGTCGTCGATATACGCCGTCATTGTCTGTGGCCATAGCGTTCCACTTGTCAACGCGGCCACTAGGCACATCTTGCGCCATGAGAAGTGGTGATATGGCTTTGAGCTCTGTGGTGAAGCGGCCAGGTTCGGCAATTGGATCCCAGTTCTTGAAAAACGGGTGAATCGCAGCGACGACAATGTCTGATATCTCGGGCGTAACAGCGCCCATATCTGACACCTTTTGTAGGGCGGTTGTAGCTTGTTCCCACGATGCTGCTGCTAGGAGCTCATCGGAGACTAGTGATGAAAAGACTTGCAGCTTATCAAAGTCGGCCTGCATCTCATCCACTTCCTGTTGTTTCTCCTTCAGCTCCAAGCTAAGCCAAGTTTTGCGTTCTTCCAGGCTGCGCCATTCTTCTGAGAAGGCTACCAAGTCAGCCTGTGCACGCTTTACCAACTTTCGGGTTTCGATAAGCTCTGCCGACTCTGGCTCGGCTGCTGTTGTAGGGGTCATAATACCAGTAGCAGATGTCAACATCTTGCCGCCGGGGCCAGTCATATCCAAAATAGGCGCAAACGCTTCGGGTATGTGCAGGCCGGGAGCAGTAGCTTTGAGTTCCTCTGCAGTCACATACTTGGGCTTTTGCCCTCTCGGTGTACTGGTGCCACTGCTACTATACGCATTGCCAAGTCGCTTCTGTTTCGCCTTGGCCTTCTTCTTCCTCTTTTCTTCTTCAGAGTCTGATATCGTCTCGCCTCGCGCTGCGGCCTGTCTTTTTTCTTCTTGCCTCTCCTGTTCAGACTTTTCTTTAACAGCACCTAAACCGGCTCCCTGGGGTCGGAGGTTGGCCTCGATAACAATGCTTCGTCCCTGGCCTTCCTTACCGAGACCCTTGCCCTCCACATAGCCCATTTTGGCCATCATTCGGGCACCAAATGAGCTTGCATTAATCTTTCCACTAGTGCTAAAGGCACTTTTTTGTGGTTTACTGCGTGGTGGCGGGGCAGGCTCATCGTCAGGTGTATTCAGAACTGGCGCGGCGGCGGAAGATGGTACAAAGCCGACTCCCAAAACACCGCCTCCTTTAAAAGAAGTCCTTATTTTGCTCGCCGGCTTCGATTCGGTCGAAAACGATGGCGGCACAAAGCTACCGATACTGTTTGCCATACCTCCAAATCCTAGGCCAATGCCAGCACGACCATCCTCGTCATCGTCATCATCCATATCCGCGTCGCTGTCCTTGGCGGCTCCATTTCGGAGAGTCGGTCGAACATTGTCGGATTCTGAATCGTCGTCTTCGTCGCTATTCTTTTTCTCAGTAGTAGTAGATACAAAGTTCATAGCCTTGCTGCGCAGTGGTTTGCGCTTCCACCGCGATCCGGGTTTGTCGTCCTCGCTGTCCGATCCAAAGATGCCAAGGGCTGCTTTTTCTTTACTATTACCCCCAACGCGCCGCTTCTTTCGCGGATTGTAATCACCAAACTCGCCATCGTCAATATCTTGACCTGGCAGCGGTCTCTCGTCCTCCGAGTCTGAATCCGAAGATGAGTAGTCGGCTGCAGTCGCCTTTGTTAACCGTGAAGGATCAAACGGCGGGCGAAAGGATGCCGACATTGTGTGAAGTATAAAATCGAAACGACTCCCTATGAATTGTTGCTGAAGAAAACAAAAACAAAAACTAATACATCATCCTTGTGGTGCGCAGGGCGTCTATGAAAGATGGAGCGGAGCTACTGCTGCCTCGAGGCTGATCGCGAGACTACATCGAACTGTAGGTTGGTTGTCATATTTTATCTTATCTACACGTGATTCAGATATCTGCCCCTCCAAAGCCACCCCCTGGGGCACTTATACGTCAGTTGGGCTCTGGCCTAGACAAGGGGCAGTACGTTAAAGCAACGAAAGGTTGAAAAAAGAAAGAAAAACATTGTAATCTTACTGATTTAATTTAAATGTATACAGAAAATTCTTTTTGCAACTTTCTTCTATCCTATGGCTTGTATAAGCAGCTATCCTCATCATTGACTCGTTACAGGCGTTACCCCGGCGATGGGGCGGCGGCCACACTGTAGTCAGGTACCCAAAACATGGGCAATGTTTATGGTTATCGGACACTGTATTTGGCCGTCAATGCGCTGCGTCTAGAATGTTGAAAAAATCAATTTAATACAGGGGACAAATCACTAGTCGTAAAATCGCATAAAATGTTAAAATTAGCGTCTGTAGTCTGTGCGGAGCGCAAATGTCCCGTGTCCAATATCCAATGTTCTACCTTATGTAAGGGTCCCTTTGTTGCCATTGGGGGCCACCGCCGCGTTTTGTCCACAGAGCCCATCAGGTGACGGATGGGTTGTTGACTTTACACCTTTGCTCTCCAACTGGCGAGAACTTACTACGCGACAACATCGATTATACCCTATTGCATTTGCTTTTGCAATTCAAGTCTGCCAAAGACGAATAATACACCACGTGCAGTAGCCGAACACAGGACAACGCAACGTATACCCCGAAGCAAAGCCGTTTGTTGATCACCCCTCTTTCTTGCTCTTTATCAACGGGAGCGAAGCAGGCGCAATACAACAAAACAAAGCAGCCCTTTCCCGAAGTACAGCTGTCGATATTACTTTCGACCATAGGAGTCACCGAGAAGCTGTTCGGTAACATTTTTTAGCTGTCTCTAGTATGTTGCCCGTGCATCACCCTTTTCGCATTATGCGCTGCTGGACGGTCCTTGTGCCCTCCTGCTGCTAGCCGATATGAAGATAGTCCGAAAGCTAATACTGAAGACAGCACTCTCTATAGCAGCACAGCCGATACATAGCAACAAGTCAGCCGACCAAAAACGAGAGAAATCGAACAACCGCGCCGCTTCCTCGTCACACACCGCCACCATGGCTGACCAGCAGGAGGACTACAGTTCTCTCCCGCTCACAGAACGCTTTGTTCACAAGGTATATTTTACATGAGAAAATCTATTTCACCCGTGAGTAACGCTAATACTGATTCGCTGGGCCCATAGATTTGGAAGGTTCGAAAAGAAGCATATGAAGATGCCGCCAAAAAGTTCGCCCTTACCCCCGATGAGTCCGATCCGATATTCCGACCGTTTCTCAATGATGCTGGCATGTGGAAGGGTGCCGTTGCCGATTCCAACGTTGCTGCTCAGCAAGAAGGTGTCGCATGTCTGTGTGCGTTTCTCAAATACGCTGGCCGAGATGCCTGTATTCGCACAAGAGGACACACAATCACACCGATTGTCGAAAAGTGTCTATCATCATCCAGAGCAGCAACAAAGCAAAACGCTGTGGAAGCGCTACTCCTTTACATTGAGCTGGACGTTTCAGCACCAGTAATTGAAGATGTCCTGGGCGGTCTATCCAACAAGGTCCCTAAAAATGTCGCGGCTACACTCAATGCCATCAACCAGCTAGTCCACAACTATGGTTGTAGAGTAATTGACCCGAAGCCCATTTTGAAGGCCTTGCCCAAGGCATTTGGTGCTGCCGACAAGAATGTGCGTGCAGAAGCAACGAACCTGACTGTCGAACTATATCGATGGCTGCGCGAAGCCATGAAACCCCTCTTCTGGGGAGAGCTTAAACCCACCCAACAGACCGATCTCGAGGCGCAATTCGAAAAGATCAAATCAGAGCCCCCTCCACAACAAGAACGTTTGCTGCGATCTCAGCAAGCAGCAGCCGAAGCTGCTCCAGCCGGTGGCGAGGCGGAAGAAGAAGCTGAAGATGACGCACAAGGAGAAGGAGAATGGGATGCATTTGCTCTAGCGGAACCGCAAGACGTCCTCAAGAAGATCCCACCCAACTTTAGTGAGATGCTTGGCTCAGCCAAATGGAAAGATCGCAAGGAAGCGGTTGATGCCCTCCACGCTGCTCTTGATGTTCCGCGCATCAAGGAGAGTGATTTTGGAGAGGTGGCTCGTGGCTTGGCCAAGTGCATGAAGGATGCCAACGTTGCCGTCGTTATTCAAGCAGCTCTATGTATCGAATCGCTGGCAAAGGGTCTCCGAGAGGGATTTTCCAAGTACAGAGCCATTGTTATGCAGCCAATCATGGACCGACTCAAGGAGAAGAAAGCAACCGTTGCCGACGCTCTTGCGGCAGCATTGGATGGAGTTTTCGAGGCCACCAGCTTGACTGATTGTTTCGAGGACATTACCACGTATTTGGGAAATAAGAACCCTCAAGTGAAGGAAGGCACTATGAAGTTCCTAATTCGTTGCCTGCGAACGACAAAGACGGTCCCCGCCAAGCCGGAAATCGTGTCTATCTGCGACTCGGGCAAGAAGCTGCTCTCAGAATCAAGCCCAGTTCTGAGAGATGGTGGAGCTGAGATTCTTGGTACCGTCATGAAAATCATTGGTGAGAGAGCCATGACGCCTCATATGGAGAGCTTGGACGAGATCCGTAAGACCAAGGTCAAGGAATTCTTTGCTACGGCAGAAGTCAAGGCCAAGGAAAAGCCCAAGGCGCCACCTCCCGCTGCTAGAGCCCCCCCTGCTGGCGCTAAGAAGGTCGTCCCAGGCAAGCGACCTGTTGCTAAGAAGCCTGCTGCCGCTCTGGCTCCAGAGCTGCCCCCCGCCGCTGCCCCCCCGAGAGCTGCTGGCCCTGGAAGCAAGTTGGGTATGCCCAAGCCTTCTGGCCTTGGAGGGCTCAAGGGACCACAGAAACGCGCTGTTGGTGGCGCTGGCCCGCCATCCCCACGAAGACCAGCTGCTGGGCCTCCCATCATGCCGTCTGACGATGACATGGGAGCCGCACCTCCTCCTCGCGCTGGTGCGTCGCGTGGCTTAGCAGGCCGCTCACTGGCTAAACCCGCTGCGGCACCTGCTGCTATGCCTCCAGCATCGCCCCCACCTTCAAGCGGCTTGACAGCTGTCGAACGGGCGGAATTGGAGGAACTTCGCGCTTCAAACGAGAGATTGTCTCGACAGGTGGATGACATGAAACAAGAGAGAAGCAAGTTCCTATCTGAGATTCAAGAGCTCAAGAACCAAAACGCTGGTCTCATTGAAGACCACACCCGTGATGTTCTGAGCATTAAGGCCAAGGAAACACAACTCGTTCGTGCTCGCAGTGACGCTGAAGCGACCGAGGGGGTCAATGATAGACTCCGTCGTGAGCTTGAGCGCTTAAAGAGGGCACTCAGCCGAGCCGAGACCATTGGAGGCGGTTCTGATATCGTCAGTCCAGGTAAGCTTTTGTTCTTGCTGGGAAGATTTACTGAACATTCGCTAACTTTTATTACTAGTCATGTCACCAACTCACGACGAAGCTGGCATCTATCACGATGGAGGCCATGCGGCACTTGCTCGCAACAGAGCCAGTTACGCCAGCAATCTCTCAGAGGAGAAGGAAAATGGCGAGGTTTCTTATCCTCGTAGCAAGCTGGCATCCGAGATGAAATATGGCGCAGGGTCGGCATCGCCAGGCAGAGCATCGCCAGCTCGTGGCTACCGCCCTGCTGCTCAGTACCGGGACGAGCATGCCGAAGCTGCGCCCCCTGTAGCACGCGAACGCCCTGTCTCTTCACTACCTCAGCCAACAAGCAGCAATGGCGGCGAAAGCTGGAGAAGAGCAGCAGAGGTCACAAGCCAGCTTAAGGCAAGAATTGAACAAATGAAGGCCAAGCAAGGTTTGGCAAGACCGTAGATTAGAGGTTGACTGAGGCATAGGCGTGCCCTTGTGGACTATTATCTTTAACTGAGTGCATTTGCAGGCGTTGGACGCATACCCCTTGATGTTTGGAGTGGCGGTTAAAATTACGGGCTTACTGGGCTACGGTAGATGTGGTATACTTGTTGCGTAATACAAGTTGTAATAATTGTCTGTGATAAATTGCTGTGCCTGTTTGTTTTATTGCTCTATCAAAAGTTGTATTTGTGGTCATGGGCAACTTTATGTAAGTTCGAGAGTCAACTTTGCTCCCCTCAGCACAATTTCACCCTCAATGCCCAAATTATTTTACTTTCATCAAAACATATATCTTTTAATATGACAAGTAGATCTTCATTTCCTTATTTATTCCTAACTTGCCATAGGTTTCTGTCCATTCATGATTACTGCCAGTGAGCTATAGGTTAGCTGTCCCTTCACGTGACCGCACCATACACATCATCCCCAGTGGCACCACTAGGATCTTGGCAGCAAACGCGCTAGAACTTCGGTGTGCTGGGGGAGGCTGCCCCACCACAAGCTTCCCTGATTGGCGTCTCACACGTCATTGCGGCGGACTTTGTAGCTTGACCTGCCGCCCAGAGGCACATTGCGTCTCTTTGTTTCTAGCCTAGCCCAACCATCCGTGCACAAGACGTCATCCGTTGTTGCTGTGCAGAGAATCCCATTTTACCTACACTCTAGCATCCTCGCATTGTTTCAACTCCTACTATATCCTTATAATCTCTTATTCTTACCCGTGGAAGTCGTCCACCAACCCCACCGCCTCGCCGACCTCTACATCTTTCTCTTTTGCTTTCGACAGTTTTACAGCTCGAGCGATCCCCTCTGAGATTTACGAAACGTGCCAGGCACGATCTGACGATGCCAATTTACCCTAAATAAGATATCTACGACCTATACTGCACAACCACCCATCTATTCACGCCCCCTCTCGCCCTCAACCTCGGCCGTTACATCGTAATCCGCCAAGATGTTGGAGGGTCTCGTGGCCGGGTTGCTTAACCGCTTCCTGGGCATGTACGTTAAGGACTTTGACCCTACAAACCTCAAAGTTGGTATCTGGTCTGGTGATGTCAAGTTACGTGATTTACAATTGCGCCGCGAGGCTCTTGACCAGCTCAAGCTTCCCATTAACGTCATGCACGGACACTTGGGCGAACTTACACTAGTTATCCCATGGTCTAACCTTCGCGGTGCTCCCGTCAAGGTGCTGATAGAAGATGTCTACCTACTCGCAAGCCCCAAGGAGGAGGCTGCCTATGACGAAGCCGAAGAAGAAGAGCGCCGGCAGCGTGTCAAGATGGAGAAGCTCGACAATGCCGAGCTGCTAAAGGAGCGCAACAAGGAAGGCATGAGCCAAGAAGAGCAACAGAAAAACCAAAGTTTTACGGAAAGTCTGGTAACCAAAATTGTTGACAACCTGCAGGTCACAGTTAAGAATATCCATATTCGATACGAAGACTCCATCTCCGCGCCGGGACACCCTTTTGCTCTCGGTGTCACCTTGGAGGAGTTCAGTGCCGTAAGCACTGACGGCCAGTGGAAGCCGACATTTATTCAAGACTCAACCGACGTTACGCACAAACTTGCCAAGCTAGGCGCACTTGCAGTCTATTGGAACACCGACACAGACTTATTTGTGAACCCAGATAGCGAAAAGGAACCTGCGGTCGAGCCAGAACAGATGGTAACAAAGTTTAAACGCTTGGTTGGAAGAGCTCACACGACATATGCTGGCCATCAGTTCATTCTGAAGCCTGTCAATGGGCAGGCGAAAATTGAAATGGACAAGACTGGCGATATAAAGGTACCCAAGTTTAAAGCGACGCTGCTATTCGAAGAAATCGGTCTTGTACTCGACGATGATCAGTATCGCGATGCGCTGATGATGGTCGATCTGTTCCACTACTTCCTTCGACACCAAGAGTACAAGGCTCTTCAGCCCAAGGGAGTCACACCAAAGGAAGACCCCCGCGCATGGTTACAGTTTGCTGGAAAAGCAGTATTGGACAAGATTCACGAGAAGAACCGCCGATGGTCCTGGGACTACTTCCGTGAGCGACGTGATGACCGTATCAGATATATTGAGCTGTTCAAAAAGAAGAAGCAACAACAGCAGCTTACGACCGAAGAAAACGACGACCTGAAGAAGCTTGAGTGGAAGCTCAACTACGAAGACCTACGTTTCTGGAGGTCATTGGCAAGAAATCAGCTAAAGAAAGAAAATGCCGAAGCCCTGAAGAAGCAACCTCAACAAGAAGAGCAAGGTTGGGTGGCCTGGATATGGGGTACAAAGCCACAGGGAACCGTAGCCGAAAACGAAGAAAACACCCAGATGACTGAAGAACAGCGAAAGGAGCTGTACGATATGATTGACTGGGATGAGAAGACGGCACTCACAGAATCAATCGATGTCCCTCGCGAAGCGGTCAAGTTCTGTCTCGAGGCATCTCTCAGCACTGGAAGTTTCACGCTGAAAAAAAGCCCCAATGACAATCCAGTTGATCTGCTCAGCCTACACTTTGATGTGCTCAAGGCCAAGGCGTTACAGAGAAAGGACTCGACCTTGCTTAATATCAGCCTGGGAGGTCTCCGTGTAAATGACGGAACTACACCCAACAGTCTGTACCCCGAAATTGTTCACGTCAAGGATGCGCCAACTGTTAAGAAACCAAAGAGGCTCTCTCTTCTAGAGCTTGAAAAGACCGAAGAGGAGCCGTTCTTCTTCTTCGAGATCGAGAAGGACCCCTTGGAGAAAGAAGGTGACATCGCTGTCGTTGCTAAGCTAAAACCCCTTGAGGTTGTATGGAACCCCAACTTCATTGTTGGCATCGTTGATTTCTTCCGGCCACCGGAGCGGCATATGGATTCCATTAATGCTCTAATGGAGACTGCTGGAGCTACTGTCGAAGGCATTCGAGAGCAGACACGCGCCGGTCTTCAGTTTGCTCTTGATGAGCATAAAACAATTAATGCCGAGCTAGATCTACAAGCTCCGCTCATTATCGTTCCTGTCAGCATTACGACTGAAGATGCCACCTGTCTTATTGTTGATGCTGGTCATATCCACGTCCAGAGTGAACTTGTGGATAGAAGCACATACAAGGAAATGAAATCCAAGCAGCAACAACTGGATAGTGCTGCTGACTTAAAGAGGCTAGAGTCTGCCATGTATGATCGATTTCTGGTTAAGCTTACCTCGACACAAGTTCTCATAGGTCCAACTATTGAAGAGACGAAGTCGCATCTTGTGGTTGCGGATGGTTTCTCCCCGTACCACGTTGTTGAGCAAATCAATGTTGATTTCGTCGTAGAAATCTCCATTTTGCCAAAGGCACCCAACCTCACTAAACTCAAGGTATCTGGCCACTTACCATTGCTTCACGCCATGTTTTCAGACTCCAAGTACAAGAGTCTTATGCGGGTGATTGATGCCGCCATACCAAAGCTCGACGACGACGCACCGCCGCCATTACCAGCACCAGAGCCAAGCAAAGAATCCGCCAAACCCCGTCCTTCAAGCGCTGTATCAGAGAAATCACGCCGAAAGTCGATAAAATCGCGTCGACGGTCAAGCGCTCACCAAGTCTTGCAACCGAGCACGGCCGTTATACTCGAAGACTTGGATGATGACGAGGAGGAAGATTTTGAGGATGCCGTTGACGGTGCCGACAACGAACACCTAAAAATTCAGCAAAGGATGTTCCAGTTCAACTTTACAGTTGATTCTCTCAAGGGCTCATTATTCCGAAGTGACCCAGAGAGAAAGAAGCCCGATGTACTGCTTGTTGAGCTTGTTGCTGAGCGATTCGACCTCGAATTCTACACACGGCCCTACGACATGGTAGCAAATGTGTCCCTTGGCGCTGTGACAGTGGATGATTTTGTCGACCAGACTTCACCAGAGTTCAAAGCTATCATTTCATCAGGTGATAGCGAAGATCTTAAAGCTGGACGTAGCTTGGTAAGCGTCAAGTTCACCAAAGTAAAACCGTCATCCCCTGAATTCATGCCAGTCTACGAAGGCGTGGAAACGAATATTGTCGCTGCTGTTTCTACCATCAACGTTGTCGTTACCCGCAAGACCCTCTTAACGCTACTAGACTTTATCTTGATCACCTTTACGAATAACAACGAGGAGCAAACAGATGCCGTTGCACTCCAAGAGGCTACACCAGACGACAGTAGCGAGGACACTGATATTGAAGCCAAGCAGAATGCTCAAGCAGGATCCATCAGAGTCAAGGTTGACCTGAAGAGTATTCGCCTTATTCTGAATAACGATGGCATCCGTTTAGCCACCCTATCATTCAATAAGGCAGACGCCGGAATTTTCCTCCGAGGAAAGACAATGAGAATATCAGCAAAGCTTGGCGACCTGCAGCTCTTAGACGACGTCAATCTTGGCGTCTCCGAAGAATCAAACTTGCGAAAGCTGGTTACCATCCAGGGCGATGACCTAGCCGACTTCCGATACGAAACATTTGATCCATCCAACTCGAAGGCTTACCCTGGCTATGATAGTTCGATTTATTTGCGAGCTGGATCCGTTAAGCTCAACTTTGTTGAAGAGCCATTCCGCAAGATTGTCGATTTCTTGGTGAAGTTTGGCAAAATGCAGGCTATTTATAATGCGGCTCGCCAGGCTGCGGTCACAAGAGCAAACCAAATCCAACAAAGCCCGAGCAAGATCAAGTTTGATGTTGTCGTAAATACCCCTATTGTCGTCTTCCCCAGACTTGTCATTCCTGGCCAACCCAAGCGCGACGTCATTACCGCCTACTTGGGTGAAATATATGCAGAGAACAAATTTGCACCCCTAGATGACAGCGAAAACGCCACGATCGCGATGATGATGTCGGCAGGCATTCGAAATATTCGCCTGACTTCAGATTTCCACTATCCTGACAATCGATCAGAGGAGCTGGAGATGATTGATCATGTTGATCTCGGATTCAATATCACCTATGCAGAGCATAAGCCAGGAACCAAGCGCCCTGACACCGAAATTGAAGGTTCGATTTCTGATATCAAGTTGCGTCTAACCCAGTACCAGCTCAAATTTCTTATGGAGATCTCAAGAGCCGTACCAGCTGCGTTCGCCGGAGATGGCAGCGATCCAGACGAGGAAGCTGCGCGTTTAGTTGGCGAGGAAACTCTCCAAAAAGCTCAAAATCCACCAGCCATCATGCCAAACGAAGAGCCGTTAGTCGATCTTGGCCCTGAGCTGTCATCCATTGAATCCACCTGGGCCAAGCTAGATTTGACCTTCAAAGTTAACACCATTGGTCTTGAGCTGATTACAGCTGATGATGAAGAGCCTGTTGGTGACATGGACGCCTGCAGCTTATCACGCTTCTCGCTGGACGAGACCAAGGTCAAGACACGCATGCTCTCAGATGGCTCGTTGGAAGCGGAGCTATTGATAAGAGCCTTTTCCATCTTCGATACGAGACCTCGCGAGACCAACAAGTTCCGCCGCATCATGACATCCTCCAACAAAGACGCACAGCAGCTAATGGCAAGTATCACAATGTCTGGTGGACGAGAACGCAACTTGATTGCAATGGCAACCATTGACAGTCCTCGCGTTATTTTCGCCTTGGATTACTTGTTTGCCATCCAGAAGTTTATTACGGAGGGTCTAAGTGTGGATGACTCTAGTCCAATGGATGATGAAAGCATCGGAGAGATAATTGATGAATCAGACGCCGATTCGATGCAAGTGTCCAATACCGATGGACGTGTTACTCCAGGCCAATCCGTCATTTCAACGAAGGCTTCGGATTCGGATGATAAGGTGCAAGCAAACAAAAATACCGCGCCCACTATGAATATCGCGTTCCGTGTCAACCTCGTCGATGCTCAGGTTATTCTTATTGCCAACCCGCTCAGCACGAGTTCTGAAGCTGTTGTTTTGGGAATTCGACAAGTGCTCTTGGCTAAACAACATGCTTTGACTTTCCAAGTCTCTCAGATTGGCATGTTTCTCTGCAGAATGGATAAGTTCGATTCGTCTAGGCTGCGCATTATTGATGACTTTTCCATCCAATTGAATATGGACGTGTCAAAGGTTGCTTGCACAAGCATTCACATTGATATAGAACCGCTTATTCTCAGACTCTCCTTACGAGATATTCTTCTTGTCCTACAAATTATCAGCAAGGCTTCAGAATTATCTGGTGGAGATAACCAAACAGCCGCTGAAACCCCAGCTGAAATGAAGGCTCGCCAATTACGGAAAGCCGGTCTGAAGCAGAGAGCGGCTAGTGGTAGAACCTCTACCATGGGCAAGACTAAGGCAAAGACTATTGCTAAGACCATTACCAAGCCACCTCCTGCCGCTGCAGCTCAAACACAGCTCGCATCTCACGAAGAGCTCTCTGCCACCATTCAAGGTGTCCGAATCGTCCTTATTGGCGATTTGCATGAATTGCCAATTCTGGATATTGGTATCAAGGAGTTCACTGCTACAGCTGAAAACTGGACGTCGAATCTGAAGGCAGACGCAGCCATTGACATGTACTCGAGTGTCTACAACTTCTCCAAGTCCAGCTGGGAACCCCTCGTTGAACCTTGGCAGGTCGGCCTTGGTGTTGCCAGAGAAGCTTCTACTGGTCTTCTTTCTATCGATCTGGCTTCCAAAAAGACTTTTGATATCACCATTACCACTGCTACCATCGCATTGGCCTCCAAGTCTTTCACTTTCCTGACAACTGAGCAAGACGTCCTAAGCAAGCCTAGAGGCGCTGAAGCCCCCTACCGAATCCGCAATTACACTGGCTTCGACGTGTCTATGAAGTCCAAGAGCCCCGCTAGTGACGAACCACTGTCTCTGCGCATAGAGGACGGAAAAGAAGGTCCATGGAGTTTTGAGCATTGGGAAAAGATGCGTGAAAACCTTCTCACCGAGTCTCAACAGAACAATGTAGTTATTGAACTTGAGGGAAGCGGTTTCGATGCTGTCAAGAATGTACAGCTGAACCGAGAAGGCGAGTTCTTGTATGGACTCAAGCCCAAGGCCGATAATGTGCTCCATAGACTCTGTGTTGAGGTCACTCTTGGAGAAGACAATGTCAAGTATGTGACACTGCGTTCACCACTGGTTATTGAGAACGCCACGGAAATCCCAGTGGAGCTCGGAGTATATGATGCACAAGATGGACACCTGCTCAAGATTGAGAAGATTGCTCCCGGCGACTCACGACCTGTTCCTGTCGGAGCAGCATTCGAGAAGCGAGCTCTAGTACGACCAGACAGCGGCTTCGGCTACCGATGGAGCAACGACCAGCTCTGGTGGAAAGATTTGTTGCGATATCCTTCGAAGCAGATTGTCTGCAAGGGCGAAAACGGCGATCCATTTTACTTCCAAGCCCATGCTGAGTTTGACAAGTCGAACCCGATGACAAGAAGCTATCCTTTTATGAAGATTAAGCTGTCGGCACCCGTCACGATTGAAAATCTGTTGCCATACGATTTCAAGTACCGCATTTATGATAAGAATGCCAAGAAGGATTGGTCAAACTTCCTACGCAAAGGAGGTGTCAGCCCTGTCCACGTTGTTGAGCTTTCACACCTGCTGCTCTTGAGCGTTGATATGCAAGATACCGTCTTCAAGGCCAGTGATTTCGCAATTATCAACCCCGGAAACAATGAAGACTTCCGCAAAGAAAGCAGGGTTACGGTTAAGGATGAGCAAGGACTGCCCTTACACTTGAGCCTGCACTACTTCAAGGTTCCAAACAGTGGCGGCGCTTTCCGCGTTACTGTTTACAGTCCCTATGTTGTTCTGAATAAGACAGGGTTGGATCTCAATGTCAAGGCAAAGAGCTTTTTGCAACAAGCCCGTGCTGCTGCCGGCCAGGCTCCGCGAGTCGATACGTCTGATCGTGAGCGACCAAAGGCACTGCCTTTCATGTTTTCTTTTGGAAATGATGACAACCGAAACCGTGCCCTGTTGAGAGTCTCAGATTCGGAATGGAGCAGGCCCCAGAGTTTCGATGCCATTGGAAGCACTTCAGAGGTTATCTTGAATTCGCTACGCGATAACACCGAAATCCACGTTGGAATCAGTGTCAACTCTGGTGAAGGTAAATACAAGATGACCAAGGTTGTTACCTTGGCGCCACGCTTTGTCATTGCAAACAAGCTTGGTGAAGAGATTCATATTCGCGAGTCCAGCGCCCCTGGCTATATGACGCTGAGCGGTGGTGCTCTGCGACCTCTTCACTTTATGCAAAAGACATCGGTTAAGCAGCTTTGTCTGTGCTACGCTGGAGTAGATAACCACTGGACTTCGCCATTCAACATTGCTGATATTGGAACTACACATGTCAAGATTGCAAAGGCTGGCCAGCGACAAAGACTTGTGCGTGTTGAAATTCTGATGGAAGAGTCTACCGTTTTCATCAACTTGAGCATCGAGACAAAGAACTGGCCGTTTTCCATGCGCAACGAAAGTGACACCGAGTTCACCTTCTACCAAGCCAACCCGAACAACGATGAAGACGATGTTGAAGACCGCAGTGGCTGGAGACCTATCCGATACCGCCTACCACCAAGAAGTATCATGCCGTATGCGTGGGACTTCCCTGCCGCAAAATTCCGAGAGATTGTTATCGCGACGAGTGGTAAAGAGCGCCATGTGAAGCTAGCGGAGATTGGTAACCAGATCCCGATGAAGTTTTTCAATGCAAACGGACAGCAAAAGATTATCGACATCAACGTGGCAGCAGATGGGCCCAGTCAAACCTTGATCCTCAGCAATTTCCGAGCCAGCCAGAGTATCTACAAGGCTAAGAACCTTTCACGAAGCCAAACTGGTTTGGAGGCCTTTGAGGTCAAGGACCAGGATACGGGAGCAACCTTCCGAGCGCAGCTGAAGCTGTCTGGTATCGGAATTTCTCTCATCAACTCGCAGCTGAAGGAGTTGGCATACGTCACCTTTAGAGACTTGCAGCTACGCTACAGCGACTCGCCTCTGATTCAAACGGTATCTTTGGCCGTTAACTGGATTCAGATTGATAATCAACTGTATGGCGGCATTTTCCCCATGGTCCTGTATCCTAGTGTGGTTCCCAAGAGAGCACAGGAACTTGACTCTCACCCGTCTGTTCACGCTATGATTAGTCGAGTCAAGGACGATTCATTCGGTGTCATCTACATCAAATACGCATCGATTCTCATTCAACAAATGACAATTGAGCTTGATGAAGACTTTGTGTTTGCTCTGCTTGATTTTAGCAATGTGCCTGGCGCCAGCTGGACCATGGTGGACGAAGATGGAAAGCTGTGTGATGAGAACCTGGATATCCCTGAACCCAAACAAACCTTGAGCGGACAAGACATTTACTTTGAGGTGTTGAATATTCAGCCTATGCAGGTCGATCTCAGCTTCATGAGAACAGAGCGTGTCAACGCAGAAGATAAGGCCACGACGCGAAACCCGCTCATGTTCGTTATGAACGTGCTGACAATGGCCATTGGAAATGTCAATGACGCACCTATTCGATTCAACGCCTTGATACTGGACAATGTCCGTGTCACCACGCAAGTCCTGGTTCAAAACATCACAAACCACTATAGCCAGGAGGTCATGTACCAGATTCACAAGATCCTGGGCTCAGCCGACTTCTTGGGTAACCCCGTGGGTCTGTTCAACAATATCTCGTCAGGAGTGACGGATATTTTCTACGAACCGTACCAGGGTCTGATTCTATCAGATAAGCCGGAAGAATTTGGTCTCGGCATTGCCAAGGGTGCCGCCTCGTTTGCCAAGAAGACCGTCTTTGGTGTAAGCGACAGTTTCTCCAAATTCACTGGCAGTCTCAGCAAAGGTCTCGCTGCTGCATCTCTTGATAAGCAGTTCCAGGACCGACGTCGCATTAGTAGAGCGCGTAATAGACCCAAGCACGCCTTGTATGGCGTAACTGCCGGCGCCAACAGTTTGTTCACCAGCGTGGCGTCCGGTGTTGGTGGTTTGGCCCGGAAGCCGCTGGAGGGTGCAGAGCAAGAAGGCGCCCTCGGTTTCTTCAAGGGTGTTGGTAAAGGTGTTTTGGGATTGGCCACCAAGCCAGCAGTTGGTGTTTTGGACATGGCAAGCAACCTAAGCGAGGGTATCCGCAACACGACGACCGTCTTTGACGGCGCCGAACTCGACCGCACTCGATACCCGCGATTTGTGCCCAGTGACGGCATTGTTCGTCCTTATAATCCTCGCGAAGCCATTGGCCAATACTGGCTCAAACAAGTAGACAACGGCAAGTACTTTGACGAACAGTACATTGGCCATCTTGAGCTACCGCGCGAGGACATGGTGGTCATGGTGACGTATGCTCGTATTCTGCTTATTCGCTCCAAGCGACTTACAAGCCAGTGGGATGTGCCTCTAAAGGACGTCCAGACCATTGCCAAGGAGCGAACGGGCGTCAGCCTGTCTCTTAGAGGGGGCGAGAATGGACCGTTTATCCCGGTTGGGGCAGAGGGCGAGCGCAACTTTTTGTATAGAATGTTTGGTGTCGCCGTGGAGGAGTATAATCGCCGTTTTAGGGGAGGCGAATAAGACTACTTACTACCGCTGCTGTTAGGGTTGAGTGGCGCTTTTACTAGTAGTGTTACACTGTACTGTATATACTATTTATTTCAATGCATGCGATTATCCTTCATGGTTTCCTTGTTCATTTACACAGTTTTTATTCATCATGTTTTCCATTCTATAGTCACTGTGTTATAGGTTTATATCCCTCACTAAATGCCTGGATAAAGTCTTCCTTGTCCAATGGAACGCCCTCGCTTCGTAGAATCGAATACGCTATTGTAAGGTGGAACAGTATTGTGGGCAAGCTCGACCCAAACGCCACAGCCTCGCTCGAGTAAGGCTGCAGCTCCTCTGTCTGATAGTCTGGTCGCAAGTATATGGGCTCTTTTAACCGGCCGTTGATTGTCGCCTCGTCAAAGGTCCTCATGTAGTCCTGCACCTCTTTAATGCGCGCGAGCATATCGTCAAAGGTCACAAGGTCGTCTGCCCAGCCAGGCAGGTCGGCCCCAGCTAACCGAGCCGTGAGGCGGGCCGCGCAGTTTGTCGCTGCCCAGACCCGAAAGCCGATGGGTTTCATGTCTGGATACAGGCGTGCAGCGAGAAGCGAGGAGGCGTCGGCGCCGTCGTGGTGGCTTGCCTTGGTGAGGATATTGCTGAAGCTGGCCATGGCGGCCAGGGACGGCACAACGACTGATGCGTAGGGATTGTATGTCATGTTTTTCTGAGTTGATTCTTTCTACGTTTATTATTTATGGTGTTACAATCAGGTCACTCGGCTTTATAGCTGCGTGGTGAGGCTGCTCATGACGGCCGTCGTGGGAAGGCTGTCGCTGCTACGCCTTGGTCTACGTCGTCGCAATGATGCTCATTGTCAAGCGGGTAAGTGAATATCTGTGCAACTGCAATTCCAAAGTTCCCTTGGCTTGATATGCGGCTGGATCGCAATAGATTAATATTAATACTGGAAACGCGGCAGTTTGTGGTCCGCGCCGGCAGCAAAGTCGGAGCCCACCGATGCGGCGGATCCTCCACGTCTCTTTGCGCCGGAGCCCGCCGGTTCTGTGCCTACGAGGCGACCGAAAACCTGGGGAAAGGGCAAGATGGAGTCGCATTCGGCGAGATGGACGCAAGTTCGATTCTGGGGATGAGATTCGTGTCTGCATTAGCCTCAGATCAATCGTGGTCAAGTTCTGGCATCAATGCCTTCTGATTCCCCGCACGGAAGGCTATGGATCGAGGGGCACGCCGATTTCTTTTCTGTAAAGAGTAACTACTCTGGTGACTGGCGGCTTGCTGTGAATGTTCAAGCGCAATGTGCCGTGTTGCGCATGGGAGTTAAGGCCCTTTCGCCCCCATGCCGGCATAGAGTACCTCGTACGCGGACATTGGCATGCACAGCGCTTCTGGAGAGAAAATTTCGTCTCTCACGCGGCCAATAAAGCAAACGCACAAACCAGCATATTTCGTTGGTTATTGGCTGTGTTGGCTCCAAGTCGGAGCCGACCGAACGTGGACGCCACCGAGTGCCACGGCGTTCTCATTTGCTACAAAGTACACTAGGAAATTGGAGACGGACGATCCGTCTTGTTTTTTGTGTTGGAGATGGTGCGCCGAGGCGTTCTCTGGCAGGCGTTCTTCCTTGGAGCTGTCGGTGGTCTCTATTACCGAGGGCGGTCTGCTTGTTGATTAATACATTTGCGACGGTTTAGACGTCGTTACGCCTTGTCTGGTCTTTCCCACAGAGGGTTAAACTCTACGGTCGCCCTGAATGCTATTGTCTTCTCCACACCGTTTGGGTTTTTGCATTTCCACTCTTATTTCCCACACATTGTAGGTATCCGCCTCCAGACCACCACACAAAGTTTCGCGAATGTCGGTCAAGTAGAGAAGACAATGGAGCTGGAAATCACAAGCCATTGATCGCTTTGGCAGCCAGCTGTTCGGATGCCGCATTAGGGCACTGGCCCGGACGAGAAGTCGCCAAAGGTCCCTGGGCGGCGACCAGCCGTCGTGGTGGCGCTCAGACAGTCAGCAAATCACCGAGCGAAGAGCCGCGTTCTGGCGTGGTAATCAGGCGCCATGGTGGCAAGGGTTCTGTCGATTGGGGGCCCCCAAGCCTTGAATGGGTTTATGCTGAGTCGCGTGCGCAGCCTATCGCTCGCTCTGGAAAGGGCTATTTCTCCTTCTGTAATTTGCAATTCCACCTATCCTTGTTCAGAGTCGAGAACAACGGCCCCAATAATGGCAAGCGTAACTCAGTAGCGTCAGCACCAACAGGCGGGTGCTAAAACCCCCCCTGGACTAGATTATCCGCTTCCCGCGTGGGATGGCGCCCAACGCGTTGCCTATTTGGATTCTCGGTCACCAGCTACAGTACAGGGCCTAGTAGTAGCAAACGGCGTTTTGAAAGTGACTAGTCGATCATTGTAATGTAGATGCACGAAGCGGCCATCAGCAGGCGCAGGGCTATCCCCGTGACAGGCAATCCGAATCTAGTCTGTTTGGTTGGGTTACTTTGTCTCGAATTTGGAGAACCATGTGCAGGAGTGTACACTGTTGTTTCGCGGCGGGAGCGGTTATCTGGGGAAGCAGACTGAGACCTGGCTTTGGAACCCGAGAACCCACGTAAGATATCGGGGGGTTGCGTAGAGTATCTCTGTGCTACTAGAGAGGCAGTTGCTAATCTTCAACGGCTATCAGGGGCCAAGGGGACCTTTGTACGTATCTCCCTGATTTTCTTGTGCCGTTCGAGACAAGGATTGGATGAACGAGATAGCACACTCAGGGCGATGTGATACAGGCACGCAGGCACACAGGCTGTCGTATCACTGGTCTTCGGTTGATGGCATTCAAAGTTTGCATGGTAAGCCATACGATGCCCGTAGGAGATACAAATTCTGTCACCGCCTACATGCTGCTGTCGCTGTCTCTATTGCTCGTCCTGGACTTTAGCATATTAGCCACTGTAAATTCTGCCTGCCACGAGTTGTGCGTTGTGGAGAAGCGGGCCTCGCGGGCCAAGCATAACGCTCGTGACAATGGGTAAAAAAAAGTTGCCGCGATAATTTTGCGGAAGAAATGCAAATTGGCTACCTTTACAGCATGAACATTTTTATAAATGCTAGTTGCAGCAGTGTCTTTAATTTGAATGGAAAAATAGTAGCTTCTCGACAGCTGTGGCAGCTGGCGCAACAGTCTGTTTGCCAGTTGGTACAGCGGTGCCAGGTGTCTACTGTACCAGGCAGCCCGCGCCTGCATTAGCACACTTTTTTGGGGGTCGCATTCTGCGCATGGCCATGACACGGGCGATTCAGCGCCACAGGCCACCAACTATCAGCTAACTTGCAGGTTAGGCTGGCGCCAACGGTGTCTGCCAGCGGATCCCCTAAAGCCTTCTTTTTTAGGTTGTGTCTGATGATTTCGGGGGGGGGGGGGGGTCTAGGCTTTTGAGCATTCTGCGTTTTTTTGTTGTTTTTCGAGGAAAGAGGGCTAGTCAATGGGCTGCTTGTAAGAGTGATAGATAGAGGTCTCATCTCTGTACTAAATTGTCTCTTTGCGCGGCTAAGGGCTGCCAGCTGTGCCAAGTGCCTGCCAACTGGCTCTCCTGTTCGCCTCCTGTTGTTTCTCTCCTTGTTCCCCCAAAATGATTTTGGCCCTTTTGCCAATTGGCCCAGCTGTGACAGCTGCAACCACCACGGCTAGGCGCCACTTGGGGCCCCGCCCTCCCAGTCCCTGGTTTTTCTTCTCTTTTGTCTTTCTGCAATGCATCTTCCCCACACTCGTTTGCCTGCAGCAGCGCACTTGGGGGAAGGCTTCAGCGGCGGCCGGCGACCCCGGTGGAACCCTAGCTTGTCGCCCCCCAGCACGCTAGGCCGCTTTCACTCTCCGCCGGTCTTTAATGACATGTATTTTTTGTATGTGCCCACCACTGTAGGGGTACTTCTGCATGGCGTCCGTCCCTCTCCCCCGCTTAAGGACTTATTTTTTTCTGCCCGGCGCATTTGGGGCAGGAACAGCAGTGCGTTGATGGTCACTGCTTCCACCGGTGCTGCCACTGGTGCTTCTCGCGCGCTCAGTCAGTCGCCCATTTTATTATTGGCGGCCCTCCCACACTCGTCTCTCCCCTCCTCTTCTCTTCTTCTTCTTCTCCAGGTCTTAGGTGATTCACGATCCCTCCCTCCCGCTATCTGCTACAGGTCATACCTGCCTCGGCTTCTTCTCTACTGAATAGAAAAGTCGTGCTGCGTAGCGTCGCTTTCAGTTACCTACCAATTCTCCGCCGCTTCTCCATCTTTTTTCTCCGGTCAAGTTTTCTTGGATCGCAAGACTTTTCTCTGCTTACTGCTGTCTGATTTTTGTCAAGTTCAGCCTTACATACTATTGCTCTACGTGAATCAATTGACGGAACAGAATCTTTGTTTCTGTCCTTAAAACCAATCGTTAGCTTTTGAAGCTGGTAAGCGTTGTCTGCCAGCAATGGCGCGCCGTCATTGGCGTAATGTGAAGCTCTCTTCTCACCATTCTCTTGCAGTTTCATAGCCGCAATGGCCAACGATATTCTGCCCGAGGGCGAAGCCCACAAGGCAGCCTACGTCGATGCGACTTCCATGCCGGATGAAAAGCAAACCCTCAAGAGCACCCAGCAGCATGGAGTTGACCGTGTCTCTCCTTCCGCCACCCCGGACTATAGCGATCAAGAAAAGGGTCAGACACATATTGTTCCCGCTGCCGATGACAAGCCTGCCCGCCGCAACGCTGGCAACTTCATGGGCAGCCAAACTCGCCACTTCTGGAATGCCTTCTTTGCCGTCTTCTTCACCGGCTGGTGGATTGCCTCGCTTGTTCTGCACGCCAAGAACATGAACTGGGTTGTCCCCTTCCTTGTTTGGCTATGTGTCATGCTCCGTATCTTTTTCAACTATGTTCCCAGCCGTTACCTGTCCAAGATTCTGAGAACCGTCTGGAAGCACTCTGCGTTGATTGTCTACAACGCCATTCCCGCCAAGCTGCGCACCATCGTTGGTGCAGCCTTTTCCGTTGCTGTTGTCCTCATTGGTACTTTCGTTTCCGAGGAGAGTGAGGATAACACTCGCGCCAACCGTGCTGTCAGCATTTTCGGCATCATCGTCTTCCTGTTTACCTTCTGGGCTACCAGCAGGAACCGCAGGCGCGTCAACTGGCGCACTGTCATTGTTGGTATGCTTGCGCAGTATGTCATTGGTCTCTTTGTCCTGCGCACTGGTGTAGGCTACGACATTTTCCGCTTTGTGGCCGATCGTGCAGGCGACTTGCTTGGTTTTGCCCGCGCAGGTGTTCAGTTCTTGACGACCCCGGAGGTTTCTCAGTACAAGTGGTTCTTCTTCAGCGTCGTGCCCGCCATCGTCTTCTTCATCTCCATTGTCCAGATTCTCTTCTACATTGGTTTCTTGCAGTGGTTTGTCCGCAAGCTTGCTACGTTTGTCTTCTGGGCCCTGGGCGCTTCTGGTGCCGAAGCTGTCGTCGCTGCTGCCACCCCCTTCATTGGCCAGGGTGAGTCAGCCATGTTGGTTCGTCCATTCGTTCCTCACATGACGGACGCTGAAATCCATCAAATCATGACTTGCGGATTTGCCACCATTTCTGGTTCTGTTCTCGTTGCCTACATTGGTTTTGGTTTCAACAAGGAGGCTCTCGTCTCGTCCTGCATCATGTCCATTCCCGCATCCATCGCCATCTCGAAACTTCGATGGCCCGAGACAGAGGAAACTTTGACAGCAGGCAAGGTCGTCATCCCTGAGGATGAAGAGAGCAAGTCCGAAAATGTTCTCCATGCTTTTGCTAATGGTACTTGGCTTGGTCTCAAGATTGGTGGTACCATTGTCGCCTCACTGCTCTGTGTTATTGCCCTGGTGTACCTTGTCAATGGTCTTATGGGCTGGTGGGGAAGCTACCTCAACATCACCGATCCTTTCCATGACGCTACTCAACCTGACACGCTGAAGTTGCAGCTCGTCCTTGGTTATCTTTTGTATCCTATCACCTTTTTGCTCGGCGTTCCTCGCCAGGATATCATGAAGATTGCTCGCGTTATTGCCGAGAAGATCATCACTGTAAGTGCCTCGCTATTTTTTCTGCAAGCTATGGCGTATACTAACCTCTCATGACTAGAACGAATTCAACGCCTTCCTCGCCCTCGGAGCCCTCAAGGACATTTCCCCTCGATCGAGACTCATTGGTACATATGCCATCTGCGGCTTCGGCAACATTAGCTCGATGGGTATTCAGATTGGTATTCTGAGCCAGCTTGCTCCCACGCGCGGTGGCGATGTCGCCCGCATTGCGCCATCTGCCCTCATCTCCGGCATTATGGCTACTTTGACGACTGCTGCTGTCGCCGGTCTGGTTGTGACTAACCAGGCCAGTCTTACCGCTCCCGCGTCGTAACGTAGCCATGAGCATCTAGTTGTTCCTTTTTTGGCGTTTTGTACAATTCAGTTTAGCAGGCATCCATATTGTAACCGTTGGATGATGCATGAAAATATGACATGTTTCTGTATCGTTTGCACAGCCTCATCCGTGTGTTTCTTGTCCTATAACAATTGTAAACGTGGTGGTTATGTAATGAAATAGACTTAAACCTGCGGGATGGCGTCCCCGCTACGGCTTCTTCCCCAACGGTTTCTCAAGCCAAGCCCTCCGGCAGTGGGGTTGGGGCGGAGAGGGCCGGTCTCGGTGAGGCACTGCCGCTTTCCCTGCCGTAACTATTTCTTCTTTGTTTTCCCTTTTTACAATCTGCATAATCAGATAAAGTGCAAGATAGGCGTTTCTTTGCCAGTGGTTTCTTGCCGTATCGCTATCAAACATGGGCACGATATCTCATCGAAAGTTTATCCGCTGGCTGCCAGACGAGGCTAGCGAGCCAACATCGACGCTGGTCCTCACCTCACGCGACAACCGCTTTGTCGATATCCGCGTGCTGCTCAACGACGATGGCTGCATGGATTCTAGATGCAAAGGTGAGAATCTGAAAAAGGCTCTTTGAGCTAGACAACAAACACCAGAGGCTAACATCCATTCCCAGGCAGCACATCAATAGACTGTCTGGACTGGGCTATTGGCGGGACAGTATCGTCTACGATCAACGATAGCGGCATCCGCCGAGCCAAATTCTCACACTGGATCAACTCAAGGTCCAAAGATGCCGACGGTGTTGCCGACGAAGGCGACATGTACGAACAGGCCGACGGCACAACATTAGAAAAGGGCAGCATGGTGAACCCAGAGACGGGCCAAGATACGGCTTACGAAGAGTCCTGGCTGGATATTGAGGTTGCGGTGAACGACGACAAAAAGTCTTGCTTTGTGGCGAAATTAGACGGCAAGGATTGCAGAGGCATGGTGGTGATGCTGGACGGGCTGTGCCAAGGCGTTATGCGACGAGGGGACCATGTCGCTGCCGAGCGGTGGGAGAAGAAGAATGGCGCTTGGACGAGGTCTGTCCAGGTCGGTCAGGGGGACTTGGTGTGCGAAAGCCTGATTACTGATGAGGAGCAGTTTGCGGTTGGACACAAGATTATGTCGAAAGAGGGCACGTGGCAGATTGTGGAAGCATATTAGCATCTTTTTGTTTTCCTGTGAAAGGTGAGCATGGTTTTAGAGCATGGCGAACGAAAGGACAGGGGCTGGTTGTTGATGACGATGCATATTAGATTTCTTATTTTATTTATTTTTCTATTCTTCATTTCCATACAGTCGTTGCTCGTATGGCGGCGCTTAATGTACATTTTTGAGGGCCTGCGCGTGCCCTAGTATAGCCTTGCGTTCTCTTTCCGTCAGGTGTATTTTGAAATGCTCCTCTAGTACAGAAATCCGGTGGTCCTCGCTCGTCAGCGCGACAACCTTGTCCTCCTTGACGTCATTCCCAACCGAAAATCTAACCCTGTCGTTGAACAGGGTGACAATCTGCTCAGGGGCATAGTCTTCTTCGGCGCCCTTGCACACGATATTCATAGCGACGACGTTTTGGACAAAGAAGGATTTGGGGTTTTTGCTGGTATAAAAGTTCATGGCTTCAAAGTCTCGTTCGGCCATTTCCTGCTCGCTGAGGGCGAATTGAGGTAGAAACTCGGCGGTTGGGTCGAGCTGCATGGAGTATAGCCAGACGCGTTGGGACTGATCGGTGAAGAAATCGAGAGCAGTGTATTCTAGTTTGCCGAGGCGCGTACCAATGATTGGGACAATCGTGGGCTGCGAGATGTCCATCTTGAGAGGTTGGAAGGCAGCGGGCGATCCGAAGCCTACGTCGACGAGGTAGCGAGTTTCCTCGATGGTGACGATGATGCCCATGTGTGTTCTATGAGCAAAACGAGTGGTGAGTAATTATAGAGAGATCTGATTTCGAATGGTAAGTTGACTTACTGGCCGGAAAAGACGGGTGTGCTGGCACTTACACGCCCAGCAACAGTGACAATCTTGTAGCCCAGGCCGCGCAGTAGGCCTGCAAAGAGGGTGTTGAGTTCCATGCAGTAGCCGCCGTGGCCGCGATCGACAATCTTTTCAAACACTTCATCTAGGTTGACGGATATGCGACGGTCCTGCGAGTAGTGGAGTGTTGTACTGGCAAATGGCACGCGCTGGATATGCAGACGTTGGAGACGGCGGAGGTACGTGAGGTCGTCGCACTGCGCGCGGCCATCTCTAGGCATACCAATGTGCTCTAGAAGACGGCTGATTTGTTCGGGTGAGAGAGACATGGCGATACGACGTTGAGGTTAGGGGATACGGGACACGGTGATGCTAGCTGGTGAGCTTCTTGCGGTAATAATGTCAAGGTGATGATATCGGTGTTTGCGCGTCTGCTCTTCTATGTTTACGGCAATTTTCGTAGACGACTAGCCGCTTTCTACAGGCTGTGTAATTGTAAAGTATTTCAGAGATGGGGTTTATAGCATCTGTATCTAATTTTTTTCACTGGTGCTCGTGTTTCGGCCTTTGTGCAACGGTGAAGAGTCACAATTCACGGTGGACCGTTTGACGCCACCGGAGACGAGAGCCGAGACCAAAGCCGAGAGAGCGAGGCCAGGGCGATTACTAACGTTTGTCTACGGCCACTGTTGACTAAGCATTGGAAATAAGAAGGGAAAATGGAGCAAATAATTTCTCCAGTGTAGACTTGGACTGAAGTATGGGAATATCGTAGAAGCAGAGATATTCGCATAGTTTGTTGTGGTGTTGGATAGCTACAGTAGTCCCTCACTAGTGTCGGATAGTTGATGGGCTGGCTGGCTGCACCACCCACTAGATCGCTAAAGCAAGGGTGTGTGGTGATATGCCGCCACACTATAAATACTATAAATATAAAGTGCCCAATTGAGTACGAGGAGGTCCCGTGGCGACGGTAGATAATGCATACTGTCTGGGGAGCAGCGATATGAAGGGGGTTTTAATATATACTGCATAACTATCTACGTAATATTCTCCGGAGGCTGTTTTTGGCTCTTGGCCTCGGCATTGCTGTTTGTTGGCAGGCGATGGATACAGGATTCATCGTTCGGCAGATGAGTTTACCAACGAATTACCATTGCTCATTGACTCGGTTTAAGCGAAGAGAGTGTTATGTACCAGAGAGAGATACACCCCTGTTGATTACAGGACTGTTTAAGGACTTGGAACAGCCGATGATCTACAGTGCATCTACAGTGGCAAACCCTTTTAGGAACCTCTACAGTACAAAAATTACAAAGTGGTTTCGTATTCCTACCGAGAACCCACCTTCCTAAAAGCTTTTTCCTCTACCAGTTTTCCTTGTTTATATTACTTAATGGGCCTGTTTCCCAGCGATGTTACTCGGACTGCCCCTGGTTGCATTTCCATACGTAACCCGCCCCCGCACTCAGCCAAACAGAACACACGCGGCCGCCGCTCTTCTGCCCGCTCCCCATGGAAGCTGCTGGATTCATCACAAATGCCGACCATTAGAAAACCCACCACCTTTTGTCCCAATGCATCTCCATCACGAAGAAAAACACAAAAGCAAAACAAAACAAAAGTGCCTGCCACAACCACCACGTGAAGAATAAACGAAAGCATCTCGCCACATGACTCGGGCCTGGCCCAGCTTAATCGCCATCGCCCAGCCCGCTCCCCGCCACCCAATCGCCCAGCATCGCAGCCAGTGTGGGGAGAGATGGAAATGGTGTGCTAGGCTTGTTGGTAATAGCGCCGAACAAGCTTCGCCTCTGCAGCATGGCCCAACTGCCTCTTTCAGACTAGCCAGCACCATCTCAGCCAATAACGGCAGGTCGCCCGCCCTGCACATCGCCATGATAGCGCATTGTCCAGCGCGGGGCACTCTTGTTCCCCAGTCTGATGTAACTATTACCATACCATTCTCCCTGGATGGCCTTCCTCTTATCGACCACAGTGCCGTGCCCACATGGGGGCCTTTGTGAGCTTTGCCCGCGCTTGGAAGGGATCTTCTCCAAGGCAAAGGCGGCAGATGGCCGGTCTTTCCCCCCATGCAACGGAAACCACGGCGCGTTACGTAGTAGTACCGGCATTAGCACCAGGCAGTATCTCGGCCCTAGCTCCAAAGGCGAAATGGCTCCGAAAAGGTATAAGAAGGCTCGCGGTGGCCCATCGTGAAGGTGGACAGCTAGCTAGTACCAGCCATATACCCTCTCTTCAATTATTCCCCCCCCCCTCCTTGAGAAGGCTGTCCATCATCATGCGCTTCTCTCTCACCACCCTCACCCTCGGCCTCGTTGCCTCGGTCTCTGCCAAGCAGACCATTGAGCGCCGCCCTGACCATGAGTTTGACTACATCCTCAAGGGCAAGGACGTCCACCAGCGTGTTGCCCGCGACTTTGCTGCCGGCCACTCCAACGACACGCACCCCGAGTACCTGACCCAGTACCAGATGCGTGCCAAGTCCGTCCAAGACCCCAGCTCCGTCGGTGTCGACACCGTCAAGCAGTACTCTGGCTACCTCGACAACGAGGCTGACGGCAAGCACCTTTTCTTCTGGTTCTTCGAGTCCCGCAGCAAGCCTTCCACCGACCCCGTTGTCCTCTGGCTCAACGGCGGCCCCGGCTGCTCTTCCATGGCCGGTCTCTTTGAGGAGCTTGGCCCTGCCAGCATCCCCAACAGCGACCTGAACCCCGTCCGCAACCCCTACTCCTGGAACTCCAACGCCAACGTCATCTTCGTTGACCAGCCCGTTGGCAGTGGCTTCTCCTACTACGACAGCGCCTCCACGGACAACAGCCCTGCCGCGGCTAAGGACCTCTACGCCATGCTCTCCCTCTTCATGGAGCAGTTCCCCCAGTACGCTACCCAGGACTTCCACATCTCTGGCGAGTCGTACGCTGGCCACTACATCCCCGTCACTGGTGCTGAGATTCTGTCCCACGCCAACTCCAAGATCAACCTCAAGTCTCTCCTTATCGGCAACGGCTTGACCGACCCCTACACCCAGTACGCCTACTACCGCCCCATGGGCTGCGGTGCCGGTGGCTGGCCCCGTGTCATCCCCGAGAGCGACTGCAAGTCCATGGACAACGCCCTCGCTGGCTGCCAGAGCCAGATCAAGCAGTGCTACGACAACGGCGCTTCCCGCTCGTGCTACAACGCCTTCAACACCTGCAACAGTGCCATGCTCAACACCTACACCCGCTACAACGACAACGTCTACGACGTCCGCGCCAACGCCCCCTCGCACACCGCCTACACCGAGCAGTTCCTCAACCAGGACAGCGTCCGCCAGGCCATTGGTGCCGAGACCAAGTTCTCCGAGTGCGGCGCCGACTCTGGTCTCTACGGCCGCTTCGTCCGCGGCGGCGACTGGATGCAGCCCTTCCACCGCAAGGTCCCTGGCATCCTTGCCAAGATCCCCGTCCTCATCTACGCCGGTGATGCCGACTACATCTGCAACTGGCTCGGCAACCAGGCCTGGACCAACGCCCTCGACTGGCCCAGCAAGACTGCCTTCAACGCCGCCAAGATGACTCCCGTCACCACCACCTCTGGCAAGGAGTACGGCCAGATCAAGCACTCCAACGGCTTTGCCTTCCTCCGTGTCTACGCTGCTGGCCACATGGTCCCCGAGGACCAGCCTGAGGGTTCTCTCAACTTCTTCAACCGCTGGCTCGGCGGTGAGTGGCAGAAGTAAGCGGCTTGCACGTAATAGCAGCCTTTCTTACAACACAGCCACTTGTATATACTGCAGCAAGGAAAAAACGCATAGGAAACGCATGAATGTTATTTAGGTCCATACCTGTACATAAATATACGAATATGTCATGAAAACTTCACACTTGAAAACAATATTGAACAATAAAAGTCGCTGTGCATGCTTTGTAAACGCTAGTAATGTTAATAGTACAATTTGTCGTGATGGAATCAAGCCGTCTTTTTACGACCCCGTTCCAGCCATGAAAATATCTTGCCATGCGAAAGTAAGAGATATTTCGAGAAAAAGTCCTCCGCGAAATCGTCAAAACGGTCGTAATCGGCGCCGAGGCGATATGCAGCCGCCATGCCGCTGACGCACGCCACCTCGTGCATGTTCTAGAAGCAGTCATTAGCATATACACAAAAGATGGGATGAAAAGAAACTTACGACCAGGGTCCACGACCCCGCATAGCACGTCCTGTTGCGGCCGTTGATAAACATCATGCAGGGGACCACCTTCAAATAGTGCTGCCAGCGGTGCCCCAGCTGGTGCCACCAGTTGACCTTGATAATCTTGCTCTCATCAATGTCGCCCATGGTCCAGGTATCCTGACGCTTCTTGTCGAGGAAAATGGTCTGATATACGGGATCTTTGTTTTTGGCTTCCTCGCGGAACTGGTGCTGGTAATTCGAGCAGTTGAAGGACATTTCAATCAGCCGCTTATCCTGCGGGTACGAATATGTAAAGTACATGGGCTGGAACCCTGCGCTGCTGTCCTGGCCCGTGGCAAAGGCGACTTGTTTCTCCTGCGCGGGAGTTGTGGCCTTGGCGCACAGATCGGGTGTGAATGATGTTTCGTAGTGTTGTTCAAAGTAGCGAGTGTCGGAGTGTGTGACGGTGACGTCGTCGTAGAAGGATGCGCTGCCCAGCACGAAGCGCTCGCGCCATGTGGCCTGCTTGCCGAGGATGGCGAGTGCTTCGTCAGCGAGCACGCAGAGCACCATTTCGTCGTATGTGACTGTTTTTGGGTCGCCGCCAGATGCAGGACTAAGTTGCAGCGTGACGCCTTTGCTAGAGCGCGAGACGACCTGTGTGACTTGTGTGCCTGTGAGGATCTCGACGCCGTGATTGTTGGTCAGGTCGTCGCGCCATGTCTGGTAAAAGTTGGCTAGGTTGCCAAAGGTGTACATTGTGGGTAGATTGGGGAGGAGAGTGTCGCGGTCGTAGTCCCACAGCTTCATGTTGGGGTCGTCAAAGAGCCGCTCGACGATGCCGCAGGGGACGTGTGGTGTTTGGTTGCCGGTGCCGAGGAAGAGGGCAATCAGTGGGTAGACCATCTTCTCGCCAAAGTCGCGGGAGAAGAAGAAGAGGCGCAGCATTAGCGAGATGGGGACGAGTCCGGTGGCGGGAAGCGTCCATTTGACGAGTGTGAGAAGCTTGCCGAAGCGGCGGATGTCGGATGCGTAGGTGGCGACGAGTTGGCTGGGGAAGCAGTTTGTCCAGAAGCCGTCGATGCCTTTGCCAAAGGCGACTTGGAGCTGGACGGGCTGTGCGGGGGTGCCGAAGCGTTCGAAGAAGCGGAAGGTGTGTTTGAAGATCTGGTGTGTTGTGGTATCCTGTTAGCTTTGTATGTATGTGAGGATATTGTATTCGTAGTTGAGGGAGATGTTATCTGGGTTGGATTGGGGATGCACGCACCTTGGAGCCGCCTTGGACGCCATTGTTCATCCAGTCGGCACCATATTGGGCCTTGTCGAGAGGCAGTGATGTCGCCTGGCCGCCTACGTAGGGTTGCTTTTCGATGAGTGTGACTTTGAATCGGTCGGGATGTTTGGCCAGCGTGGCTGCGCAGGACTATGAAGATGGGTTTGTGGTGTTTAGCTAGTGCTAGCTACAAGTCGTACGCGGGGGAGATGATGCTCACCATGCCCGCAGCACCGCCGCCAATCACGACGACGTGCGTCTTTTGTATTTGCGTCATGTTGGTAAATGGTGTTTTGTCGATTAAAATGCAATGTAAAAGGAAAATAGAATTAAAATGAAAGAAGACGAGAGCAAACAACACACACCGTCATTGACGTCACCTGCACATGCCGGCATTTCGTAGCCCGATCTGGTCGAGCATCACAGGGGCGCCACGATCGATTTCAGTAAGGAGGGGTCGCTAACCTACACAGCTGCTGCATACATTGTATGACAATGGCTCGTCGTCAACATTTTGTCACCGGCACCAAAATAAAAAATAAAAATAAAACGATAAGCAGAATAGAATAAACCAACGCCGTCGCTAAAATTCTAAATTATCCTCTCCATATGTACATTTCTTCGTAGCCGAAAAATAAAATTTTATGTAAAGATTAGGCTGTAGAGACAGACACCATGCGTTTTTCGTTAGTCGTACACACATTTCATACACACACTTTTTATCTTCCAGACCAAACTATCTCTGGCGCCGCTGTGCAAACGCTGCAATTGTCTGCAGCACCAGCGACCGGTCCAGGCCGGGCCCAGCACCCGTCTTTTCAAGGTACAGCTGGCGGGAGATACCCTGGATGGCATCGGTAGACTTCTTTGCGCTCTTCCAGATGGTCGAGAGGTTTCGCAGCGCACCAATGTTGAGAAGCACCTGCTGCGTGACCAGATCCGTCTTGTTGCACGTGGGCCTGCTCTGCGCCCAGCGGCCGAGATGGATGGTCGATGATATCGACAGGACCTCGACGAGAAAGTGCGTGTGGTTGATAATGGGCGTGCGGTAGGCAATCATGTCACTCACCGCACCGGCCGAGGTCATGACGTGCGTCGTGTGCTTGTTGTATGCGTTGGGCGGGTTCGTGTCCGTAATGGCCGGGCGCGGCTTGCTAAAGATGTTGGAAAAGGGCCGGTGCAGCAGCATCGCGGTGGCGTGCCAGATCATGTGTGCCTGGAACATCATCTCGTCAAAGCTGCCGTTGTCCTGCAGCGAGTCATGCTTGCGCAGCGGCAGATGCAGGCGCCAGTTGCAGAGGCGCGCGTCAATCACGGCCATGCGCTTGTCGTCGCGGCTGGCAATCTCGCCCATCTCCGAGTAGCGCTGCAGGTTGTGGCCTGCGGTGATGCGGTATGCAAAGGACGAGAGGGTTGGCGACATTTCGTCGCCAAAGCCGGACTCTTCGAGGCTTTCAAATGGCATGGGGAGTGGAATTTCCTATATACGCGGACCCAAATGTTAGTTCGTCTTGTTTTTTGCAGACTCTGGCAAGTGTAAAAGAACAAATCATAAATCATAGTACACTATAGGGGAAAAAGGACGGGGGAAATTGGAAGTGTGGTTCTTACGCCAGAAATGTAATGCCGCTCCTCGCACGGCAGCGATACCGTCGTCTCGTCGTCGAGAATCACAGACGCCGGCTCACCATGCAGACCGGCAGCAAGCGCATCCACCATGAACAATTCCCACCAGGTCCGGCGCCAGCTCTCCTTGAGCGTCGGGCACCCGCGGCCGTGGCCCTCGGCAAAGTCGTCGCTGTTCATGCCGACATCAAGGGCCAGCTTGAGGGCGTCCCGGCGCATCTGCCGGGCGCCGTCCGTGTCGCCGGTGCCGTCAAGCGCAATACCGAGCAGCAGCATGCCCTGCACCAGGAAACCATTCTTGACCGAGGCTGTCTCAATGGCCTTTTTGGCACTTGCTAACAGCTCGAGGCGGGAGCTTTCGGGCAGCGGCAGGAAGAGCGAGCCGACCCAGCGTACGGCGGTGATGGCCGGCTGGGCCGTGGCATCGTCGAGGCTCTTGAGGAGCTTCTGTTCCGGAAGCACAAACGGATGAGAGGCGAAGAAGTAGTAGTAAAAGGAGGCGATGCACCGTTCTGTCAGCGCCATGTCCTGGCCGGTACCGGTGCCGGTGGTGCTGGTGCTGCCGTTGGCGGAGGCGGCGGCGGCAGCAGGTTTGAAGTCGGTGGAGGCAGGGGGCGGAGGAGGAAGAGGAATAGTAGCAGAACTAATGGCAGCAGTAAATAAGTGGTTGTGATTGTTAGAATGTTGTCCGGGCGGTGGTGGTGGTGTTGTCATGGCCATGTCCTGGTGCGGCTGCTGGTGCTGGTAGTGCTGATGCGGATACAGGTCGTGGCGCAGGGTCGTCATTGCTTGTAATGTAGGTCCCCGGTGATGGTGGTCTGGCGGCGGCGCCTGCAAGCCAGGGGGGATGGGTGGGTGTGAACGCCGTTTGGCTTTTTTTAGATGCCGATACACAGCCGCAGGGGGGGGGGGAAAGCAAGCGATAGGCAACAAAACAAGTAGAAGGCTGCGGTTACGAAGGGGGGCCGACCAGGCGGCAGTTAGTAGTAGTCGTTGTAGAAGGAGTAGTAGTAGCAGCAGCGGTAGTGCGGTGATCGAGGTGAGTGAGTCTACGGGGAGAATGCTGCGAGATGAGATGTTCGGAGGACGGAGGAGGAGGAGGAAGAGTAGACAAAGAAGAAGAAGAGGTCCAACCGAAGAGAAGAAAGAGAAGACCAAGAAAGAGAACCAAAAGAGAAGAGGGGAACTGACCCAGACCACTTTACTTTTTGGCACCCGATCCATTCATTCCCACTACGCTAACCTGTCAATGGCCCGTAGAACAACGACGGTGCTGCCGCTCCCTCAGTCGCCGAACCGATGCTGCCCCGGGTCTTGTCGCCGACGGCATTGGTCGCCGACTGACCCAGAAGATTTCCTCATCGAGAGCTGCCGCCCACATCTTGCTCGGGGAGGGGGCGGCGGAAAGCCACTTGCGCACAAAAAAATCCTGGCCCGATGCGAAGCCAAGGTTGCCGGCCCGCGTAAGCCCACGGCTCTTCCTACTCCCCCAGTTTTTCCATTTAAAACCACGCAGTTATCGTTTAAGCGGCTCCTGGTTGGTGCCTGTCTCGGGAAGCAATGTTACAGCAAAAAAATCAAGAGAAGGGGGACACTCAAGGAGAAAAGCCGCACCCGGGGAGAGGAGGGGGGCATATCCACTACCGGGCCCAGCCAAATGGCAAAAATTAATTAAAATAAATTGCAAAATACCATGAGTGAGGAGAAAAGAAGAAGAAAAATAATCAAAAATAAATAATCAAAGAAAAGTGAAGTGAGTAGCCAAAATCGGGTGATGCGTACATGTCATGACAATGACGGACCGACGGCATTCTCTCATCTCGGACAGGGCACATACACACGGGCGTTAAGTCGCGCTGGGAAAAAAACAACAAAAAAAGAAGGACAAGGCGAGACACGGGGCGCTCGGCTCCGCGAAGACTAACTAAGTATCGTTTGCAACGGGCCCTGCTTGCTACTGGGCTTTTTCCTTCTCAAACAAGGAGCCCGTCAATGTTGTCATCTAGTCCCACCCCGATAGCCGCTGGACGCAGGCCGTATTCTGACGAATGGCAGCGCCCCAGGCTGATATTCGGATGTACTGATCCTTGGCTAGCGGCATAGTCTGTGATGTAATAGACGCCTGTTGTGCATTTACATCCGTCGCTAATAGCCCTAGGGCCCGTTTTGGCACGCTTGCTTAGCCCGCCATCAGCCAAGACCTTGACATGGAAAATAGTTAAAAAAAAAAAGAAAAAGAAAAAGACAAAAAACAATCACGCCTTCCAGTGGGAACTAGTGGCATTGGCTAGTAAGTAACAAGTCTAAGAGAGCCCGCCTTAACAGCGGAATCGTGGAGCATCGTGGAGCTGCCAACTACACATCCGGCCGGCGCTTGCTTCTGGTGTGGAATCTTCCAAAGGCAGTTCGGCGCCGGGTCTGAGTCGTGTCTGCCGCTGACCAAGACAATCTGCGGCGTAGTGAATACTAAACGGCAGAGGCTAAAAAAAGTACACTATTATTTTTGCAGACGGATGATCTGTTCTAAAAACCGCACAGTGTACTACGGTGGAATCCTGTAAGAACAGTAGCCAAGGAGCCAATGGCAAACAAAGGGTAAAAAGAAAGAGGTTTCCCATTGGCTCTATTACTGCCAGTACAGTACAAAGTACGTAGTCCGCGGGTGGGTGGCCATGCATGCCCGAGCTAATTGCAGTACAATGCACGCATTACCTGCACGCAGTACAGTCTTGTATCAAGATTGGGTGTCCCTTATAAGTGGCGCCATGGGGGCGTCGGCCAACTTTATTAGAACAAAACGGAAGGTACATAGTATTGGAGTGATACAGGGCTAAATGGAACAACAGGCGAGCGATACAGGGCTAAATTGAGAAACAGAGCAAAATGGACTGCAAAGAGATTAGCTAGACGAGACTAGCAAGGGCAAAAAAACGGTCTATGGGTCCGGCGGCACGGGGCCTAAAGGTGTACTAGTTTGAAATTTAGAAGAATACTTTGTATGACAAATAGTATAGTCCTCCTGCGTCGGCGTACTGCAGAATCTGCTATATCTGCATTGCTATTATAGTAGGGTATAGTAATATGATACAGCTCATCAGACGTAGTCATGATTATGCAGCAACCACCGCATGCCACAATAGCCCAAGCACAGCGCCGCCAACAATCGCTACAGGTGGGCCAACTCCAAACCAATATCCCCCAACGTAGCTAGACGCCGTGACCACTACAAACCACGGCTCAGACCCGAGCGTGCTCCCACTCTCTATCCCACGGTCTACAAAGCCGACCTGCCACAACCGGTAGATCGCCGTATAGACAAGCCCAACCGCCGCGGCATTCAGGCCGCGAAGTCCAGACTTTAGGTACACATTACTCCTAACAGCACTCCAGATGCCTACTGTACCATGCACCGTAATCAGTCCGGGGCCAAACATGGCCACGAAACCTATAAGAGCCCCCAGCGCAGGGTGGAAGCCGCCGTTGATCGCCGTCAGCGAGCCCAGATACACGGCGAAATTAAAGTTGGGCCCCGGGAACCCCTGCTGGATCGCAAGCCCCATCAGAAAGTCTCGCGGACTTACCCAGCCCTGCGCAACGACATACTCGCGCAGTAGTGGAATCACCACGGGCCCGCCGCCAAAGATGATGGTACCTGCCAGATACATGTTGGCAAAGAAGCTAAACAGTAACGAAGCCTTCTGGACTGTGCCCCGTACCACCATGACCACTACAAAACTGACTAGAAAGCATATAATGATGCCTAAGCCGAATTTCCATGAAAATGGTAACTGGCGCTCTTGCGGGATAGTGCGGACTTCGGCCTCCGCAGCACTCTGGACCGCCTCTTGGTCTGTTACTCGATGGAGTTCCTGCTGTGAATCGGTGGCAGCTTCTATGGTTCGTGTCTGGCATGGTTGGCGCGTAATGTAGGCCGTCCAGGTGGATAAGAGGGTTGTGACGGCACGGACGGGGTGGTGTAGCCACCGGAAGTCGTGGATGATGGTAACAATGCCCGAAATGACCATGAGCAGAGGAAAGTACCAGAGTGCATTGTATAGTAGACCGGCTGAGGCGCTGAGAAATACAATGATGCGAGTCAGATTGTCGGTAATGGCCTTTTCTGAAAGCTGCACGGCCGCAAGCGCAATGATGCCGACTGTGGCTGCGTTCATGCCAGATAGTAGGGCGTACACGGGCATCGGTAGATTACTACCAATGTTGTGTACGCCAATGGATAGACCGTACATCCCTAGTGCTCCGGGAAGACTATTGAAATGAGAATGCTGCTGTTTTGCCCGGTGGGGATATCAGAGTATAGGTTGGACACTTACCTCCAAAGGAAGAAACTAAGAACAGCACTCTCTAGGCCGTCATGGATCAGGTTGATACAGTAGTGCATTTTGGTGCTCCCAGGGCCTGAAAAGGCCTGACATATGCTAAACAGCTCTTGATACTGCCATTGCCCTGTTAGTCAGTTTGCGACGAGCAATAGCGATGGTGGAGAAGGACGTACCATTTGCTCATCGATCCATTGTAGTTTCTCTACATATTTCTCGTGAAACTGGTTGTATGTGTTAGTCACGCGACATCCAGAAACGCATTCGGGTCGACTATACAATTTTAAAGTGTACCGGAGGGCCGCCAAACGAAGTGAAGCCCAGGAGATAGTTCTGGCGTACGCCGCTCCATAGGCGCTCGGACAAGTTGCGAGATTCCATGCTCAGCAATTGTACTTGTTAGTACGATAAATGGCATAGTTCATGAAGTTCCTTTTTTCAGCTGTGTTGCGTGGCGCTGCTCAAGTTTTTATATATTCTCGCGCGCCAAGTATACTTGCGCCACTGTGAAGCTAGTGGCGCCTTTTTGCCAGCGTCCAATCCTTCGGCAAGCCGCCAGCCACGTGCGCGTTTAACCGTTGGCGCGAAAGGCTAAAGTTTAGTTGCGATGTCGTTGTTCGAGAATATGTAGGCATAAATCGTGTAGCACATTCTCTTGTATATTGTTGTTTACTGAATGTACCGTGAGCGACTAGTATAACAGTGCAAGCCTAGAATGAGGTGGTTTTAGGCGTGAAAAGATCAAAGACGGCCTTGTACCATTACGGAAAATATTATACCGTAGAACAGAGCTGGAAGATATATATTTATATATGTATATGCCATTATGTTTTGCCACTAGTTTCTGTCGCCGTATCTCGTATAGTAATATATTGACGCTGCGGCGCTAAGCGGATGCTTGGGCAAAGCATCAGCCGAGATCAAAATCTTCTATGACATAAGTTATTTTCATTACACCCCTCTAAATATAATGCTATACATTTATTCAGTTAAAATTTGTTCAGTGTTTCCAACACGGCCTTGAGCTGGCTATCGTCGCCTACTGCTGCAAGACTTAGAAGATCCCACGGCTATAAGCTAGCTCGCTTATCTTGATTTTTCAGTTGCATCAAATGTCGCATAACCTTTACCATATAATGCATTCGCTGTAGTTGCTGTGGTAAGTCAGCAAACGGAACAGCCTCATCAGCAGGCAACTTATGAATGATTAACCGGACGCATGTCAACAAGTTTACCACCAATCCTGCTGCCAGTGGCGTCGCAAACGAAGTTCCCGATTTAAATTCGGTCCTTGACTTATCAATTTGAGCGTGACCATGAGCTTGTAGTTCCACACTTTCTCCAAATGCGTAGAAGATGGGAGGCGATTCGTTCTCATCCGGATTGAAAGTTGAAATATGTCCATCGCCATCCGTTGCGCTTATTCCAAAACCGTTTGCCTCTCGCGCTGGCCACGCTATTCGTTTATGTGCTCCATCGTTGCATGTTGCTGCAAATAGAAGAGGCGGATTCTTCGCAAAAATACACTCTTCCTTGGTGCTCTAATACTACTTGAAACTCGCGATGCTAACTGCTATGGGTGGGCCGCTTACTGAAGTGGTCCACTTACTGGTAAATTACGTTAGTTCCTAGCTTAAGGTTGGAGCGGAGTTTCTTCTTCGAGTACACGCTCGCTTAAACAGAGTAGTTAATTTCCAATCGCTCATATTAGAATATTTACAACAGGGCGGCATTCATCTTACTATATACACGCAAACCACCCGTATCCTTTCAATTAGGCACTTGGGAAATATTCGGCATTAATTTCGCACTTGACACCCTCCTCCGGCATCGTTCCATGGCTAAAGTACGCACGGATGTGCTTGGCAGCGCAAGCAGAAGGCATCGCCAGGGAACAGTGGCCATAGCCTTGCACTTCGACGATGCGCGAGCCCTCAAACATCTTTGCAGCAATCTCGGCGGCCTTTAGAGGACAGACGGGATCGTACGTCATGGACAGAATCAAAAGCGGATGCGCCGTCTCCACGTGCTGCACGGGCTTGTATTCGTGCGACTTCGGCATATCCCACTGCTGCTTCAAGTAGTATGTCAGCTGTGGCGATGCAGTAGCAAAGCGATGTTGGTCGAACCACGGCAGAAGCAGGCGAAGCAGTTCTTTGCGCTCTTGGGGCCAGTGCTCTGGGCCAGTCGCGGCATCGTTGAGCGCAATAACTCGGAATGCCTCGCCTTGTGGGTGAAACAGGTCGCCGCGGCCGTAATTCAGAAAGGCGCTGGTTGCGTTGCCTTCCAACAGCTCTGCCAGCGAACTAGCTAGGCGCGGCCAAGTTTTGGGCGTGTACAGTTCGCGGAAGATGCCGTCGTTCCAGAGCTTGGAGTCATCAAGAATTCCGTGAGTATGTGTATCAATGTACACGCTTAGAGGGCTGTTGCGCAGCTTGTTGATCGTGGTGGCAACCTTGTCGGCTAGCTCTGGGCCTGTCTTTCCGTGTTTACTTAGCGGGCAGGCCTTCCCAGCCTTTACACATTCGTCGTAGAAGCCTGCGTGCACAGTGTCTGTGTCGATAAACATGGTCGAGTCGAGTTGTTCCTCAAACCAGCCGCGCTGGTCAGCAACACCATCAATGAGGATGCGTTTTGATTTCTCGGGGTAGAGAGTCGCATATACTTGTCCGAGTGTGGTACCGTAGCTAAAACCCCAGTATAACATGTCGCGCTGGCCAATAGCCTCCAGGATACTGTTCATGTCTGCAGCGGTCTGCGGCGTATTGAGATACTTGCCGTGCTCGCCCAGGCTGTCTCTGCACGCTCGGACAAAGTTTGTCGACCATGCGTACAGCTCGGGACTGTCACGGATGGCATCGGACTTGCGTACCGTTCCAAGCTGTTGGCGCGTCTCTTCATCTGGGTAGCATGAAGCAAGCGGTGTGGATGAGTTGACGCCGCGCGGGTCAAAGCTGAGCAGGTGAAAGTCTTCGCCGACAATGTCCTGCAGCTCTTTGCCGTAGTTGAACACAAACTCGTAGCCGCTAGCACCGGGACCGCCAGGGTTTAGGAGAATGCTTTCCTTAGCATTGTTTCCTCTCAGGCGGAATAGCGGAATATTAAAGACCTGGTCTCCGGAGTTGGTCGTGCTGAACTGGTCCATTGGCACACGTATAGTGCTGCACTCCACCTCGTGATTGTTGACCTCGCCACAGGGCGTCCATCGGATATTTTCGCCAGAATATGCTAACCCATTGACTCTGAATCTGGACATCCATGTGTGCGATACCTTGTGGACTAGCTCCCGCACCCCAAAGGCACATAGCACCAGTAGTCCGACTGTGCGCCACGCCGGGGTGCTCCTGCGGGTGTTGTGACGAAGATGGCCTTGGCCGTATACATTTGCATTCTTTTCTGGAAGAGTGTGTAAATCCATCGCGTCTTGTGGCAGCAGAAATGCTGAGGGTGCGATGATGTTGAGGGGAAACAAGAAGGCTGGCGTTGTGACGCGTATTAACCAAGAGAGGATGCGATTGGCTGAAGCTCCCAGGCACCCGGATGTACAGCAAGCCACCCAATTAGCGCCGTACCGAAATGAACAGTGTTTACTGCCAGAAATATATTTACTTTATCCAAATAAGAATTTAGAATATTATTTCACTTAGAAAATATATCATTTATAACGCGAGTTGTGCAATGCTCACATCCACCTATTGTTATTACAGAGGAGCCACGTAGAGAAACTGTATATAAACAATATAAAGTCATCAACGTAATAGGAAATCTAGATCTAAAACAAAATAAAAACACAATTTATAATAAAAGGCCCCGTAACCATTTTATTCCTCACTGACCGTAACTTTGACCAGCTTACTCTTGCCAGCAATCTTTGCAGCTACATCGGCCAGCGGCATAGCGCTCAGAATATCAAACACAGAAATGTCGCTCTTCATGTTCTTGAGAGCGCGGTTTCGAATCTCAACAGCTTGCAGAGAATCCACTATAAATATTGTTAGCATACGAGTTATCCATTGCGTTGGCGTATGAAAGAGGATATAACTTACCACCGTAGTCATACAGAGGCTTTTGGGAGTCCACTTCGTCCAGAGAAACGCCCATAGCAGCAGCAACCAGCTCCTTAATATTATCTTCGACAGCAGCTGCAGCCTCGGCCATGGTTGTGGCGTTGGAGAGCAGTGTGCCAACGTCCTGCTTGGAGTCACCATCGCTGCTGGCGCCACTGTCAACAACGCGCAGCTCAAACTTTTTATCTTTGGAGAATCCACCCATGGCCTCGTTGTGTTCGATTCCTTCACCTAGACCCAAGACCAGCTGTGCAGGTGCACGCTGTCCAGACGTGGTGGCACACTTCATCACGGCGCGCATCACGACACCAAGTTCGCCAAGGTTAGTCTGTAGGCCCTTCCAGCCGTGCTGATATCTGCCAAGGTAACTGGCCAGGTCTCCAAATTCACCAGCATTTGTAAAATGGGATGAATCAGATACTAGACCAACGTCAATACTGGTGGCATTGATGTTGAGATGTGTGTTGGCATAGTGCGCAAGAGCATCCTCAAAGGTGTTGCCAGAAGCGTAGTTTGCCTGGGCCGTATTGCCGATTACGCCCGTAATGGAAGACAAAAGGATGAAGAAAGTGTTATCCTCTGGCCAGATGTTGGCGAGCAAGTTGCGAGAACCTCGGGTCTTTGGCTCAATGGCATGTCGCCATTGGGCAAAAGACATGTTGTCAAAGATACCATCATCCAAAACCATGGCCAGTTGAATGACACCACCGATCTTTCGTCCGCTTGTCTTCAAGTTGTCAAATACTGTGGCAACGCTCAGAGCGTCATTGATATCACACTTGAAAGCCTCAGCCTGCACACCGCGATCTGTAAACTTTTGCAGATCCTCCTGGTTCTTGGCACCACCAGATCTCGAAAGGAAAACAAGGTTCTTGGCTCCATACTCTGCCATCCAGTTGGCAATGTCAAGTCCGAGGGCGCCCAGACCACCAACCAGAACATAAGTAGCCTTGTCATCAAGCTGTAGGGGCTCAGTGGCTGGAGCAGGCATTAGCACCATGCTGTCGTCTTGCAAGGACACAACAGTTGACTCTGTTTGGATCTTGTAAATTACAGATGCAAGATCCGACAGAGGCAAAACAGACAGCTCAGTGGATGGCTGTGGCTTAAAGTCCTTGAAGGTCTGTTGGAACAGGCTGCCGACGACATCGAGTCTGGCTTGCACAACTTCGGCCATGTCAACTCGGGAGACGGTGACGTTGTTCTTAGCAGCAAAGGACTTGGAACTGTCTCTGCTAATGTCGATAAATTGACTGAACTGGCCGAGAATGGACATGGCTCTGTCAACATGTGTTCCAGATCGCTGGCTGATGAATACATTGACGCCGCGATGTTGCGTGAGAATTTCGATCAGAGGCACAAAGTTGGCAGAGAGCGAATCAAAGACGTGGTTTGATGGTAGACCAAACTGCTTGTTTAGCAACTCCTTCTCATCCTTGCTGTAGACAAGGGCAAAGATGGTTGTCTGCATGACCTGGGCGACTTGAATCACTGCTTGGCCAACTTCGCTAGCGGCATCATCCACCAGAAGTGTCTGTCCTGGTCTCAAACGTGCGAGCTCGTTCAAAATGTACAAAGCAGTAATAAAGGGCTCCACCATGGAAACAGCTTGCGTTGCGGCCATAGACTCAGGTAACGGTGCAACAAGAGCCGACTGTTGGCGTATGTGAGTCTTGGAGGTGCTGTTCGAAAACACAACTACCTTTTGGCCAATGCTGAAGCCAGTGACATCTTCAGCCTTCTTGGTGACTACACCGACTGCATGGCGTACCTTGGCCAACTTTTGTCCGGGTCGGATACCGGCATATTCGACTCTGACTTCCACCTCGCCAGGCGCAAGAGTAGCGTTGGCTTGTTCATCTGGTATCCAGATACAGCCAGAGCCCGCGGATTCAGTGGCTTGGAGAGGCTTGCCAATAGAGCCAAGGGATGCCAGGACTGGCTTAGCAGTGTTGCTGGCTAGCTGAAGCTCATAATCGAAATCGGCCTCTTCGGTAGCGCGGGCAATATGGATCAGGCCGTTGCCTTCAGCGTATTCCATGTCGGCATCTTCTGCTAGTGAGTTCTTCCAGGCATTCAGGATCAAATCACTGTAGGCTGGGCTAGTAATATCAGCAATCGCAGACATGTCGAACGAAGGCAGCACTGCGATTGGGTTCTCGTTGCGCATAACACGGAGCAGACCCTGGCTGGTAGCGAATTCGACGCCGTTGGCCCAGCTTTCAAGTAGGCTGCCATGTGTAATCCAGAATAAGTGGCTAACAGTGGAAATCAGCGTCTTGAATGCTGTAAACTGTCCTTCATTCCACTGGTACACAAGAGGTGCATCTACCTCTAGCAGAGAGATGACAGTCTTGCCACTGAGCTTGGCCATTTCTTCTGAAGTAAACTGAACCTGTTCCACTATGAGTCCAAGCGCTTCAAGGTTGCTCTGGATGTTTGCAACAAAGGCCTTGAGCAAGTCGGACTGTGTCTCAGGAACAAGGAGAGCAACAGACGATGGTGGTGTGGTAGAGAAAGATTTGGCAGAGGCAAGAACCAATGTGTTGGTGGAACGCTCAGTGAAGCTTGTTCTGTGCTTTTCAGGTTGGTTCAAAAGCGTGATGTTGTTCAAATCTGCAACAGAAGTGAGACAGACCACAGGAGCCAGGTTCGAGAAAGACTCCATGTCATGTGTTGAAGGATCAGATCCAAGAATGACAGCAATGTCGCGAGATTCGGCAGCAAGAGACAAAATAAGTTCTGGCTCCGCTACCAAGCGATACTCCACGGTATTCGACTCTGTGGTATGCCCAAGGACTGCTTCCATGGACTTGGAGACAGTTTCAGAGACTGCGTAGGCCGTAATCTTCTTGGGTCCGTACGATCTGTTCTTGAGTTGACGGAGAGTCTCTATGGAACTCTCTGATTCATCGAGTAAGACGACTGTAGCGACAGTGCTGGAAGACTTCAAGAAAACAGAATCAAAAACGTTATCCAAGGAATCCTTGGTGACGTTTTGTAAGTCAGCGTCGTTTGTCACAAAGTTCATGTCAGGAATCCAGGTCAACGAGGCACAGTTCTTCACAGCTTGATTAGCCGCAAAGTTGGCAGAATCCAAGTCGTCTCCAGCTGTGACCTGACGCAGAGCAAAGTTCTTAACTGTCAGCTTTGGTGCAGTCCAGTCTTGATCGGAGACAATGAGCTCGGCTGTAAGCTCATGGCCGTCATGGGCAAGTAGGCGTCCATAACCAGAGTAGAGAGACTCGGGGCCCTTCGGCTGGTCGCTGGCAATGTAGATTTCCTCAATGCTGTAGGGAACAACGGCCTGCTTGGTAGGCTGTCCAGCATCCACCGAAGCAAGTACCAAGTGGAAGATGGAGTCTAGTGTTGCCGGGTGGATAATGTGAGAAGATTCGTACTGCTTTGGCATGGTTGCTTTGGTATCGGGGACCCTGACAGAGCCGTACGAAGCATCCTGTGATGGGACAGCAGTGAGAGAAACAGTGTTGCGGAAGACTGGGCCATATTGCATGCCAATCTTTTCGAGGTTGTTGTAAAAGTCGTCGACGTTGACTTCCAGAGATCCGGATTCAGCAGTGAGGGCGTTTCGCATAGCTGTCTGCCTGTGCCACAGAGCATCAACGTTGTCTTCTTCCACATCCCTAGCAGCCTCCTGGTATTCAATGGTAACCGTTCCTGCGCAGTGTTTGGTCCATGGTGAGCCGTTGGTCATGGAGTATACGGTAAATGCCCACGAGTTGGTGGCATTGCCGTGAGGATGGAAGTTGATTCGAGTCTCCAAGGGAGCTTCCTCGTCCAACGAGACGACCAAGCCGCGCTCAAAGCTGACATTGCTAAGTCGGTAGCCTTGGATAGTCTTGGAGGCGTCCGCTGTGCGAAGAGCGCCCTCAAGCGCCATAACGAGCATACCGGCTCCAGGATACAAGACAGTACCAGTGATGATGTGGTCTTCAATCCAGGGGTTCTCAGAGACGCGGAGATAGTTGCGCCATTGAGGCTCGTGGCTGTTTTGAGCATCTTCAGGCATACCGAGGTAGTCGCTGCGAACATGAGGAGGGAAGCGGTAAGCTTTGGAGGAGTAAGACTCGTGCCAGAAGCTTCTGCTGTGGTTCCAAGGGTAGTTTGGCAAATGGCACAGCATCTGAGGATCCTTATCCCTGGTATTGCCTTGGTTAATGGCGTTCATATCAACCTTGCAACCTGCAGCCCAGAGAGCTCCCGCAGCACTCATAGCTGTTTCAACGGCGTCCTTTCCACGAACAAGCATGGATGCATAAGGTGCTGCCTTGGCAAACTTGTTGTTACTGGCATCGATGATTTGTCGCAGAGGACCTTGGAGGGCAGCGTGAGGACCAACTTCAAGGAATCCTCCCCATTGTACGGCCACGGGACGAGTACCTCCGGGAGCCTTCTTCTTATGCTTGAGCAGTGCAAAGAGACCCTGTGTGAACTGTACGGGATTCTGCATGTTGTTGACCCAGTACTCAGCGTTCAACTCGACAGAAGAAGTCACCATCTTTCCGGTGAGAGACGAGTACATGACAGGGCTGCCCTCTGTCTCTCTAGCTTCCTTTGGTGTAAGATCGCCAATCATGCCGAGATAAGTTGGCGATACCTCGCGCATGTGTGGGGAATGGTAGGCGGTTGTGACTTTCAGCTTACGGGCAAACTTTCCGTCAGCAGAAATGACCTTTTCCAAATGGTCAATAGCATCAACATCACCAGACAAAGTGACGCTTGACGGGCTGTTGACACAGGCTACAACAGCAGCCTCGGGAGCGACTTGGTCAAGGTATGCCTGAGCTTCCTCTTGTGAGAGACCGGCAGCCATCATAGCACCCTTCTTTGAAACAGCCGCCGAACTGACACCGCGGACATAAGCCAACTTAATAGCATCCGCGTGTGTGAGAAGCGATGCAGCATAGGCGGCAGCGATCTCGCCACTAGAGTGACCAATAGTAGCGGCTGGCAAAATGTTCCAGAAGCGCAAAAGATCAATTAGCGCAACTTGCACAACTGTGCAAAGAGGCTGGCTGTATTCAGGCATGTTGATGTTGGAACCTTCCGTCTTGGTGAGTTCCTCCACAGTATCCCATTTGCAGCCGAGAGCACTGAGATAAGACTGTGACATTTCGATGCTTTGGCGGAAGATGGCGTTCTCGAGCAACTCTTGTCCCATAGCTGGCCACTGGGCTCCCTGGCCAGTAAAGACCATGACCAGATTCTCACCATGTCGTTGCGAGCGAATGGCAGAGGGTAAACCCTTGGTGATCTTGTCACTAAGCTCCTCTACTGAGCTGGCAACGGCGTAGGTTCTGTGCTCCAAGTGGTTTCTGCGCATGCCAAGGGTAAATGCAAGGTTGTCGATCAACGCCAAATCCTTGGTCTCGTCAGAATCCTGATGAAGCCATGTGTTGAGGTCGTCGGCAACACGCTTAGGTCCAGCCTGATCCTTGCCTGTGATTAGGAACAGCTTCTTTGAAGCCTTGACACTGGTGATGTCAACAGGTGCGTCTTCTTCAAGGCCCGAATCTGAGTCAGAGTAGTGGATAAGAGTGTTATGCTTGCCCTTGAGTCCTCTAGCTTCGAGGTAGTGGTGGGCGTCATCGAGAATAACGTGAGCATTGGCACCACCGAAACCAAACGAGTTTACACTGACTCGTCGCATGCCAGATGTTGGCCATCTCAGAATATCCTCAGGCAAGGCGAGGTGCCAATCGGCAAGCTTGAGCTTCGGGTTCACTCTCTCCACGCCGTAGGTAGGAACCAACAGGCCCTTTTCGAGAAGCAAGATGGATTTGAATACACCTGCTAAGCCAGCACAACCTTCAGTGTGACCAACAGTAGGCTTGATACTGCCAATATAGAGAGGTGTTTTGCCAGCGTTGCGTCGAGCAGCTCCCAGGGTTGAAGCAATGGCAGTGAGTTCGAGGGGATCACCGACAGGAGTGCCAGTACCATGGCATTCAAAGTAGTCGGTTTCTGCTTGGTCCAGGCCGGCATCTTCATATGTCTGGTTGATCAGCTCTGCCTGCGCTGTAGAGCTAGGCTGTGTAATACTGGGTGTTTTGCCATCTGCATTGGCGCCGCTGCCACGGATGACTGCGCGAATGGTGTCACCGTCTCGAATAGCATCTGATAGACGCTTAACTATCAGGGCTCCAATACCGTCACCACGACCGTAGCCGTTGGCACGGTCATCAAATGTATGTGAAATGCCCTCGGGGCTAAGCATGTGCATGGCAGTGAGCTGATGATAGGTGTTGGGGTTGAACATGAGGTTGACACCGGCAACAATAGACTGTAATTATATGTTAGTATGCATAAAATACCCATTCACTTAACTTTCATACCATGTTTGTTTCCTTGAGCTTCAGTGACTGACACGCAAGGTGAAGAGCATATAGAGAGGAGCTGCAAGCTGTATCGAGGGTCAAACTAGGACCCTTGAGGCCGTAGAACCAGGAGACTCTGTTGGCAGTCATGGCTTCGCTCAAGCCAGAGGCAGCAGGATGGGGTATATCGTAAATATCGTGTAGTGAAGTCATTTCGTAGTCGTTGGTCATGCAGCCAACGTAGCATCCGGTGCGGCTGTTCATTAGATCCTCGACCATGATACCGGCTATTTGTCACCATAGTTAGACTACGTGAATTCTATGAAGTTGGAGAAAACTCACCATTTTCTATGCTTTCATATGTGACTTCAAGCAGCATTCTCTTCATAGGGTCCATAGCAGCAGCCTCCTTGGCTGTTGTGGAGAAGAAGGGAGCGTCGAAATGGCTAATATCCTGCTGGATAAAGTAGCCATGCTGAGGATGAATACCGCCTTTGCGGTCTGGGTCGGGATGATACCAGTTCTTGCTGTCCCATCGATCAGCTGGAACTGCGCAGTGGCCAGTTTTGACCTTGCTAATCATATCCCATAGCGAACCCAACGATGACGCCTCGCCAGCAAAGCGGCATGATGCACCAATAATGGCAATGGGCTCTTGTTTATCTGATGTGTCCATGGTGTAAATGTGGTGGAAGTAATATGGGACACTAGGGCCGAAAATGAATGAAAGGTAGGATGGGAGATAATGTGAAATGAGGCGACTTATGCTTGGCCAGGATATCTAATGCTTATATACAATTAATGATTGCCACCATAGTTGATCTTTGTAAGGCTGACTCCCACCACCCGATACACATTCATATTGCTACGCATATTGTTTGAAGGCAAAGCCGCCGTCGCCGCTGCGGGATGCACAACACCACCGGCGCGCCGCGCAAGCTTCCGGCGCCGATGGACGACCGGGCCGGATCGAATTCTTATCGGTGCTCCTTTGTTCTGGAGTTCTTCCAATGCCGTGCCTTGGTTAGGTTAGCCTAAATGGGAGGATAAGCGCTACGGCGAAACAAATCCAACCGGCGGATTTGATTGGCACAACAAGACAGTCGCGGTGGCTCGGGACCGACACGGCGGCTTTTTGTAGACGGCCCGTTTCAAAAATGGGCTAACGCCGCTGTCATACAATATAGGGCTAGTTGTACTAACTTGGGGGGAGACTAATACAACTAACAAACAAAGCCAAGCTACTCTGTTTCTTTTTTTTAATTTGGAAAATTTTATTCCCATCTCCAAAAATACTATCTCAACATAATCAAAACCTCCAAAAATTAAACATGAAGATTCTCTGTCTGCACGGTGTTGGTAGCTCCGGCGCCATCCTCGAAGCACAAATGGCCAACTTGCGCAGAGAACTAGATCCTAGCTTTGAGCTGGTCTTTATTGACGGACCATTTGAGTGCGAGAGAGGTCCTGGTACGTTAACCTTGTAATTTGATCTCATATATTGTATTGACACCATACTGCACAGGCATTCCAGAGCACCAGCCTGGTCCGTTCTTCTCCAACACGCAAGGCTACTCGCCCATGGAAATCGCACAGGCTACAGAATATCTCGAAGAAGCACTCGAGCAAGAAGGGCCATTTGATGGTGTCTTTGGATTCAGCCAAGGTGCTGCTCTGACATTATCGTACTGCTACCAGCAGCAGGCCGCTGGCAACCCTCTCCCCTTCAAGTTTGCTATCCTCTTCTCCACAGCCATCCCGCTGAGCCCAGATGCGGATCTTGGCGACACCATCATTTCCAACCTTCGAACACTAGAGTATGATATCACAGACCGCGAAAAGGCCTGTGGCAAGACACTGTCTACCGCAGAGCAAGAGTTTGTCGATCTCATGCAGCGAACCGTGGTGGATGCCGCCGACCAAGACCCCCTCTTCCCGTGGGTAGACATGGATATCTACCGCTACGGCGAGCGTGATTGTATCCCACGAGTCATGTATGCGTCGGTCCTTTCACAAAAGATTCAGATTCCCACTGTTCATGTCTGGGGTCAAAACGACTTCAACTACATGATTCAGATGGCGGAAGTGGCACGCAGCATATGCGACGAGTCGATGGCGAGGACGGTTTTACATGGAGGATTACATGATATCCCGAAGAAGCAGCCAGAGATTAAGGCCGTGCTTCGAACATTAGATTGGGCCATGGCTCAAGTATAGATTTCCTTTGTTTGTTTTTTCTTTTCTAGAATTATTTAGCGCATTGCAGTTACATAGAAATTAGAGCATTCGTCTTTACAAACAAACAAAGTCTTTCCTAAACTAAAAATCAAAGTCACCATCACTCAATCTCCTTCACTACATGTTACTAAAAGAACCTGCCGTGTACTGATTGCGTGTCGCCGGCTGCTTTACTCGGCCGGCGCTCCGCCAGATCGGACATCCGGAGACGGCCTCGTCCAAATCGGGCAACAAGCCGGATCCTATCTCGACCACCGGCCGTCGGTGACAGCTCCGGCGGCCTGTTTATTACATATGTCCTTTTATATTCTATATACAATCATTTTCGTCAGTGTCATCAAATATACCCATTCGCTTTTGTTATACTCATTCTACATACTTCCTTCGGTCTCTTTCTCGTTACTCACATTCCAAACCACAATCATGAAAGCTGCACGCGTCCGCCTCACTGATCCGGAGGGCAAGCCTTATGGCTTCCCTGGCAATGTTGCACCATCGTCTGCAATTGAGGTGCTTGAGGATGTTCCCAAGCCTGAAATCTCAGAGGCCGGTCAACTCCTAGTGCAAGTCAAAGCATCCACAGTCTACCGCGACAATCTGGAATGGAACGAGCTCTACCCCCCAAGCCACGCACAACTTGGCAACGACTTTTCTGGCATTGTTGTTGCCGTTCACCCAGACGAGACGGAATACAAAGTCGGCGATCATGTATACGGCATGACACATGCTAAGCGCGGAAGCACATGGGCGGAATATGCGCTCGTCACAACCGAAGAAACGGTGAAGAAGCCAGACAACTTGTCTTGGGAAGAAGCCGCCGCTATACCGGGAAGTGCCATCACCGCTGACCAAGCTCTCTTCATGCATGCTGGACTCGAAACCAAGGCTACAACTCCTCAGCGCGTTCTTATTACCGGAGCAAGCGGTGGTGTGTCAACGTACCTGGTCAAGTTTGCTGTTGCTGCTGGCCATCACGTCGTAGCCGCGACGAGCTCAAAGGAACGCAACGGCGCTTTCCTTACTTCCATCGGTGCGCATGAGGTGGTTGAGTACAGCGAGCTTGATGCGCTGGAAAAAGTTGATTATGTGATTGACAGTGTTGGTGGTGATGTGCTTCCTAGCTGTTGGAACGTCGTCAAGCCGCAGGGCACGCTTGTTGAGTTCGACGCTGTGAGCTGGGGCTTCATGGAGGACGCCAAAGCCAAGGGACTTAACGCCGGCAAGGAGGATGTCCGCGCTTTGTATTTCATTGCCGAGCCCTCAAGAATTAGTATGCAGCGCATTTCAGAACATGTGCTGCACAAGGGCTTGAAGGGCATTGTGCTTAAGACGGTGAAGCTGGATGATGTGCGCGCGGCCTACGAAGAGGTGCATTCGAGAGGCATTGGTCAGGGCAAGGTAATTGTCCTTATTTAGATTATATACGATACATTAGCGTTTTTCATCCATATATCTGTCTCTTTTTATCATAATTTTCCTTCACAGAGTAGGCTATCCCTTGTGTCGTGTCCATTGCTCGTCGCCAACAAGTCAGAAGGAAAGAAATGTTCAACGTCATGCCACTGGTCACAGTGACGCAAAGCAAACGAATTCGACGTATATGAAAGTTATGTCTGCATAAGATTGAAATTTATTCTATTGGAAAATCTATAACTGAGTTTATACAAAAATATAATCATCTACTTTCTGAGCTCCCAGTCAGACTCATCAGCCTTGGCCACTCCCAGACGCTGGCTCAAAGTCACCCAGGCAGCCGTATTAACCAACTGTCTGAAGGCTTTCGGGTTCGGCTTATCGCCCCATGCTACTTCCATAGCATCACGGATAGTAGGATAATCTACAAATCCGAGCTGTTCGACTGCTTCCTGAGTAAGAATTGCCCGGAATTTGCTGTGTAGAGGGCCACCTTGTGCCCATCTGGCGGGTGCGAGGAAGGGATGCTTTTTACGCTTGTACAACTCGTCTGTAATATACGGGCGCACGGCTTCACGCAATATCCACTTCTCATTGAGCTTCAAGAGAGCTTTGCTAGTCTCATTCAGTGTAGGGCCCAGCTCTCCATGGTCCATCTCCGTGTCGTAGTTGATTTTGACACTGGGAGGAAGACGATTTACATACTCGGTAAGGTGATGGTCCAGGAACGGTGTACGTGCTTCCACGCTGTGTGCCATTTCTGTACGATCACCCAAACACGAAAGTAAAACATTGGCCAAGGCGTTCTTCTTCCACAAGTACATGGCTGTATGCAGCGGGTGCCATCTGGAGCGCATCTTGGCCTGTACATCCGTCGCGTGCGAGTTCAGGATGGTCTGGCGGCAGTCATAGTCTGCATGGGCAGCTTGCACCCATGGGGCAAAGAGAGTTGACGCTGGGTGCCACGCCAGTAGGTGGTCTCCAAACTCTGTAGCTCCAGGTCCGGCAATGGAGGGGGGTGTAGGGCGATCAGAAGCAGGCGTAGCGCCGTGACGGCTCCAGACGTCGTTGAGCTCTGACTGGACGGCTGTAAACATGTCACTGCGCAGTTGTTCGTTTTGAGCCAGCGGTGTGTCAGGCATCGCTCCATCTACCTCACGAAGAAATTCTCCCGAAAAGTACTTGTAACCAGCAAAGTGCTCGTCCGCGCCTTCGCCCGTCAAAACCACCTTGACACCATGATCCCGGGGTAGTGTAGACAGAGCAAACTTGGCGACAAAGTTAAAGTCAAAGTGATGGTGCTCACAGTGGTAGACGGCGTCGGTAAAGTCCTGGGCAATTGTCTCCTCGGTGACGGACTTTTTGATAGTCTTGACACCAAGCCACTCAGCAGTTCGCTCAGCGATTTCTATTCTATCATTAGAATCGGTTCACTTGTAGCAACTAGAGATGGCTTAAAACTTACGTGATTCGTCAAACCCGGAAGTTTCAGGAAACTCGACGCTAAAACACGTCACTCTTGTGGCTGCTTCGTTGCCAATCTTGACATTTTCCTTGCGAGCAAGCTCCGTGACGATACCAGCAATGGCAGACGAATCGATGCCGCCAGAGAGGTAGATACCAACAGGTACATCGGCACGGAGACGGATACGAACAGCTTCGACAAGTTTCTCGCGGACGCCAGTGACCATCTCTTCAATTGTTCTAGTTTCACGCTTGGTCTGATTACACGTAAACCGGGTTAGTGACTCTATGGCAACGGCGAGTAAAGAACGACATACCTTATCTTCGTATTCTGCATCCCAGTACTTAACATTCTTGATGCCGTCTCCCGTGATTTCCAGGTAGTGGCCAGGCAAGACCTTGCTCACACCTCGGAAGAGCGTGCGCTCATCAAACATCCAGCCGCCGTCGACCATTCCACGCACATCCCAGCGCGCCTCCCAGCCAAAGGCCTTAAAAGCCTTGGCCTCAGATGCAAGCAGCAATTTTGAGCCAATAGTTGTGTACACAAGAGGCTTGATACCATAGCGATCTCGGCCAGCAATCACACGCTCAGTACCATTGCGCTCGTCGTGTAGAACAAATGCGAACTCGCCGCGCAGGTGCTTCATAAACTCTGGGGCGCCATGGATCTTGTAGAGCGCAAGAACAAGTTCGCTGTCACTATCGCTCTGGAACTGGTATCCTTCTGCTTCGCATTCTTGTCGAATACGATCATAGTCGTAAATCTCGCCATTGACGACAGCATGGATTTGCTGGTCGGTACTGTGAAGAGGCTGTCGACCTGCGACAGAAAGATCGTTGATGGACAGGCGGCAGTGGGCGAGGCCTACTGTCTCGTCGTTGCTGATCCAAATACCTGAGTCATCCGGACCGCGATGGTTGATGAGATCGACAGAATCTTGGAGTTGAGTCTGCAGCGTTGGGGTGACTTTGTGTGGTGTGGTATGGCCGTTGGTCGTGACACCGTTAGTGGCAGTACCATTGCCATTGCAGTGGCCGGTAGCGCCTGGAAGCGAAATACAGGCAGAGAAGCCACACATTGTTTCGATAAGTGTATGTATAGGTGTGTGCTGCTTTCTTTTCTTGGCACAAATTAATTAAACGTCAATGTTTCTAAACATTTACATAGTGCCATGGGCCTTTATACCATCCCTCTAACCGGCGACTTACACCAGAGATAGAGTTTACCATGTACAGTAAGCCGCCTTGTCCAAGGAAGGACTACCGGCCAACGTCAACCAAAAGGGGACCACCGTCGGCGCCGAACGGACATCTTGGGGGACTGGGTCAACCCGCCGGCTCCGGTCCGGTGTAGGGGTGATAACAGCAATCCATATACCCTATAATATATTTACAAGAAAATATTTTATAATAAATAGATATATCATGAACACTCTACGTGATAGTAAACATAAAGCTACTAATAATATTCAAATAATTTATGTATTATAATACCGCTGTTTCTGGCCTCCAATATAGGCTTTGCAATGGATCTAAATTACAGATCGGAAAGCGGGCGTAAGCATTTACGTTTAGTGCCAACGTGCGGCATCAGCCAAATCCGTCCGCTCCGTTTCGCCACAACCATCTTGTCAACAGAAAGTATCCGTCCCAAGCCAGACAGTAAACCGATGTTGTCTATTTTTGAGACCTTTGTTTTTATTGACACCAGAATAATCATATTCGCTTGATGCATCGTACATCGATATCATTCAGTGTATACGATTCGTCTCTGATGAATCATGACATTGCGATCTCGATTCCCATGTCACGCCTTGATGCATTCCATCTAATGAAGCGGCGCGTTCCACGTGTGAGAGTTCGCAAACCCAGCCTGAAAAGGGCAATTATTTGTGGGCATAGTTTCGTAAAATTAAATTACCATCTAAAACAGCTAGAATTCAAAATTCAAACGCACTCATTGTACAGCTCCCCGTCTCACTGCGACATTGGCCACTCCTTGCGCCGTGTTAGCCCCGCGTAAAAGTTGAGCGGCCGCACAACCAGGAATTCAGGATCGTAAATGACCGCGTCAGGCGACGAGTCGTCAAACTCGTAGCGGTATACTAGCTCGGCCAACACCAGCTTAACCTGCGTCAACGCCAAATTAAACCCGACGCAACCGCGTCCACCTGCTGCAAAGGGTGTGTAAGAGCCCTGGCGCGCCATCTTGGCTGCAAAGCCGTCCTCCATCCACCTGTCTGGTTCGAACCTCAGCGGATTTTCCCAGTGCGCCGGGTTCTTGTGCAAGCTTGGGAAGCAAGCGATGACAATGGAGCCCTTGGGAATTAGATATCCTCCTGGCAGCACAGCGTCCTGTTTCGCGTTACGTGCCGTCTGGAAACTCGGGCTGTGAACGCGGAGGACCTCCTTTACGAAGCAATCGAGAAACTTCATGCCGTGTATTTCATCATATGTCCACTTCTTATCCTTTACTTCACCACGAGCGTTGACCAGATCCTGTAGAAGGCGTTCCTGGTTGCCAGGGTACCGTACAAGAGCGTACAATGCCCATGAGAGCAACGATGAACTCGTGGTAAACCCAGCGCCACAGGTAACTACTACGTTGCCCCGGACGAGCTCGTAAGAGAGGCCCTCGCCATTCTCATCACGAGCACGATATAGAAAATCAGCGATGCAGCGTGACTTTTTAACGGCTTCTGGATCTGACAGCGCCAACGGAGCGCCATCCTTGTCGATGCACACATCCATGGCTTGTTCGACAACGTCAAGCACCTTTTCTCGAACAACCTTGACCTTGGAAGCGTTACTGAATGGTAGATATTTGGTCCATTGAGCTTGCATCGAGGCCTTTTTCATTAGCGATAAATATTCGCCAAATAGCCGGATAGGCAGCGATGGTGGAGTCTTTGGTGTTTCGAAATGTTTGAGGTCCTGGTCTAGTACCACGCGCCAAATGATCTGCGAGGCCAGCTTAAACATGTGCTGATAGACATTGATAGCCAGATTTGCGTCGGCTAATTGATCGAATGCGGTAAAGACAGACTGCGTCGCATCTTGGATCAGCGGCGTAAAGTGTGCGACAGCACGCGGCGACATTGTGGGTGGTACGAATTTGTGGCTGGGCGCAAATGCTGGTGTGTCACTGTCGCAGGTGAATAGACAGTCTTGGTCTGCCATGTAGTGCAGAGGATGCGAGGAATCCGATGTATTTTTTGTAAAGAGCTTGTCTTCACGCAGGACATGACGCGCAATCTCGGGGTCGTTGGTGTGGTAGATTGTCGTTCCCATATTCGTTGTTTTAATCATGGGGCCGTAGATGGAAAACAAGCGATCGTAGTTTCCAAGCACATCAGGATACAACTCGTAACGGTTGCCAACTATGGGCAATGCTCGTGGCCCAGGTGGCTCCCGAATAGGCGCGTCGCGCGTCGAACGGACTTGAATGGCATCTTGAGCCTGGTGTACTTGTTCGATGGTTGAGACTTGATTCTGTAATTGATCCACGAGACATAGTTCTACACATGTTAGAAGATCCCTCTGATATTTTCGGGCAATTCATACCTTTTGTGTCTGCAAAGGCAAAGACATTTGCCAGCGTCTTTTTCAATTGTTCGATTGTCGCAAATGACGAGATGTCGAGGCCATGGAGTTGGCTGCCGGCTTTTGAGCCAATGTAAAATTCTTTGTGCATTTCGTTTTGATTTCGTGAATGATGACAAGGGATAAAATTTTGCGAAATATCTTGAGAATACTCTTCATTTGAAAGGCAAGCGTTTGTACGGCGGCATATTAAGTCGTCGGTGTTTGGCGTTGTTTCCTCCGTCTAAGCATATTTCCTATTTTGGCAATTCGCCGTCTGCTATCTTTGGTAAGGCGCACGCGGACCGCCGATTGCCTCGCTGCGCGGCACCATACAGGAGGACAAATAAACGGCGAGATAATATTAATCCAATAATACCGAATCGCTTGTATGAGTTCCTGTGTAGTATTTTTTTTCTTCTCTTGTTACATCACAACACTTACATTCGCATAATGGCACAACTCACTATAACCCTTGAGGAGCTAGAAGCTCACAATACATTGGATTCACTATGGATCGCAGTTCATGGAAGCGGTACGATATATCGCAGCGCCTTCAATTATATTTTAGTTGCTAATACGCCTTGACTTAGTATATGATCTCACGAATTTCGTATCAGATCACCCTGGTGGTGTTGACGCGCTACACACCTGCGCTGGGTCTGATGGTACCGAGGCCTACGACTACGCCAGCCACAGCAAATCGAATATGAAGAAGATGCAGCAATATCTCGTCGGCAAGTTGGATGGCTACACAGAGGCAGAGCAAACAGACCCTCCCGTTCCTACACATATTAAGACAGTGAATAAGGGTCATTCAAGAGCACTGCCCCGGAAACCACTGGCCCTTGCTGCGTCGAGCATCTCTACCGCCCTCGCGCTCGCCGCCCTTCGACAACGAGGCGTGTTCCGAACATTGACTTTTCCCCTCATGCAGCTAGGAGCTGGCTCAACACAAAATGCAGGCTTGCCATTTTGGGCTGGCATGGCATTGGCATCGATAGTTAGCTGCGCGGGATTCCTTCGCTTGTACAAGCTGTACCAGTCAACTCTAGACTACCAGAATGATGTATTTAGCTTCCCACCCGTGATACCGCGCAAGGCGCGAAAGTAGTGGACACGCGTCTATTCCGCGTCTAAGTATATAATTTCTCTTCTATTTTATTCAAAGTTACATTTTTTTACTTGAAATATGAATTCTTTCTTTATTAAACAAAAAGTATGCCTTTTGATTTACTCGTAGTGTATCCTGCGTATAGCCTGGCTACTTCATTGCCTGGCTAGTAAAAACTGACTATTCGCTAGTCGCAGATGTTCTTGGCTTGCTGGTCGGCAATTTTCAAATGCGGTAATTCGCCGGCCCGGCGTGCCGTTCGTGACGCGGAGCCGCGCAAAAGCCGCCGGGCGCCGCAGCGGAAACGGCGACTAAAAGAGCAATAGGGTAGGCTTCGCAACAACTATGTAAATGGTTTAAATAAGCGTAATATACTTGGTGGATGTTCAAATTTCGTTGGAAAGTTTCCTCTATATATTCTTTTCTACTTTTTAGTTTCCAAAATGCTTCTTGCCTTACAATCCCTCGTTGTCATCGCCGGTGCAGGTTCTTACATTGGCTACTTTGGTCGTGGAGAACACCATCTCAATGGAGTCATGTATATTCAAGTACACACTGGCGTGTTCTTGGGATTGACAGCTCTATTTTACCGATTCGGTCTGAGCTTACCAGAAGCTATTAAGCAAACCTTCGTCTATGATGTCCTCTTTTTGGGCGGCTTGTTTGCCAGTCTTTTGATTTACCGCGCGTTTTTGAACCCCCTCAACGTCTATCCTGGACCATGGCTAGCGCGCATCACCAGCTTCGAGATGCCGATGCGCATTCGCAAGGGCCAGATGTACAAGGCACTACAAGATCTACACAAAAAACATGGCCAGTTTGTTCGCATTGGCACCTCAGAGGTCTCCATTACACACCCCAATGCAGTTCGTGAGATTTTCGGCCCAGAATCTGTCTGCGAAAAGAGCATCTGGTACGACATTAGCCGCCCTCAGGATTCCCTCCTCCTTCGCAGAACCTACGCTGGGCACGCGGAACTACGCTCTGTTTGGAGTCATGCCTTTTCCATCAAGGCTATGAAGGGCTACGAAATCCGCATCCAGCCATACCGACGAAAACTCATCGACGGACTTGACGCGCACAAGGGCGAAGCTGTTGACATCAACCGATGGCTCGCCTTGTACTCTTGGGACGTGTTGAGCGATCTCTCCTTTGGCCACCCATTTGGCATGCTGGATACAAAGGAAAAGCACTGGGCTATTAACATTTTGAAGAAGGGTATGAGTGTGGTTGGCCCTCACTTGCCCATGTGGTTCATGCGCATCCTAAAGGCGATCCCCGGTGGCCAGAAGGATCTCAAGACAATGCTTGATTATTGCCAAGGAGAGATGCTCTCCAGATGGAAGGTAAGCATATCGAAGCCTTTTTTTCATTTTTGTACAGTTTCAAAAGTCCAACGAACCCATTGCTAATTCACATCGTTTACCTGTAGCATGAGCCTAAGCTTCCTGATGTTATGAGCGCCTTGTTTGCTCCGTACCGAAGCAACAAGAAGCCCTTTGACGAGGCCGCAGTCAATCTGTTGGCTGGAGAAGCTCATCTCCTCATCAATGCCGGAAGGTAAGAGTTTTTTTTTTCCTTGTAAAAAAACGGCCCTCTCTCTCCCTTGCCCCCCTTAGTTAGGAATTTGCGACATGCTGACGAGAATCCTTTCAATTGCAGCGACACCACGCGAGTCACCATCTCCTGCGCTCTGTTTGCGCTAGCAAAGCAGCCTGAGCTCGCCCAGCGGGTTCGCGAGGCCCTGGCACCGCATGTGCCGTCCCCCGACGCAGACATTCTCGACGAGCAGGTCGCAGACGTGGACATTCTGAATGGTGTTATTTCAGAGTCGCTACGCATGTACCCACCGAGTCCCAGTCACCCAACGCGAGTCACCCCCCCTGAAGGAGCCACCATCGCGGGCAGATTCATTGCGGGTGGAACGCAGCTAATGGCGCCCCAATATGTGATAGGACGAGGTAAGTGACGTCTTCCTTCAGTGTGTTATTGGTAGCAAATGTATTGACCCGCTGGTCCGCTCAATGTACAGACGAAACCATCTTCCCCCGCGCCAACGAATTCATCCCCGAGCGATGGTATAGCGCGCCCCATCTGGTCAAGGACAAGCACGCTACGGCGCCCTTTTCCCTAGGGCCTTGGGCCTGCATTGGCAAACCGTTTGCCATGACAAACGTCCGCCTCACCATTGCAACCATCATTATGCGCTACGATCTAAGCTTTGCCCCTGGCTCTGCAGATCCTGTGGCCGACTTTGAAGATGGTATGCACGAACACTTTAGTCTCCAGCCTGGCCCATTGTACTTGAAAATGCAGAAGCGCTGGTAGCAGGGGCACAAGCCAGGGAGAAGAAAGGCTCAATTGGGGATCAGCCAGCAACCGCGTTGAGAGGAGACCCTTGCTGCACGTTAAACGCCAATTAGAGTAGCCGCTTGTAGGCCGGCGCTGATGTATGCATGTCTTAGGTCGTGGGTTTGATTTTTTTCTTCTTCAAGGATCCAGGGACGGGTATTGCTCCTTTTTTGTTGTTTTTTAATAGGTTGATTCTCTTGCCTCGAGCATAATTTACAGCCAATGATTCTCGTTAATCTGTCTGTGGAGCTGAGATGTGACTGTGCCGTGCAGGTAGGAATGATCAGCCATTCCAACGGGAATGAAGTCGTCCACGCCGGCCTTTCTTTGCGCCAGTGGTAATTTTCCAATGCATTCCTAGGCGCCTGCGCGTAACCTGAGTAACATTTCTCGAAAATACCACTGGGTCAAAACATGGGCTTCCACGCCTAATCTGGCTAGATACGCGACGGCTTCTTCCAGGCATATATATTGTACTTCCTTTCCTCTAGTCCCAATTGCTTTCCTCATCCTCGCATACATCTTCAACTCTCTACACACCTTTTCAAACCAAACCAAAAACCAACCCTCCACATTCAAAATGGTCTCCGTCCGTTTCATCGCCGCAGTCTTCGCCGCCACTGCTGCTGCTCTGCCCGCCACCGCCCCTGGCGAGTACTGTGGTTCCGGCATGGAGCTTAACTGCTGCAACCGCCAGTTCGACTCCAAGTCTGCTGATATCGGCCCCCACCAGTCCGGTCTCCTCGCTGGTCTCGTCAATGGCCTTGCCGGTGGTGATGGTCTTTCCATCCTCGGCGACTGCTCTCCCATCGACCTTGCTTCCCGTATGTTCTACTTACACCATATGTCTACTATCTTACTAACATGCTTCAGTCATCGGTGGTGGTGCCCTTCTCAACGGCCAGACCTGCCGTGGCAAGGTTGCTTGCTGCAACCGCTCTCAGTCCGTCGCCGTTGGTGGCCTCCTCAACCTCGCCCTTCCTTGCGTTGCTGTTGGCTCTGCTGTCAACTAAAAGGTTTTCCTTTGACGCGTGATTTTAGAGGACGGACCCGGTGTTTACTGATACCTACTTCAATTTTAATTTCCTTTGTACTAATTAATACTTTTAAAACATCTTGCATTTTCCCACTATAAATAGTTTACTGTGCTCTACGTGATTACATCTTCAATTTCTCCCATCTCATTAACATTCCCGAAAGCAACACGACAGCTGCTCCAGCAATTGAGATTATATAAACCGTAGCAATTGTTGTTGAGATTGCTTCTGCAGTCTGTCTTTTGACTTCGTCGGTACTGTCGCTGATGATGGCAGAATAACCGCCTGCCAGTGCGGCACGAACTTCATCTGCAGAATATCCTTGGCCATGCAGCGCATCTTGTAAGCGATCAAAGCCCACGTTTTGAAATATAGTTCCCGCAATGGCCAAAGCCAGGGCTCCACCACTAAGCTGTGAGACATTGATGAACCCAAGAGCTGATGCGGAAAGGTTTGCAGGGACCTTGACCAGCGCAATGGAATAAGCGAGCTGCATGGTCAGCCCGGCACCAGCACCCAACAGAACCTCAAACCCGTATACACCGGCTGTAGGAGTAGATATCGATGACCTGAACATCAAAATGCTTCCACACAAAGCTAGGATCCCTGAGACAACATACCACCCAGCATACACGTTCAGCCTAGGAAGCAGAGATCCTGACAAAACGACAGAGAAAATCATGAGAAATATAAATGGAAGCAGACGGACGGCCACAGTAATTGCACTATCTCCTCTTGTAAATTCGAAGAAGAGGGGAATGTAGTATGTGTTGAAGAAGCCAACCGCACCAGATCCGGCTGTTGCAATATGCAGGAGAACCAATGATCGACTGTTGAGGCACCATACTGGGAAAATCCGGGTTTCTGGAGTTGTTAGGAAGGCAAATGCCTGCTGAAGAACATAGGCTGCCGTAGTGATAAAAGTGAACACCCAAAGTGTAATGACAGAGCTCGAATTCCATGTCCACTGGGAGCCGCTATAGGTACAAGCCGTGATAAACAGGGAATACGTTGCAGCATTCAGAAGCGCACCTAGCCAATCCAAGTTCTTGACTCGAGGGAGGATTGGTTCTCCGCGATGGGTGCCGTGACGGGGGAACCAGAATATGTAGATTGGGGCTGTGATCGCTGCTAGTACCAGGTTGATGTAGAACGCCCTGAAGTGACCTGGTTAGTGTAAGCCGAGATGATCTCGATGATGAAACCTACCAGCGCCATGTTGCATTACTCTGCGCAAACACTCCGCCTATGACAGGCCCAAGAACAGCGCCTAGACCCCAAAACCTAGACATTTGTAACCTCATAAGCATGTTGTTCCGTGCATAAATGGGCCATTGAATCAAGACTTACACGGTAGTGAGTGCAATGTATAGTGGGCGCTTTGTTGGGGACGTCAAGATGGAAATGTACGTCATTCCACTAATAACGGGGTCAAAACAGTTATGATAATCACAAATAACATCGATTTGCTTACCCAAGATAAATACCAGAACCACCTACGCCTGCCAACACTCGACCGGCTGCCATAACGGACATGCTAGGTGCGGCACCACAAATGGCACTACCAACCTCAAATGCAACAATGCTTCCAAGGTAAAGCCATTTGACCTCCAAGGTGTTGTAGAGAGTGCCAAATAGAGCTACCGTGGCTACTGAGCCAAGCAGGAATCCCGTGCCCACCCATGGAAGTAGAGGCAAGTTTCCAAGGGACGCAAGAATTGGGCCTTGCACATCCGCAGCAATAGTTGAATCGAGCCCGTACAAGAAGGCTGTCAGGTAAATTCCGACGCAGATGCTGAACCATCGAATACCACTGAGCTTGAATTTCTCATTTTCGTTCGTTTCTGCCTCCAAATCGCGTGGCGTTTGAGATTGTGGCTTCTCGACTGACAAGGGTGTCGATGGCGGCAGACTACCCTCTGGAGTATCCAGTACAAGACCCATACTTGTGGATATGAATGCAATTCAATATAAGTGAAAAGAAATCAACTAAAAAGGCTAGGAAATGTTTTCTGAGAATATTTTCTAGAGGTTGTTGACGGGGTCTCCTTGTGTATGGTAGATGCAAGACGCAAGTCTGTGAATATACCCCTCAAACTATTACAAATGCCATATTTGCTGCGCTTGGTATAATTCAATCATAGGAGGGACTTGTACAACGCATCAATTTACGCAGTGTCACTCAAAATGGTTCGCGCCGTTTCGGCACATGGAAAAGGCGCCGTGTCTGCAACCCTCCGGCCCGAACCAAATCGGGTAATTTTTTACAGCGAGATGCCGTCTCGTCTCATACTAGACAAGTGTTGGACGGTGAATCATATAATCAAAATCGCCGTTTCATTGCTTAGTCGCCTGGTTCTGCTGTAAGATATCTCACATTGGCTCCCTCGTCAGAAAGGACGTCTTATTAAATATTTGTATCTGCGCTTTGTCATCACTTAGCTGGATTTCACTCAGCGAAACTTTTACGACACTTCTCAGGTTATTCCGAAAAGTCTCTTTATATCGAAACCGACATTATGGATGGACCAAAGGCATTGATTTGCACTGCGGTTGGCAAAGTTGAAATCCAAACAGTTACCAAGCCTACCCCGCCTGTCGGCCACGTCCTGGTCAAGACGAAAGCAGTTGCCCTAAACCCTACTGACTACAAAAGTATTCACGAGCCTCATGGATCAGCAATAGGAAAACGCCCAGGAGTAGACTTCTCAGGTATAATTGAGGAAGTTGGGCCTGATGTCACAAGACCGTGGAAGAAAGGTGATCGAGTGGCTGGCAGTGTCTTTGGCGCGTAAGTGATTCCCTTTCCCTGGCTACTATATTAGCATTCACCTATACCGTTGGATTTAGCCGCTAACATGGCTTATCGCTGGCAGAAAAGATTCCCAGAGTGGCGCCTTCGGAGACTACGTCGTAGTCCGTGAGCATATGCTGCTCCGCCTCCCCGATAGTATGGCATTTGACCGAGCTTCTACGCTCGGAGTTGGTCTTACGACCTGTGGGCAGGCATTGTACGAGCTTCTAGGCCTTCCATTACCTCCCGCATTACCGGAAACACCCCCACATACCGTCTTAATCGGCGGTGGGAGCACAGCTACCGCGACACTGGGCATCCAATACGCAAAGCTCTCGGGCTTTCGAGTTATCACCACAGCCTCCCCATACAACTTTGAGTACCTCCGGTCGCTTGGTGCCGACATCGTATTAGATTACCGCGAGAGCACCGAAGTCCTCGTTGAAGCTATCAAGGAAGCCACCGGCGGAAATCTTACCCTGGCGTGGGACTGCTCCCCCAACGACAAGTTTCATGAAGTGGCTGCCCGCGCCATGAGCTCCACAGAGAAGGGCATATACGCAACTGTAAATCCGCTTACGCCTGGTGATTTCCTGGCTGAGATCAATCCCATGGTGGAGACAAAGTGGCAGTTGGCTTACACGGTGTTTGGAGAGGAGTTTTCCTTTGGACCCATCACATTCCCAGCTTCAGAAGAAGATGCTACTTTTGGAGCAGCTTTCTGGGAGAGAACGGCCAAGTTATTGGCAGAAGAGAAACTCCACCCTACAAGATGTACTGTAAATAGGGGTGGTGAGGGATTACAGGGTGTCATTGCTGGCTTGGATGAACTCGCTCAGGGCAAAGTTGCGGGTACAAAGCTCGTTTATTCTATGGAATCGCTATAACTGAGGTGGAACTGATGCTCCTTTTGCTGGCAAATATTAAACTATTGCAGATATTCTGTACACTATAGCTGAAGTGTACCCATTTGATATATTCTACATGTTTATAGACGTGTCCCACCACGCGGCCAATGACGCAACGTCGAGCTCTTCCAACGTTGCTTCAATGTAAGATCTCGATGTATCGATAGCAAAGTCTCCTTGGGGGCCACCTATCGATGGTATGAAGTTATCCATGGATGTAACTATTGTATCCACCTGCTCCAACGGCTGCGTCCCGCCTCGCATATCTCTAGTAGTGGATCTAAGTATGAGATTCGGCGCCGCGTTGCACTCGATGCTGCTAACGGGATCGCGTCTCTGCATTTCTCGAACATACCGGGCTTTGGCCATTAAACACTTGACAGGACCCCAATGCGAGCCCTTTTGATTATCCATTCTTTGTTCCCATCCTTCCAGAACCTTTGTAATGCACTGCCATGCACGATCACACTCTGCTGATGGTGGCCGCGAGCAAATCTCGGAGAGAATGAAAGCAATGGTGTGCCACTGCACGTGTGTCTTGCCATGCCAGGCCCATTTCGCAAGACGTTCTTCTGTGAGGAGCAGATATGAGAACTCCAAGGCTTCCATGGAAATGGAAAAGAGTCGGTCACGAGACGCTCCGCTCATATTGGAACCATTGTTATCCTTGGACCCAAATGGAAAAAGCACAACCAGTCTCATTCGTGCAACAATCAAACGTGCAACCACGGTATAAAAGTGTTGAAAAGCCTGGGCCGAATCGAAACCTTTTATGTATCGATCCTCAAAGAGTGCACTAAGATCTTCTACGAAGGACTCTCGATCCTGTATGGATAGAACACCGCCATCTGCTAGACCTGGGATTCTCAAACTCGGCGGTGCGTAGCCAACTTTGTGGGCCGTTCTCATTGCCTCGCAGCGAATCAGACAGAAAGTCATCTCAGTTGGCCCGTCACGTTCTGGAGGTGGCTCTATCATTTGTGGGTTCAGATCGCTGTCATTTATGTTGAGCGGCAGCTTGGTGTCAAACTTGGCTTCGTGGACGATTGGTTCAAAGCCATGATATTCAGAAGATTTCATATCAAGCAAACATATATGATACCACAGTCGGCGACGTACCTCTATCTCGAGAGGCTTCAATCCGAACATGCTTCCGTCTCGGTGGAGGCCCATTGCTTGTGCAATGCGGAGAACCAGAGGTATTAGCGACCAGGCTGTGCGCGAGTCATCTTCGTTTCGCAGCGCCGAAAGGAAGAGCACTGCTGCCTGTAGTAAAAGTATGCTCCGTGTATTCAAGAGATCAGCTCGAGTTATGGCCTGCTCAACCGCTGAACGGTACATCTCCAGAGCAGCGTTAGAGGGCATACCAAGAATACTCTCTCTTGTCTCTGGCTCCGCACTAAGAATAGCAGAGTAGTAAATGGCAAATAAAAGGGCTTCAGTATTCCGATCGAGAGAATTTAGCGAAGCTATTGCGTCCCAGTACAGCCTCGATGTGGTGGGCATGTGAAATATGTGTACTAGCGGTAACACATTGGTGCTGAATAGATCCAGCAAAGCGACGGATTGGAACAACGATGGGTGCTGCACCCGCATCGGGTCTGAGACTTCGGGGAAGAAACATAAAATGGAGGACATTGGCTTTATGGGGGTGGATATGAGCGCTTTGCTCTGTACGCAACTTTCATCCTCGGATATCGGTTCGTATAGCATATCACGTAGTTCCTCGATCTGCGTAGATGCAACATCTATGCATTAGTTGAGTTGAACTGGGCAAAATTGAAGTGATATAAACGTACCTCATTTCCAAGATTCGACCATAGAATATTGCTAATGTAGTGGCTTTTTGTGTCTTGCACTATCAAACGGCCGATTTGCTCCTCAACAGGAGTATCGTCGTTGTGCGGTTCCGAGCCTGCCGTGGGCTTCCCATTAACCTGTACGTTGGGGGACGCCATATCCGAACTAGTTGCGCCTATAGACATATCTATAGGGCTGCTCTCAAAGGTATCGTTGCCTTCCAAAGCAGCCTCACGTTCTGCTGTGAACTGCTTTATGACTTTTTCGAGGTTATGCAGCTTATCAACCACCTGAGCTTGAAAAGCGCTCGTGTTTCGGGATCGCTTTGCTGCTCTTCCAGGACCTGGAGGATATGTGCATTCTAGTTTGGCTCGAATGCATTGAGAACAGGGCCGTTGGCGATCGCACTTGACTTTGCGCTGTCGACAAAGCGTGCAAGTTCGCGAGGGTCGATGAGGTTTGGGTGTGTCCATGTTAGTAGTCTAATTTGTTCTGTTGTCGGCCGATACAAACTTGACAGTTGAACAATATTAGTCGAGTTTATTGGATTTGGAAGAAGGCAAAGATAAAGTTGGTCGGCCCATTCGCGCTTCGCTCTTTCGTTCGAGCACAATCAGGCTCCAGAATACACCCCCCGGAGGGTCGGCATAAATGGTTGGAGACAAATGGCTCAAGATGTGCCTGACAAGTGGGCACGGGTAGCTTACCACTGCTGCTTGAGTTATTGGCCGTCATTGCGCTAGAAACCGGCTGTAGAGCCTCAAAATCTATTAAACCATTGAACCCTCATCGCCTATAGTATGCAAGATACAGAGTACCGCTTCTAAGGGAAGTCACTAAACTATAGGTTGCGTTGGTCGAACTTCAACAAACTAAAGCCATGATGTAAAAGAAGATTTCCTTCTTTTAAATTTAGTGGGCTGTAATTGAGTAAGGTGCACGTTGATGACCGACTGAGTATACGTACCCCCATCTCTAGGAGGGGCGAGTGTATCGAACGGGTTTAATGATTCGCATAACTTGTGCGTAGTGCCGACCTTGGACAATGGACTTCGGATAGCTTATGCGAAACTCCGCGCGGGATAGAGACTTAGGCGACGGCGCCAAGTTTACAGCGACCGACTAGCGATGGTTTAGTGGACTCCGTGCGCCTAAGCGGCAACGGCAAGCGTAACTCCACATACTGATTCGGCATCGCGACTTCGGTGTAAGTCAACTTGGGAAAATTGTGGTAAAGTACCAGCGCGGATATTGAATATATAGACATGGCTAGTAGTGGTAGTGTCATTACTTAAGCTACAAAACGAATACTAGAAATCATCTTGTTACTTACACTTTCTCCTTCGTTGTGTTCCCTAGAGAAACTCTACATATTATTTCTTTTTTTAGCACTTTCCTTACTTTAACTCTCACAATGCCAGCTGAAGAACAAAAATCCTCGTCAGGATACCCATCAATTCTTTCCAGTGTCAAGAGTGAAACCGCTAACCATCAATCCGACGTCTCTGACCTGGAGCATGGTCCAAAACTCGAAGCCAAGCTAGTAACGGCCCCTCCAGCAGCTGGTGGATGGGGAAATGATTGCCCAGATGGTGGACTAGAGGCCTGAATGGTTGTGTTTGGAGGCTGGTGCGCTCTCTTCTGCACATTCGGCCTCATCAACTGCGTCGGCGTCTTTCAGGAGTATTATCTCGAGGGACCGCTGTCTGATTACAATGCGTCAGTGAGCTGGGTCTCGTCTGTCCAGATTTTCTGCATTGTCTTTTGCGGAGTCGTGGTAAGTCTCCGTTTCAATGTATCCTGTTGAGATCTTCAAAAAAGTAAAGATGAAACTAACTGGTCTGTACGCCAGTGGGGACGTGTTTTTGATAGCTACGGATCCAAATACCTTCTCTGGGGAGGAAGCCTTCTCTACGTCTTTGGCTTGATGATGACTTCACTATCCACAAAATACTACCAATTCTTTCTCGCCCAATCCGTGGTGGCTTCCATTGGCTCCAGTGCCGTATTTAACGGCTCCGTGGCCTGCATCGTCTCTTGGTTCAATCGCCGTCGTGCTGCCGCTTTTGGAATCATTGCCTCCGGGTCGTCAGTTGCAGGCGTGGTGCTACCCATCATGATGGACAAGCTGATTAAAAGCATTGGTTTCCCGTGGATGATGCGTTCCATGGCCTTCATGTTCATGGCATTGCTGGGCATTGCCTGCGTGACCGCCAAGCCGAGGGTGCCACCTAATCCCAGACCGTTTGTGTTTGTCGAGTATCTGCAGAGCTTGAAGGAGTTGCCTATGATTCTGACTGTCTGGTCATTTTTCCTCTTCATGTGTGGCATGTTTCTGCCGTTCAATTACATCTTACTCCAGGCTAGCGCTGCCGGCATGTCCCCAGAGCTAATTCCCTACCTGCTTCCTATTCTCAACGCTGTTAGGTGAGTAATAGGTGCATCTGCTACCCGTCTGTTCATAATCTAACTTCTTATAGCATTGCGGGCCGTATTCTACCTGGAATCGTTGGTGATAAGCTTGGCAAGTACAATGTCATGATCGCCATCACCTTTCTCTCTGCACTCTTCTGTCTCGCCGTCTGGGTCCCTGTCAAGTCTACAGCCGGTATCGTCGTATTTGCCGTCATCTTTGGTTTCTCTTCGGGAGGCTATTTCACACTTGCTCCCGCCATCATTGCCCAGATTTCCGACTTTCGCCAGATCGGAACTCGAGTCGGCACTGCCTTCGCCATCCAGTCCCTCGGCGCCTTGGTCGGTAGCCCTGTTGGAGGAGCCATTGTCATCTGCCAACATGGCGATTATCTAGGACTTCAGCTGTTTTGCGGATGCAGCATGATGGCGGCCGTGATTAGGTTCTTGGCTACCAGGTACTCTCTCGTGGGATTCAAAATTGTCAAGGTGTAAGTCAGGAACAAGGAAAGAGAAGATGAGAAAAATCCACACTGGTATAGACCGCTCCTAAGCTTGTAATGCATTCTAGTTCTTGTTATGCCTTATATACTCGCACCCTAATTGACTGTTTTATATTCAAGAGCCATCTTGAACAAGCGAGATATTGATATTAGTGTTCTTTTATCTATCTGTTGCTAGGTCTGTACTTTTGTTCCAACCAACACCCGTTACGTGCCTACATAACAACACATCTATCAGGCTCAAAGTTATCGTCGTTGCTGCCAAATGCTGCGGCCTCGGCCATTTTCTTCTCATGTCTTGGGATATTGTCCTTCTCCCGACGCTCTCTCTCTTGGTCCGAGAGCCCTGGGGCATCTGGGTCTTCCCATGTCCAAGGCACATCTAGTGACATCATATTTCGTGACTCAAAATACATGGGTAGAAAGTCCGGATGGTTTATCATCTTGTCACGAGCTACTTGACCGTTGCTGTCACGAACGGAATCATAAAGCGCCTTGCTATCGACGCCGGGTCGGACGGTAAAAGCCTTCGGGATAGGTGGATGGCGGGTAAAATACGAAGCTGTCTTACTGTGTTGGATGCGAAACTTTTCAAATTCGGTATCAGCCTCCTTGATTTGCTCTTCCGGCAGACCAATATCGGCGAGAGTTTCAAACAGCGCTTGATCGTCTGTGTTGATAATGAATGGAGCAATAGTGACGGTATCAAACTCTGGGGTCCACTGCTGAGGTGCATCGCCGCGCAGATCATACCAATACCGGGACAGAGCTTCCATTCTGCTTTGCAAATGATATGGTGCCGAGTCTGCAGCATTTTCTGACAGCTTAGCGCGTTCTCTGGCGAGATATCCCAGAGTGCCACCGGGTTCTATCTCCGCCATGACGAGATGGGTAAGGTCTGTGCGCGTCTCCAAGTTGCGTAGCATGTTCGAGTACACCTCCACGTTATCATCAGAGGCCAATTGTGAGACAAGATTGCTGCGCAAGGTCTTGGTGATGAAGCTGACGTCTCGGAACATGAGCTGGGTTGCTGGGTCGGTGGGAAGGTGCCGAATGGGATTCCTGGATGCGGGGGGTTCGACAGACATTGTGAATGCAATGAATATAATGAATTGGATGGTGGTTAAATGTTCTATCTGTACGGATGTTGGTGATTGTTGAAGTCTTTTTATATTCAACTCCTGGATCCACTACGATCAGGCTGCAGTGCCAAAGGTGGCTACCAACAGCGTGAAATTATGGAGAGCGAAAGCAGGCTAGGATATGTGAAGCGTTAATGTAAAGAAGGAAAAGAAGTGATTGCTACCGTTGCTATTGCAGCCAAAGATTCACGCGTCTAGGTAGCTCCTGGGAGCTATTTTGTAATTTCGTCTGTCGGCTGCGAGAGGTCGCCACCAGGAAGTAGCAGCATCGCTCACTTTCTCAGTAACTACAGCCTCCTCGGTCGGAAGTAGCACGAGGCTATATCACTTTGTGGCTGAGATGGCGAGTGCTATGGAGTCGACACAGACTTTGTAGCAGAGGCTGGGGTAGAGGATGCTAACGAGTCTCGCCTCACGACGCCACATCAGATCATCTAAGCTGGAACGATGCTTCGTATGCCGCGAATGCATTTTCCAGCGCTAAATGGGCGCTCATCATAGCATCGACTCCAACTTGGCTGCAACAGTCGGGTGCATTGCCTGCAAACTAAGCCCAACTAGGTAGGCATGTCTGCGCAATGCAACCTTCTCTGCTGTGTTTAGTATCCACGACTTCTCATACATATTCCCCTTCCATTGGCCTCTATTTCATGAACGGCGTCATTGCCCACTTCTGCCCTGGCCCTGAAATGGCGGAATGCTACGTCGACTTGGTGAAAAGTATTTTCGCACCATGACTCCTTCTATCCCGCATGGTAGTATATATAAAGATTGTTACCATCTACCAAGGTCGCATCTGTAGTTCTCATGTGATTCATCGTCCTAGAACCAACGTACAGTTCCCCAACTTGAAAGTTGCAGCCATCTTCCTCAGCGCCTTTGTTGCCGCTGCCCTCGGCGTGCCTGCTGACCACATTGTCCATGAGAAGCGAGATGGCGCGGCATTTGTCAAGCGCAGAACTGTCGATTCCGATAATATTGTGCCAGTTCGAATTGCCCTGAAGCAGACCAACCTGCACAAGGGCATGGATCTGCTCATGGATGTATCCGACCCTAATTCCGTCAACTACGGCAACCACTATACGCAGGACCAAGTCCAAGCCATGTTTGTGCGCCCGAGCAAGAGTCTATTGACTCGGTCAAAAGCTGGTTAGTTGATGCAGGAATCCCGGAAGACTCCATCTCTTTGCCCAAGTCCCAAGGCTAGATAGACTTTAAGACGACGGTTGCCCAGCTTAAAACGGTGCTACATACAAAGTACAATGTATTCCAAACCAGATCTGGTGACGAGCACTTTGGAACCAACAAGTATCACTTGCCAGCAGATATTTCTGACCACGTTGATTTTATCTATCCGGGCGTTGCTTCAGTCCCGATGGCTCGCAGAGAGGAAAGGCCGTCAACTAAGAATCCATCCATGGTTGCAGCGTCCAGGCCCATTCCAGAATACGTTAATAATACGGGCGCCGAGGACTGCGGTAGCCTCATCACTCCAAAGTGCATCAAGGAAATGTACGGCATCCCGGATGGTACATCTAAGCGCGAGGGTAACGAGCTTGGGATATTTGAACTGGACCAAGAAATGCACAAGCAGTCCGATTTGAACCCCAAACAATCCTGAGGGCTTTGGACCCGTACTCAACTTTATCAATTTCCACGGCAAGAATCCTGACGGCACCAAGGCCGCCGGCGAGGCAGCGCTAGACTTTGACATATCCATGCCCGTCGTTTATCCTCAGCGCACTGTTCTCTACCAGACCAAGACCAATTTCTTTATTGACGGGCATTTGGGCCTATTCAACCAATTCCTTGATGCTGTAGACGGTAGCTACTTGGCCAAAGATGGAGGTGACGACCCCAGCGTTGACGGCAAGACTGACAGTCAATCGTGCGGAACCTTTTATCCGACAAGTGTCATTAGCTTCTCCTGGGTCTGGCCGAGCGCACATAGCCAGTCAGTTACATGAAACGCCAATGCGACGAGCTCATGAAGCTTGGTCTCCAGGGAACCAGTATCGTCTTCGCTTCTGGTGATGGCGGTGTTGCTGGAAGCCACGGCGGGTGCCTGGGCTCCGACGGGGCCATCTTCAATCCCGCTGGACCTAGCACTTGTCCGTATGCCACAGCTGTTGGCTCTACGGTTCTCCCCAAGGGTAGTAAGCCAGGTGATCCAGAAGCCGCGACGGCCAGCTTCGCGAGCTCTGGCGGCTTTTCCAATGTCTGGAAAGCGCCGCAGTATCAAAAGTCAGCTGTAGATAACTTTTTTGCCAAGCACGATCCTGGTTTCAAGAGCTACTCTACATCAGACGGCCTCATTCCTAGCAACGGCGGCGGCGGGCTGTATAACCAAGCAGGCCGTGGCTTCCCAGATGTTGCTGCTGTTGGCGATAACGACGCCATCGTTCTAGACGGAAAGCCCACTTACAGCGATGGAACATCCATGTCTAGCCCCATCTTTGCTGCTATTCTTACCCGAATCAACGAAGAGCGTCTGAATGCTGGCAAGAAGGTCATTGGCTTTGCTAACCCGGCGCTCTATAAGAACCCTAGCATGTTCAACGATATCACAGTTGGTGACCAAGGTCCTTTCGGGTTGTGCGCGCAAAAGAGCTTCAAAACTGCGCCTGGGTGGGATCCTGTGACTTGCCTTGGCACACCAAAGTACGCTGAGATGCTAGCTTACTTTAAATCGCTGTAATTATTCCAAAGGATGTCATGTTCTTGTAAACAGAAAAGCCGTAGTATATAGGAAGATTTATCAAGTTTATGCATAAAAGACGATAAGTCGGCTACGGAGATTGGTGCGTATAGTCAATGTATTACTGGCCTATTATTGTATGGTAATGACCAGACGGGTCTTCTTAAGCACATTGGCTTAGTTTAATTTATCCACCAAAATAAACAAGTAGCTTTTGTGAAATATCGACCAGAGCACGATATCAGGTTTTTTGGGTCGTGACTTGACCGGCTGGTCGCATTCACTATGGCGTATCGGCAATCGTGGCTTTGGCTTGTAAGTTGGTAAAGAGGCTCGGTATGTGGCAGACATGTTCTGAAAAGGTCTTGCGGGGAGATAAGCTTCGATTTCGCCCCCTGGTTAGTAACTAACGCGCGCGTCAGATCCGTCCCTTAATTTTTGGGCGGGCCTTCGCCTACGTCGGCAGGCTTTAACTTATCCGGTTTCTACTAGCGTCACCACCGGTCCGGGTGTCTAAGCTCCGACTTGCCCGCGTAATAGTCGGTCGGTCCCATCTTCGGCTGGTGGGCGGCCCCTAACCCCCAAGTGCGAGTGCCGATGCCGACACAGATGCGAGGCATGTGTCAGATTTTGCCCTGCCATTTTTGAAACTCGCCTGGCGCAGTCGTGTAAGATGCTGTGTTGGCCTTATGTTCCGGGATGCGGGAGTCTGTCAGTCAGAGAAACCCCTCCCGACCATCCCCGTCCTGGGATGCCGCCTTACACCAGCCGGAAGATGGTCGCGACGCGAGTACGGTACTATTGGACAGTGCTTTTGCTGTCTTATCTCGGGCTTCATCGGTCCCATTGTTGCCCTCGTTACCCGATTGCTGTCCATTTCCTTCATGCCGGATAGTTTTGGGACACAGGGCCATGCCATGACGGCGGTGTCTACCTTTGACGCAGGGCATACTCATCCGTTTGAAAACAAGGAAGAAAACCATTTCATCCTAGCGAGAACCGGGAGCAACTGCTCGTAGCAGCCTTACGGGTGGGCTGAAGCAACCTCTAGATTAGAGTTAATGATTGAATGGACTGTTTAAGGTCACTATCCCTAGCTCCATCCTAGGCAGAAGCGAACAGAGCCTCAAGTAATCTGGGGTGGATGAACTATAGTCTGAACAGTCGCGTATGGAATTCGTCGAATGTTCGGACTAGGGACGCGCGCGCGTATGACCAGTTGCTGTGTGAATAGTGCTTCAGGTCTAGCATCTGCATATATCGACTGTAAGCTGATGGCACGGCCCACCACCATCACCACTACGAACCATTGCGTGAGGGCCGGGACCAAAAACCACCGACCGCCTACCTTCCGGCGCTAGCACTCCGTGGCCGAGAGGGCAGATGATAAGATTACGTCTATAATTCAAATATTAGTACCTGCGCAGAACTGCATATTTTTGAACTTTTTCGTGTTTTCTGTTTCTGTAGCTTTATCCTTGTCCTGGTACCACTTCTTAATACAACTAACCATCAACAAACACGCATACTTACAAAACACATACACCATGTTTGGTACGCTAGTTACTGGCGATTTCGACGCCGGAACTCTCGAGTTTGTCGAGAACCCCGATCACGCTTCGGCTGTAAGCCGCAACTTGCAAGATAAAAGACACATCTCTTGCCTCTTTTGTCGTTCCAGAAAGGTAACCATCGTTTTGGAAATTGTATCTTGTTCTCTATTTCTAATCGCTGTTGGATGATAGGTTCGATGCTCTGGAGGACGACAAAGTTGCCAGAGATGCGTCGCGATGGGCCTCGAGTGTGTTTATCCTCAGAGCCAGAGCCGTGCAAAGAAGCAAGAACAAATTAAAAACCCTAAAATTGTACGTGCAACAATTGTAGTTTATACAGTCAAACCCAGAGCCATTGCTAATTTGTTGGTACTGAATAGAGCAAGGACCGCAACGCGAACATGTTCACCAGGATCGCCAGCTCCGATGCTGAGCTTGCAGAAGTCGAATCACAGCGAAAGTACAGCGATGCTCTGCCATTAGACGGAGTAAAGAGTATGGGTTTTGATGATGGATACATTGACGAGTCCCTGTTCAATTCCTGGATCATGGACACTCCCATGCAAAGCCAGGCCGATGCGGACTTTAGCCCCAGTAGCAGCGCTTCATCTTCCAATGGTTAGTTTTCAGTTTGGCGATACGATGCACAATGGCTAATCATTCACGAAACAGACTTTAATTTTGCAAGAAGCATGTCTCCGTTATCCACAGGTCGTCGCAGCATTGCGAGCCAATCATCCAGGCCCTCCGCAGGAAGCAACTTACTAGCAGAACTCTCACGACAGCCATCGAGTCAAAATATGAAGATTCAAGAACCGAAGATGTCGGGGCAAACACAACGGTCGACACCTGTGTCTATGAACCTTGACGACGAGCTACCCTCATCCACAGAGGCGACGCCTTCTTGGGGCGAGAGTAGGAACAACTCAGAGGCATGCTCATGCTTAGTTGGCTCTATCTCGTTTCTCGAAAAGCTGGTATCCAAATCTGCTTCCAGTGAGGGCCGAATCGATGTACTGCTGGCCGAGGTCCGTCAGTCTATGGAAACAATGGTTCGATTTATAGAGTGTGAGCGTTGCGAGACAAGAGTAGAGCAGAGCATGTTGCTTGCCATGGCCACTCGACAAATAAGCATACTCTGCAAGAAGTTGGCCGACTGCTACAGGGAAGTCAAGCTGAGCCGCGAGACAGAGGCTCGGAGTGCAACGGGATCTAACGACATTTCGATTCTGGGTTACCGCGCCAGCCAACGCGAGAGGCTTTATCTGGTCAAGGGGTTGGTTACGCTACAATTAGCGGATTTTCAGAAAGTCATTGCGGCTGTCAAGTCGCGGTATCGCCAGCGGCCAGACCAGGCACAGGTCGATGCACTGACGGAGGCGACGACGCAGCTAGAGCTGGCTCATGCGATTGTGAATACGCTGTAGTAGTTTGTACTTGTATAGATAGATGCCATAGAGAGAGAAACTCGACTCGTGTATATTTCAAGAATGTCGATGAATTCATCATCTTATGTTAGCTTAGATTCATTACACCGTGACCTACCAAGTGAAGTTTGGTCAGCAGCTGCACACACGCGCGCCGATGGCCCGCCGTAACGAAAGCAAGACAGCCGAATTCCAATAGCGTCGTTTTTTATTCCTTCAGCAACACCAGGCTAAGCAAAAAGGCTAAACTGTCCCAAAAAGGGAAGAAGAAGGGGAAAAAAACAAAAAAGCTGGCAAAAAAGAGGAGACCTGGCCAAATTACACTCCACGCTTAGCGTCGCCCGCTGTAGCCAATCAAACCAGCGCCCAGATCGACGACCCACGCACCCAAACGCGTTGGCCTGCTGCCCGCCAACAACACCACCAAGTAGCACCAGAAAGCACAGCTTCTCTCTTTCTTTCCTTCTTTTTTTCTTTTTCTTTTTATTGCTGCTGATTTCTCTCCAGCAACGGCTTTCTTGATTCTATTATCCTTTTAATAGAATCTTGCTTCCATCACAGCATTCCAGGGAACTCCCGTGCTTTTTACATCGCCGGCAATCAAGCCCCGAGTCGTCCCATCAGGGGGACAAACAAAACACCAACCATGTCCGGTAGATACTCTCTTCGGCAGACGCCCAAGTACGTACCCCAGCTTCCCTTTTAGTCAATTGACATTGCCGCACTACAATGCGAATGCCCTTCATCTTGCAACCACACAACTAACACAACTTTTCTTTCCCCCGCGCACAGGAAAAAGGAACAGTACGACGGCATGGTCGAAACACCCGCCACACGCAAGTCCCGTCGCCAGTCCTCCATGCCCGCCGACATCCCCGAGGACGAAGACGATGCGCTCGAGAAGATCACCCGCAAGCGCTCCGTCCGCCGCCGAACCCTCAAGTCTCTCGAGCCCGAGGACGACGTCGAGATCAAGAAGGAGGACGACGACGAGGACACCAAGCCTATCTCGTCAGCCAAGAAGCCTGCCAATGGCGGCCGCAAGGTGTCTGCGCGCAAGGCGTCTGGCGCCTCGACTAAGAAGGCTGCCAAGGACGACGCGGATGCCCACATTGTCGACGGCTGGCGCCCCGGCCAGGACCACCGCATCGACTACTCGGGCGAGTTTGAGTTTGGTGGCTCCGTCGGCACCCTCTTCATGATGCTCTTCTTCCCCATCCTCATGTGGTACATGTGGGTGGGCGCCACCTACTACGACGGCAAGTTCCCGTCGCGCGAGGCCGGCCAGTCCTGGGCCGACTTTGGCGCACACCTCGTCAACCTCGTCTACACCGGTGCGTTCCCCCACGCAAAGGCCTGGCTCTGGTACTGGAGCTACCTCATCTTCGAGGGCGCCTGCTACTGCCTCCTCCCCGGCGTCAAGGGCTACGGAAAGCCTCTGCCCTTCCAGAACAACGAGCAGCTGGAGTACTTTTGCAACGCCTACACCAGCTTGTACACCACTTTGGCTGTCCTTGCAGGCCTGCACTTCTCTGGCGTCTGGCCCATCTACAACGCCATTGACGAGTTTGGTCCTCTCTTGTCTGTCGCCATTCTGAGCGGCTTCATTGTCTCTTTTGTCGCCTACTTCTCTGCTCTCTACCGCGGCAAGCAGCACCGCATGACCGGCTACCCCATCTACGACTTCTTCATGGGCGCAGAGCTTAATCCCCGCATGTTTGGCATCCTCGACTTCAAGATGTTCTTCGAGGTCCGCCTGCCCTGGTACATCCTGCTCATTCTGTCCCTCGGTGCCGCGGCCCGCCAGTACGAGACCTACGGCTACGTCTCGGGCGAAGTCATGTTCCTCGTCATGGCCCACTACCTCTACGCCAACGCCTGCTCCAAGGGTGAGGAGCTCATCATCACCACCTGGGACATGTACTACGAGAAATGGGGTTTCATGCTCATCTTCTGGAACCTTGCCGGTGTTCCTCTGTCCTACTGCCACTGCACCATCTACCTCGCCAACCACGACCCTGCTGAGTACCGCTGGAACCGCTGGGCTCTCTTTGCCATGTACGCCGCCTACCTCTTCTGGTACTGGGTCTGGGACAGCTGCAACAGCCAAAAGAACCGCTTCCGCGCCATGGAGCGTGGCAAGGTTGTCTGGCGCAAGACCTTCCCCCAGGTCCCCTGGCAGACGGTCCAGAACCCCAAGACCATTGTTTGCCCTCAGGGGACCATCCTCGTCGACGGTTGGTACGGCCTTGCCCGCAAGATTCACTACACTGCCGATACCTGGTTTGCTATTTCTTGGGGCCTCATCACCGGCTTCAACAGCCCCTTCCCCTGGTTCTACCCTCTCTTCTTTACCTGCATGATTGCCCACCGTGCTTCCCGTGACATTCACCGTTGCCGCACAAAGTACGGTGATGCTTGGCTGGAGTACGAGCGCCGCGTGCCGTACCTCTTCATTCCCGTAAGTAAACGTCCCAAAAGAATGGAATCCAATCCGCACACCCTAGAAACACCAGACTAACAGATGGTTCTCTCTATGCAGTACGTCATCTAAACATACGGTGTGATCAACCAACGATGGCATCTTTTGGGTGATGCTCGCGCAATTGCCGCCTTCTTCATTGGCCTCTTCTTTTGTCCATATTGCTACATCTTGCCTACAAAGGCAGCTCGCTTTGTATGGTCACGACGTCTCTGCCGTCATTCCCGCAGCAAGCAGCTAGTGCTAGTGCAAGATCTTCTACCTTTTAATTCAATTTGGTTAATGGTTCTTCTACTAAACTTGTCACATTTATATCCACGTGCCGTCTGACGACGTTTTTTTCAAAATGATAAAGTGCATTCCTGCCCTAAGTAGATTCCTTTACAACCTGTCTAAAACGAGAACAATCAACCCCTTCGCGGCAGCCAAACAAAGTCTCGTCGCTAGTATACATATACAACGATCCTCTCCCGTCTCAGTTTACAACCTGAGATGAACATATCCGCAGCTTACGCAATGCAGTCCAAACTTGTGGGAATAGCTTGCCGTGCACCCGGAGAGGAAAAAAAGTACAACGCAGGCACACAGCGTAACCCCCCACCAGTAGCCGTAACCATTATTCGATCAATTGACCCAAGACCAACAGACATTTATACTCTTCCTGTTTTGTCAAAAGTAAAACTGATCAAGCCATGTCCATTTTTCGTATCTTGGTTTGTTTATTAGCAGTTAAACGCGTCGGCCTTGGAGTTCATCAACAGGGCGACAATGAGACCGTAGAGACCTGCCAAACGATTAGTCCACAAATTTCCTGGCAAACCAGAATGGACATGGAAAACTTACCCAAGACTTCGGCGAAAATGAGAATCAAAATCATACCAACAAAGAGACGGGGCTGTTGGGCGCTGCCACGGACACCGGCATCACCAACGATACCGATAGCGAAACCAGCAGCAAGACCAGCAAGACCGACGGAAAGACCAGCACCGAACTGAATGAAACCAGTGTAGAGAGCCATCTCCTGCTTGAGGCCGTCGGAGATGAGGACAGAAACGACGAGACCGTAGATACCAATGATACCAGCCATAATAACGGGGACAATGTCTGTGGTATGGGTTAGTTTTGGATGCGCAGATCACACAGGCCATTGTAAATAAAGGGTTCGCGTACTCTTGACGATGAGATCAGGGCGGAGGACACCCATGGCGGCGATACCAACACCAGACTTGGCGGTACCGTAGGCGGCACCAAGGCAGGTGAAGACAATGGCGCAAGTGCAGCCCATGACACCAAAGAATGGCTATATTTCAGTTAGTACGTGTCATTCAAAAGCTTCGACAGCGGAAATATTGATGCAATGGGCGGTAAGGCATCGTTGTTTGCTAATCGCTCGGTCGCATCGGGATCGCTAGGAGGAGATTGTACTAACCGCATAGACGGGGCTAAAGAACCGATTGTGTTAGCGTGTGCTGCTGTTAAATATTGAAGATTGCCCTTGAGACAAGAAACACGGTATCCAGAATGCTTGAGAGAGCTTCATCGCAGGCGTCGAAGCTCACAAAGGTAGATGACGTTTCTCGAGGGGGCCGCGAGGGTTGCGACTTACCAGAGTTCCGTGACAGGCATTTTGGACGATGTGGAAGCTTAAAACTAAAAGAAAGCAAAAGTAGTGATCGGGAAGATGCTTTTAGACGAGAATTCGAGATGGCAACGGTCGCGGGCGGCTGGTGCGTGTCGAGTTGGCGTCGATGATGATGGAGTGGTGTGGAGGTTTGAGAAGCTGAGGTGTCGTTCCCTGGCGACGGAGAAACTGGTCGGCGCTGTTTTGGGGGGCGTGGCAGGTTCAGTTTCCGCCCGTGCAGTACAAAAAGCAGGCAGAGGTACCACGGTGTGGTAACAGTGTGCACTGTGGGTATGGACAGTGACATGATTACCTAATGTTTTGCATGGGCATTTGCTACCGCTACCCTACGGGGATATGTTTTCACAAACAGCTGTTGCTTTAGAGGCTGTTTTATTTCTTTAAAATGAGAATATGTATATTGATGCGGTTATTTGATATATTCCAGCTTGAATCACTTGATTACTATGAATTGGGTGACGAGTGTGTTCTTTGCTTGTAGATTCGTGTTCGTATATAACAGCTCGACTCCACGATTATTCCCGTATAACCAGATTCAACAAGCTCTAACCTCAAACATCATTTTAATGTAATATATAAAAATACAATCAAATATATTACCTAATAGTATAATAGTAATAATTCTATACCATTTTCCCAATTTGAAACCGATACAGAATCTCACCAACGCACTCTCAGCCAATCACTCTACCTAGTACCTACCTGTACCTGTGCCTGTGCCTGTGCCTCAGCCAGCAATAAAACGCCTATGACGCACGCTCCACTAAATTTGGCAGCTTGGACCTGGCGCTGGCAGAACTAGCGTTAACCCCGCGGTGCATCTTCCTCGGTTTCCTCGCTTGCATGGGCGTGACCTCGCTCAGGCTTTTGTCTCGTCAAGGGAAATTTCAACACCGCGCCGTACTGGCTGTCGTGGTTACAGAATCAACTTCACCCACGCTGCCATGGCTGGACTGGCGCGCAAGATTGTCGTCTGCGCCGCAATTGACGGGCTTATAATCCAACCGCTTACCTCAAGGGGCCAGCGTCCATTCTCGCCTGTACAGATTCGTTACGGCGATTCCGTTATATCCGATGTGTCTAGAGATCATATTCCCAATATTTCGCAGGATGACGACTCATTCGAAGCTTTCGGAGTGATTGGTGAGCCATGTGTCTGTTGTGCATCTGGAATCTCTTCAAGCTAATATCTTCTCTAGGCTTGGTGACTGTTTCGAAAATCAGCTTTCTCATCACCATCACGCGGAGACATCAGGTAGCACAGATATTTGGTCACCCGATATACGCAGTTACCGGAGTTGCTATTACACCATGCTCTTCCAAAGACCGGGCAACCAAGTCGATCCGAAAAACGTCCCGCCAGCTGGAGAGCCAGCCCCCATCTTCTGACGGCGAACAAACTGAAAGCAGTGATGATGAGGTTGAAATACATGGACTTCCTGACGAAGTAGACGATGCTGTGGTAGATGTGCCATCCCCCGAACGCTCTGCCCGCAACAGCATTGCCGAAGACGTCTTCCGAAGGCGTGGAAGCTACGGAAAGTTTGCTCAGCGTTGGTTTTCCCGCGATGCTTGGAGTACAGGGAAAAAGAGTGCCATGGGCATACCTGAAGCATCCGCCGCGCCGCTAACAGACACCACAAGTGTGGTTGATACACGCAAGATACCCGAGGCGAATGAGGTGGCGACGACGAGTCTTCTACCGAAGCTGATTCACGCCATGTATGTGCTCTTTGGTTCTTCAAAAAGCTTCTATTACTCGTACGATATCGACATTACGAGGAGCATTATGGGAACACCTCTCAAAGATAACGTGGAGAAGCCCTTGTATACTGCAGTTGAGGAGGACTTCTTCTGGAATCGATCCGTCTTGGCCCCGTTTATAGAGGCACGACAGGAAGCCCTGGCACTCCCAATCATGCAGGGCTTTGTCGGACAAAAGTCGTTTACGGTGGATAGCAGCCCGCCACAAGTGGACGAGCCTGCAGTGGAATCGATGGAGATGCGAACCCTTTCCCCCGCCCGCGATCCTGAAACCGAAAAGACCACCCCAGATGCTTCTAAGCGACGAGAATCGGAGAGAACATATTTGCTTACGCTCATATCCCGCCGTTCCACTCAGCGGCCCGGCCTCCGATATATGCGACGCGGCATTAATGAAAATGGCTATACCGCCAACACGGTTGAGACAGAACAAATATTATCTGGCGAAAACTGGGAGAGCAAGCGGCCAATCCAGTCGTTTGTCCAAATGCGAGGAAGCATACCTCTTTTCTGGTCACAGACACCGTACGCTCTCAAGCCCATTCCTGTCGTTCAGCACTCTCCAGAGCAAAACTACAGGGCCTGCAAGATGCACTTTCAGCGTATAATCGATAGATACGGCCAGATACAAGTCGTAAATCTGGTGGAGAAACACGGCATCGAGGCGCCTCTTGGAAACCTGTTTGAGCAAAATGTCGAGACTCTGACGAAAGAGCTGGGAGACTCCGAGTTGTCATTTGAATGGTTCGACTTCCATCATGCCTGCCGCGGTATGAAGTTTGAGAATGTTAGCGACCTCCTTTTGCGCGTCAAGGACCGCCTTGAGACCTTGGGAAGCACTGTTCAGGCTGATGGAAAGGCGTCGCATACTCAATCCGGAGTCTTTAGAACCAATTGTATGGACTGTCTTGACAGAACAAACGTGTGCCAAAGCTCCTTCGCCAAGCATATGCTGGAATACCAGCTGAAAGAGGATGGTATCGACATGAGCGCCCAGATCGACCAGCAGACAATGTGGTTTAATGAGCTTTGGGCAGACAACGGTGATGCCGTGTCGAACCAATATGCATCCACAGCCGCCATGAAGGGTGATTATACCCGAACGCGCAAGCGTGACTATAGAGGCGCTCTTAATGACTTGGGTCTATCGCTCACACGCCTCTACAATGGGTCCGTTTTGTTGTATTCCTCTGTCATGTAGCTCAGCTAACCCTTGTTCACTACAGTATGGTAAACGACCACTTCAGCCAGGCCGTGATCGACTTTTTACTGGGCAACGTGACCGGCAAAGTATTCGACGAATTTGAGGCCGACATGATGACCAAAGACCCAGCAGTCTCCTTGGTCAAGATGCGTGAAAGGGCGATTGAGCTGTGTCAGAAGCGTGTGATTGCCGATCTCACGGAGGAGGTTCATGGCGGCTGGGTGCTCATCAGCCCGGATAGCGCGGATACACTCAAGTCTGTTGTCATGCAAGAAATCGTGCTTGTTCTAACAGATGCAGCGTTATATCTTTGCCGATTTGACTGGGACTTGGACAAGGTGTCCTCGTTTGAGCGGGTAAATCTGGGCAAGATCACATCGCTCAAGTTTGGTACATACATCACGTCCACCATTTCGCCATCGCACACCGATGAAGAGCGCAACGTAGGATTTGTGGTTACGTATGAACCGAGCAAAACGGATGTGGTGCGAACTAATACCCGAACGTTGTCTTCCAATGGCGATCTTGTCACGCCTACGGCAACACCAACAGAAGCACCACCCAAGAGTGATAAGCGGTCCAGCGCCTTATTTACCAGCTTGTTTGCAACACGTGAATCTCCCATATCTCGCAGCTTTGCATTTAAGGCACCGTATATAGACTCCTCTACAGCTGCCAAGTCATCTGTTCCAACCCAGACTGAGATTCAGCAAGTTGTCACCATCTGCGCAGACATAGAGCGGCTGGTGTTCCAGGCGCAGCGCAAGCCAGCACAGGATGGAAACAGCACCATCATTGAAAAGGGGGACATTATCTCGCTAGATGCGGCCAAACGCAACACGACATTGTTTGAGCAGCTTGGCCACTCGCTCAAGAGACTAGTCTGGGCATAGAGAGATCTTACAAAATAGTTGGACGGAATTTTATGTGATAATGAATAGTATTAATAATAGCATTTATCTTTTTTGTAGCCCTTTCCCCTATTTTTACAAATTTTCTTCGTTGATCATCATCACGTTCATTCTCTAGCCTCCTCCCCCACGCGGAAAGCCTGCATTTGATATCGCATGTTTTCCAGAGGAATACGGTAGTCTAGCGTTTCGTTGAGGCGGAACCATACTGAACCCGACCCTGTAATTGAATGGAGGACAATCTTTTCCTGCGTTTCCATCTGCTCGAGCGAGTGCTGGAGCAGCCAGGAAATAGGATACTTGCGCGACTCCTTGCCTACTGTCGTTTCCGAGTAATCTCCCGGGCTATCTACCATGACTAAGACACTGTTCTTGGGCAGCGCGCCGCCTAAATTGATGATGAATTTCGTGGTCTTGCCGATACCGCCAGCCGTGTAAAGCTCGTTGAGTGTAAACATGATGGTGACGACGACGGGGTTCGGCCCAAGAATGTCGGCCCACTGCTGCCGCGTCAAGTCGAGCACATTGGCCTGCTTAAAGGTAGTCTGGAAGTCCGATGGTGACAGTAAGGCCGTGTTGGCTGCTTTTTTGGCCGCCGAGGCGTACTTGGATAATGGAAGAGGCGCTGTGATGGCTTCATGGATCTTCTGAGACGCCGAGGACCACGGCGCCGAATCCACAAGAACTAGCTCGCCCTTGCTCGCCTTCTTGGAGCGTGCTACGTACGATGCAAATGCGACTTGCTCGGCGCCGCACCCGCCTAGCGATACCATGCGCAGCGTGCCGTCTGTTGCTGTGGCGTCAATGCTATCGCGGAGGCCGTCGAAGATGTTGGCGTAGCCTAGTGCTCTGCCGGGGCTCCATCTGGCGGCATACACGTCGAGGTATTCCTCTTTTGAGAAGGCCTGGGCAAAGTCTCGGTTGAATAGAGCTTGCTTGATTTCCTGGAGCGTGGCGTCAAAGGTGTCAGAGGAGAGAATGGAGGAGAATGTGGTGTTGAAAATGTCGAGCAAAATTTGCTGGTGCGCCAGTGGTACTGTTTGCGGCGGGCTGGCGCTTGCTTTGGGTTCTGAACGAGGTGGCATTTTATATTTCTAATATGATGCGAATATAACGTCTTTTAAATTCCGCGTGTGAATTGAATAGTTGGCGAGAATCGGAGCGTGGTTGGTAGATATACTTGTTTTAGAGTACAATGGTGGTGGTCGGTTGTCTGGCAGCGACACATGCAATGCTAGGGTGCTGTAAGTCGGTGGGCTAGACTCCATCGGCTAGTGGCGAAACCAACAAAAAGTAATGCCCGGCGAGGCTCGACAAGGCTTCGCAAGGCAGCGATTTGCCTGGGATGTCGGTTTTTAATCTGCGCAATAAATTAAACGCAATGCATACAGGGGTCGATTTTACTGTGAAATTGGTGTTTATTCTATTCTTCCCAGAATGGTGCTTGGGGATTGGCGGCTGTCGTGAGATGTGTACAGGTGCTGCTTCGTGTGTATACGTCATAGTAGCAGCTGGGGGTTATGATAACTGAGATTTGAGATATTAACCAAAGAGCCAGCCCCGCAACGATTGCAAAAGTAAATAAAGTAGATGTATCATAATAATTAAAAAAGAAGAAAAAGTATATTCCGAGGGTATTACGTGCGTATCAGATCATGCAAAACAAACCAGGAAAAAGAAGCTATGTACAAAGACATTCGACGGGATAGACTCTAGTGTGTATATGTCGGATGGATGCAAGTGTAAATAAAGTCGCAGATAGCCGCCCAAAATGTCCGATATGGTAGTTGTAAAAATATGGAACTCGTCTATGGTCGTATATATGGTCGTTATTGCGGGGGCTTTAGTTCTTCTTGGGCCGACCACTCGCGCTGAAAGTCTCGACCGACTCTCTCGAGCCTGGCGGCGGCACGTCGAGCCTCTTTGGCTTCTTCCGACGTGCCAGCAACGACGACGCCGACAAGCATGGGCACGGCATCTTCGTCAATGATAGTACCGGCGCTGCTCATGGAGCTTGTGCTGCCTCTGTGTTCCGAGCCTGGGGCGCGGGATACTGTGGGCGATGCGCAGCTGCTGCCATCGGGGCCGTCAAGCGGGTCGAGATAGGATTGGACAACTACGGCGCCGGCGCCGGGATACTCGACCATGATGCGCTGGGGCGTGCCCAGGTTTGCTCGCTGAGCAGCTGCTCTTGAGTGCAGAGCACCATTTGTCAACGATGTCAGAGACGCAAGCTTGGAGCGCGAGTTGGAGGATGTGATGAGAGGGGTAAGCGTGACGTCGGTGAGGTGGAGAGAGAGGGTGGGGTGCTGAGAGGGAAGGTTTGCCATGGTGCTTTGTGTCGTTTGTGGCTCGGGCCTAGCGTGTGATCTTTCTGGGTCTTTTTTAAAAAAAATGTCAACGCTGGTGGATGTTTCGTGCTAGGGCTGCATTGCTGGCGATGTTTCTTGTTCTTTCGAGTTCGTGTACGAAAGGAAGAGCCGTGTTGAAGCGGTGTTGAGCAGAAGTGGAGGAGAAAAGAAAGAGAAAGCAGAAGAAGAAGAGGGATGAGAAAGCGGGGGAGCGAGAGAAAGGAGGAGAGAGAAAGAAGGCTGCGCTTTCGTGGGGAAGGGCAACCCGCTCTGGGGCCGGCCGGGGCTTTGTATTGTGGTATCGTGGGGATCGACGCGGAAAGGCAAAAGGCAGGTGAGTGGTTTTGCCAAGAGGCCACAATGATATCAGAGCAGTGCTGGATAATAGCAGCACCGGGATGTCCGCGGGTGGGCTGACAGACGCCTCTCTCGTTTTGTGTAGAACGGCACTTGTGATCGTGTGAGGGGAAGGCCGTGGTGGCGGGGGACCTGTTTGTTGCAGCGTAGCAGTTAGCCAGACGAATGCTACTGTGACGAGCAGAGGAAGAGGCAAAAAGCAGGTAAATAATAGTGATGCCAGGCGATAGACGAAGCAACCAAAACTGCTCTACCCCTCTTTTGGGCTGGTGTTCTGCAGAGAACGTTGCAGTGCAGCCATGAACCGCTCTATATACAGTACCACCTACCTGCGAAGGGCGGGCGGGGGAGAGCGGCCAGTAGGCAGATAATATAGACGGCACTAGGAGTAGTAGTAGTAATAGCAGCAGCAGCAACAGCAAAGTAGTAGTAGAAACCAATTAGGAACAGTAAGAGTCAGTCTAGTTTAGTTCCAGCGTAAGCAATGCGTTGCGTGTGCGCAATTCCTTGCTCATCTGCATCGATGGATGGCGTATGCAGTAGCAAGAGCACCACCGTTGGGGTTGGAGAGTATTAATGGTGGTAGTGCTGGTGGTGGTGGCGCTAGCAGTATGTATATGGCGTCATGAAGACTAGCAACAGGACAGGTGCATGAAAATACGTGTGACTTCAAATTCCCCATCGCCGCGTAAAAGCAGCATAGAGCAAAAAGGCTATGCTCTGAGTTACTGCAAGTCTATTTTCGATAAGCTTATTCGTATCTGTGGTTCACCAGAAATATACATAGCGTCTCTTTGCCGTATCGTACAGATATGGATGGATGGTTGGTGGTGTGGTGCTACAGTACAGTGGGAATCACAATGGCTGAAACCACATTCCATGGGGGATTTTGCGCTAGGAATCTGCTTTGGCGATAGTTTACAGGGTGCAAAACCCGCATATTCGCTGCTGCAAATTCCCATTCTATTCCCAGCGACACTGCCGCTGATGCCACTATTGTCTTTCTTCGTTAGTGCCCTTTTGGTGGCAGAGGAGCTAGCTAATTAGGTCTAGTTTAGCGTCGGACAAGCGGGACTGTGCCGCTCGCTGCTCACTCGCTAAGACCAGCAAAGCAACACAACACCAATTGGTTGACCAGACCACTATAGATTTTCCCTTTTGCAGGTAATTAGCACACAGATCCACGGCCAGAGCCTGCTGTGGGCGCTCACTGAGGCCCCTTCACAGGCACAGCTGCTGTAGGTAGACCTACTCTACAGGGCCGTGTTTTGCATTTTGCTTTTCTCGCCTCTTTTTTGTGTCTCGCTTCTCGGACTCCTTTCTTCAATCTCCCTTTTTTCCAAAACATTTTTGTTTCGCATGGCGTTTTTTTATTTTTATTGCCGTCTCGCTCGTCCTGGTTTTAATTAGACAGCCCCTTTCGACATTTGCCGTTGGCATCGACGTCCGTCTTTTCTAAGTTAGCATCAACACGCTCGCTCCACCACAGTCGACTGCCTTGATTGTTGCGCGAGGCCCCTATTTCCAGCGTGCTTCAGCGCCCTCTACAACCGCTATCTTCCCCCTCGTGTTTCGGGAGGATCCAGACTTCCGAACAAGAGCAAGCTACTATAGCTGCTGCAGCAAACTCAACAACGCACCCATTGCCAGCGCAGCATTGCGACACAGATTACCTGTTGAACTGCTTGGTGACTACTGCTGCTGCACAGCCGACACGCTGCCCTGTCACTTTCAGCGCTGCGACTTCGCTGGGTCATCGGCCTAAACCCGCTCTCGCCGCAGCCCGTCCTTAGCTTGTCCTCCTACTGCGAGCTGCCACTGCCACTACTGCATGCTTGCTGCATACTTTTTTTCCAGTTGCCTTTCTGCTTCCCCTCTTGTCGCCTCTTCCCTTTCTCTTTTCATCTTCTACTTTTTTCTAATCAACGCCATTTGCTGCCGCTGTTCTTTCAGCGCTGTGGCCTTGATGCCGGTACCCCAGATCCTCCCATCTGGTCGCCTTTGATTTGGCCCGTCCCTGCCGACTACGTCATCTGAGAGGAGCCAACCTCGGTGATATCGCGATCTTTGCCTTCAGCCCTCCATTGTCGCGCCTTGTCGGCAAACGAATCTGCCGCCTCTTTCTCTCCATCCATCATCTTTTCATCTATTTCCTACAGACACCCATCTCCTCTAGCCGATTCAGTTTACTCTCCGTTTATCGCCGCCACCATGGCGCCCAATCCTCCTCCGCCGCTGCGACGCAAGAAAGCTACTATCCGTCCACGCGCAGACGGCGACGAGACACCCGACAGACAATCCAACGCGACCAATTTGGACGGCCGCTCACCGAGCAGCGCATCTCTGAGCGCCGATGCTAAAGAGAGACGCAATCACAAACCGACAGCAAGCCCGGCAAGAAAACAGGCTGCTGCTACTGGCTCAAGTAGTGGTTCGCGAGATGACAAGTCGCTTACATCCACAGCAAAGACGCTCACAGAAGCCGACGTGATGCTCAGCGGCATGTCACTCTCCGACCCCAGACAAGCTGAGCCGATGCCCGCTGCAACGGATGATAAAATTGGTGACATTGTTCTCTCGCCGCCAAAGTCCCCCAACGGGCCTGTTATTGTCAGCTCCTCCTCCGCTAAGGCACCCACGACGCATGACACGCATCGAATCGATATCGATGCAGCACAACAACGGGGAAATGAGACTGATGCCGCCGCCGCTGCCGCCGCTTTTGTACCCAACCGAGGATCGTTTTTTATGCATGATCAGCGTCGCGGGGGTCCGGCGGCGGGAACTGCTGCTCCCAGGCCATATGGCCGAGGCAGAGGTAGGGGAACCTTCTTCAGAGGTGGAAACGGCGCAGCGTACCCTCCATCGTACGGCGGCCAAGCAGGGTTTGTAAAGACATTTGCACTTCTGAGGGAACCAGCGTAACTAATTTTATTGGTAAACAGCAACCACAACTTTGCGGCCAACGATCACGCGATGAACCGACCATGGGCACACGACATGCACGACGCTGGCCCGGACCCTTCCTCCCCCTCTCGAAGGCCAAGATATATTCCTGATGACGAAGGCCCTGCGAATGGTAACGGTGTTATTCCCACCTGCAAAGAAAGTCAGGTGCCTATCAACAGGACGTTATCTACAGAACGCCATGTCGGAAACGCTCAAGTGCGTGTTTTCCTCCCCAACATGGGCGAGGCCAAGATCTTCTCTGGTGTGCTTGTCAAGCAGTACACCAAGTTGCCCGACCATCGTCCACCTTTGCGCAGAGATAAGCCCGTCCGAATCTCCCTGCCAGATCGAACCCCACGATACGTCTATCCAGCATCCGACCGGTCCTTCACCTTTATACCTAGAGCCCTGCGCCCCAACCAGCAGCAGCGCCTGCGCGGCAAACCACGCTCTGCATGGGGCTCTGTTGGTGGCTACTCACGAAAGACGAGTGTTTTTGGCGGCAGCTACTACGGCAGCGTATACACGCCAAGCATTAATCTCAGCCGCCGGTCTTCCGTGGCGGGCGATCGCGAGCACATGTTCTCGCCAACCCTACCCATCATGTCGAGGCCGCCTATGGCCATGGAGTGTATGCGGCCAGGTGCTCGCTTGCCACAGGCGCAGCAGCAGCCGGGCATGTTGGACCAGAATGGTATGGAGATACCTTTCCATCCGGCTCAATTCGGCGACCCTCGTCAAGGGCAGACGCCTTCGCATTACGCCAATAGCATCGTATCGGACAGCCAGGCTAGCACCCTGCCCATGCACCAGCCGAAGCCACAAAAGAACATCTCAGTCGCCAACATTGAGCCTGGACCCATGGCGTTACCCACCAGCAGTACTCCTGGCTTCCAGCAAGCCTTTCATCATCAGATGCCTCTGCAGATGGGCAACGGCGGCATGCAGGATGGCCACGGCCGTCGCGCATCGCACTCTTCACAACGTGCTTCTGGCACCACGCCGCTATCTCATATTCCCGAACGCAACGCTCATGGTTCCTCCTTTCACCCCAGTCCAGCTGCCTACAACATGTCCCAGCAACAGCAGCAGCAACCCCAGCAACCCCAGCAGCAGCAGCAGTACTACAATGCCATGCAACCCCAGCCATACCATCACCAACAACACCAACAGCCTCTCTACTCTTACCAGCCAGACTTTTACTATCAGAGCGGCTATTCTACGACGCATGTTATGCCCCAGTACACTGGCACCCATGACGGCAGCGGCATGTCGGGCGCATACGTGCAGCAAACCCAGGGCGGCCACCCTGCGGCTGTTCAGAACCCTGGCCTGCTTGCTCAAGAGATGAACGGGATGGTGTACTATTACGATCCCAACATGATGCAGCAGCAGCAGCCGCAGCAGCATCAACAACAGCAGCATATGGCTACACAGATGCCAATGCCGGGCTATGGCCAGTATCAGAACCACGCCTCGACACCTCCCGGCATGATGTACTACTCGCAGTAGGGCGAATATAGGATCTCTCCGCACCTCGCCGCTCTTCACGCTTTGAGGAGTACAAAAAACTCTCTTGGATCACATTGTTGTTTTATTTTCCGTCCTTGTTGCATAGCGTGTTTACCTTGCTTGTCCCCCCTCCTCTCCAAATACCCCTCGGCCGTCCTTGAAAGACGAGCGCCGCGTTGCATTCTCTACCGTTTTCTTGGTTTCTCCCCGCCCTATTTGATTTGTATTTTTTTGGTCTATTCTTCGTTTATTGTGTTAGTTTCATAGCCCCCTTTGTTTCGCCATACCTAAAACCCAGAACGCATCGGAAGGACACGATGATGCGTCGGGTGTGTTTTGCTTTTTTGCTTTACAGTTTTCTGTCCATTGTGTTCTCCTCTTCCTGGACCAGCCAGCTGCATGACGCATTCTATTTTTTTTTTTTTTCATTGATTCCCAACATTCATTCACTTTTCACTTTTTCCTGCTTTTCTACGGGTTTCATTATTGCCTCTCCTGTGCGTTTACATTTACTGGAAGGGTTCATTCGGCGTTTTATGTACTATTGCGTGGAGTTGGAGTATATGGAGGGGATAGGGAAAATAGGAACAATTGACCCCGGTTGCTGCCGCTTGGCAGCAGTCGTCTATTGAAGTCGTTTACCATATTGGATGGAATTGCGTTTTGTTTTTGTTTGTGAAATCACAAATGTAATGTCATCGTCATCTCCGACCAAAGTTAGATGCGGATGTATTTGTCACGGAAATGGGAGAACCACGATGTGCTGTAAACTCTAATCGGCGGGAGTGGCTGTGGGCCTCATCGGGAGTGATAGTGTTCACTGAAGATACTAACCTATGAGCGATGTTCATGACAGGCAAAAGGATTTGGGGTTTAGTCAGAGAGCGTGCTTTCATTGCAGTCGACTCAGGCGATGTTTTGATGGCGTCGGGCCTGCGTCCTGTCACTGAGGGGGCGTTCTGGGTTACGAGTCGCGCACGACGCTGAGTTGTGGAGTAAGCGTGAGTGACATCTCGCCTTCTTTTTGTATAAGAGCCGACCGTGAATCGGGTGAACCGTTGTCTGCGCACTGTACAGGCTGCATCACCTTTCTTTTCTGGTGTAGTCTACTGCCTGCACGATGGATGACGGAAGTGATTCCATGTTTCTACGGAAAGCGGCGGCCGGACAAGGGCGGCTTAGTTGATTGTTTGCTCGATGCCAGAAACGAGGCGTGCGTCAGCCAGACCAAGAGAAAGGTATACGCGCCACCACCATTGCATTGGTGACGCCTCCTCTTCCTCATCTGGTACCGCCCAAAGGAGCGAGTTACAGACAGGCTGCGTATGGTGCTGCTGCTGCTGCTGTTACTGCATGGGCAGAAATGTATACGAGACAGACAAGTTACGCAAGTGTTACGGCAGGGCCCCAAGCGACACAGCACAGCACAGCACAGCACAACACAGCACAGAACCTGCGGTCAGTTTTCCCCGGCGGCGACTTTTTTTCCCTATTAGTCTGTTGGCCACACTGCGTGCGTGTGAGCAAGTTGCAGATTGGCAGTTGGTTCTGGTTGGAGGGAGGGCCCCAGGGTTCTGCGGTCTGAATACAGTGCATGTGGGGAAATCAAGCACAGTGCACTGGCACCTGCCTTGTGCGGCGATTGCGTTGCTTTTTCGGCTGCAGACAACCTTACATCGGCTGCCCGCAACTCGGTTTATCCGATACACAGCGGAGGCGGGGGCCCAGCCAAGCCCGCTGCTGATTGGGCTATCCCGCACCAGAAAGAGGGTTTATCAAGTGGACTCCGCTGAAGCCGCCAGCTGAAGGCGTGCCGAGCCCATGGAAATACAGTGCGTGACTCTGCTCCACATACACTCCCAGCACTGTATTTCCCCTCAGTTTTTTGGTTTTGGGCTTCCCGGAGGGTTCGATGCATGACCACACCAAACGTACTGTACTAACTTACTTTAGCTTACTTTTTCTGCGTGTAGCCCTCGCTCCCTCTCCCCCGCTAACCAAAGCAACCTAGCAGCACGTCACGGCTCTTCTCTTCCCTTTTCCCCTACTTCTTCTTTTCTTCTCCTCTTTCTCTTTCGTTGCTGCATCACCTTTCGACATCCACGCTGCAGAGAGCTCTTCAACAACCTCCCGTCTGTCTGGCCGCCCTTTCCGATTTCTCCTGTGTCCGGGCGTAATTTTGCACTCTGAGAGCAATCCGCCCTGTATTTTCTTGTAAGTAGTTACAGCTGTCTTTCTTTGTTCTTGTCGACGCAAGCAACCAAGCAACTCCACCCGCGCAGCTGGTGCGGCTATGCTTGCCTGATTGCCTGGCCTTTCCCCGCCTTCTGGCTGCGTGTGTGCTGGCTTTGCCGGGAACGAAGAAGACGTAACTCCACAGCACCTCAACCGCCTGTGCTTCTGCACCGGAGTCGTCACCCGCGCTCCGGGCTAGCTTGCGTCGACTGCTGTTGCTTGCTCGCTCGCTACCACTACAGTGCTATCGATTCAGTGCTTGCTGGGTGGCATTGCGTGCCATCTGCCTGCCTGTTCGGTATTTTGCCTCACGCGTACGCAATACAGTACACACCACCATTGAAGCTCCCAGCCTGCTGCTTATCCTTTTTGCCATTTTTCTTGCTGCTTTTTTTTTTTCTTTTTCGCCTCACCTGAGTGGAATTTGCCTCTCTGGATATTATTCCCCTCTCGAAAATACCCCCCATTCACCCCCAAAAGGGACGCACAACACTAGCGTCGCCCGACGTAACCTGGGTTGCCTTCCAGACTAGCCCAGTGGGTGTACCACTGTCCCCCATCAGCGCCACCAAAGTTGCCTGTTCCCTCCTCTTCTCCCCGATACACCTGACCGACAGACACCGCCTGCCGACGTCGCCTCATCGCCTTTGCTCTTCTCTCTCCTGCACGCACGCACAAGTCCCATCTCCATCTCCCTCATAACTAACTTGCTCTTGTCTTTGTTCCCCATCGAAATAGGCCACCTTTTCTTCTCCGTCTTGCGCTTTCCGATATTTTAAACGACAGCCATGTCTTCCGGCAGCATGGGCCCCGACTCGCCTGTCACAATCAAGGTCTGCTACGATGGCAACTTCCGCCGCCTCAAGCTTCCTCTGCGTGACATGGTGCCCGGAACTCTCGAGCAAAAGGTACGTTTTAATTTTTCAATGGGCACCGTAGGCAGTGAGTGCATCTTGTTGCTTCTGGCCGACGCTTGGGCTAGCTAGCCGACACATGCTGCTGCTGCTGCACCAGTGACAAAACGCCGATCTCGCAACAGCAACATGACAATGATGCTAACCACATTGGTGCCTTTTTTTAGATTCGAGCTTTTCTCCTCTTACCCGCCGATGCCAAAACTATGATGGAGCGCTACTCCGACTCAGCCGCCGCCTATGTCTTCCTCGAGTCGTCAAATCTCCCCGTCTACAAGCAGCTCTACCGTGCTGCCAAGGCAAAGTCCAAGCTTAAGCTCCGCGTTACGCTGCTCAACGGCCCCAAGAAGACAGCCGACAAGCCCGCATCGCCCGAGATGCGTGCTGTTATGCCCGGCTCTCTCCCCGTTTCCTTGTCGCAGACTAGCCTGCCCATCAGATCTGCTCCCGCTCCCGCTCCCATCAATAAGACATACGACGCTTCCCTCCTGACAGAGGCTGCCAAGCTCGCCAAGCAGCACGGAGAAGAGGACTTCACCGCTCGCCTCCACGGCCTCCTTCAGGGCACTACATCGCCTGTTAACCATGATAACCAGCGCGCTCCGGCCCCAACTCCCGTGGCATCCTTTGCCGTTTGCTGCAACAGCTGCGACCGTACCGTCCCAGATGCCCACTATCACTGCTCGTCTTGCGACGATGGCGACTTTGACCTTTGCCAGTCCTGCATCGACCAGGGCATCACCTGCTACAGCGACGACCACTGGCTGATTCGCCGCACCATTGTCAACGGTGCCATTGTCCGAAGCAGCACAGAAAAGATTGCTCCCAAGCCCAAGTCCACAAGCCCCAAGCCTCAGCAGGCTCGCCTACCCACCTTTATCAGCCGAGAGCCCACCATCTGGCCAGATGTCAATATCGTTCGCACTATGGAATATATCCGTACTTGCAACGGCTGCCTTCATGAACTCGACGAGGACCAATTCCTTCACTGCCAGGTATGCGAAGACTTTGACTTGTGTAAGACATGCTTCACAAAGGACGACCATGGCCACCATCCCGCTCACGGCTTTGCCCCGGCTGTGCCTGGCACGCAAATGCCTGATGAAGTCGTATGCAAGCTTGCCCCAGGACGAAACAAGATTCACCTGGCCATTTGCGATGGCTGTGATAAGAACATTTCTGGCGTTCGCCACAAGTGCTTGGACTGCGCCGACTGGGATTATTGCTCCGACTGTATGGCCAGCGCAAGCTTTGTCCACCCCAACCATCGTTTCGTTCCTATTTATGAGCCTCTGGCTGATATCAAGAGCTACGTTCCCGAGCAAGTCATTCACATGGGCACTACTTGCGATGGGCCCCTCTGCGCCACCGCTGGCTGGCCCAGCTACATTCGCGGAGCCCGGTACAAGTGCGCTGTCTGCCACGACATCGACTACTGCGCCAACTGTGAGACCAGCCCCTCCAACACCCACGACAAGTCGCACCCCATGATCAAGTTCAGCTCGGCTGTCCGCCACGTCTCCGTCACCACCACTGGTGAGCAGGGCGACGGCAAGCCCATGCCCACGCTTGGCGATAGATATCTTGCCCGCCGCAACCCCTACGACATCTTTGACATTGAGTCTCAGGCCATTCTTGCTCGTCTCACTGTCCAGCCTCAAGATGAACTTGTTCCCTGTGAACCTATCCTTAACATTGAAAAGGTCAGGGCGATTGAGGCTGCCATGGAAAAGTCAAGTCGTAACTCGGATATCTCCAACGAAGCAGCTCCTGAGACAACCCCTGAAGCTGCTCCCGCTGCTGAATTGAAGCCAGCCCAGGAAGCCTCTGTTGCTGCTTCTGCTACTCAGGATACACCTCCCGAGAAGCTTGTGGCCGTCTTCGTGCGTGAGGCTGTGTCTGATAGCACCATCATGGCCCCCAACCAAGTCTTTGAACAAACCTGGGTCCTCCGTAACGAAGGCACCACCTCATGGCCTGCAGGCTGCGCTGTCCAGTACATCGGCGGCGACTACATGGGCCATGTTGACTCTGCTCACCCTGCTGGCATTTCGGAGCTGGTTTCCGCCTCCAAGTCCACCGTTTGCTACTCGCCCCTTGCCCCTGGACAGGAGTTCTCCTTTACCGTCTTGCTCCGCACACCCAACCGCACCGGCAAGTTCATTTCTCACTGGCGCCTCGTTACCGATAAGGACGAGAAGTTTGGCAACCGCTTGTGGTGCGAGATTAACGTCCGCAACGTGAAGAAGGTTCCCCGTCACGCCTCTGTCAAGACCGAGGGGCAAGTCAAGAAGGAAGAGGTTGAACCAGCCATGTCCGAAAGCAACATGATTTTTCCCAAGCTCGAGAAGGAGTCTCCTGTAGCCAGCATGCACGAGAGTCTGCCCAGCCAGACACATACTGTTGTGGCTGAGGACGAGGAAGAAGAATCAACTGTCTCTAGGACCGCTGAGGGCGACTGGGACGAAGCCTCTGACGACGGGTTCATGACGGACGAGGAGTACGACATTCTGGATGCCTCTGACGAAGAGTACCTAGAGGAGCACAACCGCAAGATGGCAGCTCGCAAGTAAAGCACGACTCAAAACAAACACCAGCGAGATGGAGATGTTGTTGATGGTGCTGCTACTGCTGCAGCAGCTGCCACTACTAAACTAAACTATGGATCGGCAGCCAGAGTATGCCTCGCCACATCCATTTGATCATAAAACCAACTGTACTTTTCCTATTTTTTCTTTTCATATCGGGGTTTCCTTTTTTCTTGTCGTTTATTTTCCTTTGTCGTTGGCCGTCTCCATCTACGCTCGGTGGCCGAAATGTAGGCAAGCAAACAAGCAATATGTTTACTTGGCATTTGGCATTTCTTTTTGGCTGTTTAAAGCCCCAGGCTCTGGGGCTGTTGCTCCCGGTTTTGTGTTTCTAGCTGTTTCTTGGATCAGTAGCGTTGTGCTCTGGCACTGTTTTGCATGGGCAGGTTGATAAAACATGTAGCTCGGCAAAAGAATATACAAATTGAAAGATTGACCTGGGGCTGTTGGCTCGCTGTGAAATGCAATTAGGCGCAATCAAGACATCCATGCGTTTTATTGACTGGTGTACAAGTATGGCGCCTGAGAACTGCTGCTGCTACACCACACTAAGTTATGACTCTTGGTATTCATACTATTCATAACGGTGAGGCCTAGTTAGGCTCACCGGCCTTGGTAGGGGATGAACGCCTCATTTCTTTTCATTTGCCTTGCATCTAATTCGTTTGATAGTTTCTTCTCGGAAGACCCGTGTTCGATCCGCCTTCCCTGAGCTTCTTCTTCAGCACCCAGCACGCGCGACGCCCGACGAACACACCGTCAGCGCTTACCTTAGTAGAGTAACCCTTGCTACAGGACCTGGTTCGCCTGGTTTGCCTTGAGTGGTCCTTTCTTTAAATTAATTTGGGTCCCACTGGGGCCTTAGGATCCTCTCGGCTGCGCAGCTAATCTCAAAGCATAGGCGCTAGTAAAAAAAAAAAAAAGACACGCACGCACCAGCGCCCGCTTACACCACAAACGTTACATTCTGCTTTCCACTTTCGGGTGTCGCTTAGGTTCTAACGGCTTGCTCTGCCTTGTTGATCAACAGACAGCGGTGCAAGTAGGGCTGTACAGGGAGAGAGAGATCTTCGTGTGTGGTTTGCGCCGCAGATCTGCATCGTCTCTTACACAAAAGCTCAACACCAGCATTATCATCGTCAGACACCACGTGCAGGTCCTGCTGCTGGCGACCTAACAAAGGGATCGGTCCGCCGTGGCTCATGCAGGGGTAATCACCGCGTGCACCTCCCCTCAACTCGTCACAATGGGCCCTAATATACAAAATCAGGCTGCGGCGTGCAGGGCTTACTGCTCAGAAGCGGACCTTCGGCCGAGAGTAGAAGGCCAATGTCACCACAATTTATTGGGCGCTTGGCCTAGAAGAGGGTTATGGCCGGTGAGGCAGCGAGTCAGACGCCTCTTTGTTTGGCCCGTCTTCTAGTACAATATGTTGCACGTAGGCCCGCTTCCTTTGTTGTAGGAAACCCAAGCTGCTGAAGAGTTTTTGTTCTCTTGTGTCATTCCTTCTCATATTCACCATAGTCATTCATTGATATATCTGCGTTTGTACTTGTTGTGCTTCTTCTCTTCACGTTCTTTACTTGACTTTCGTTGCCTATATACCCATCTTTGCACACACACACAAAATGCTTCCTACGAATATCTTGTTGGCCGGTGCGGCCCTCCTCGGTGCTGTTGCTGGACAGGCTTGCGACTGCGATCCTACTAAGAACTGTACGTTATATTTCTCAGATTGTCTTCCAAGTTTGGATGGATGAATAGAAAATATCTGGAGATGAAACTGTTGCTAACATGCTGAATGATAGCTTGCCCTCCCAACCCTGCTCTGGGTAACCGCAAGATCGACTGCGACCTCACCAAGGGCCTCTGCAAAGACTTAAAGCCCCTCGAAGGCACCTACATCAACAAGTTCTCCGACAAGGGTGCCCTCTTCTCCATCGAAAAGGACTTCCAGGGCCCCACGGTTGTCAGTGACAAGTACATCCTCTTTGGCAAGGCCGACATCACCTTCCGCGCCGCCCCCGGCGCCGGCATCGTCACCAGCATCGTCTTCATGTCCTGTGACCACGACGAGATCGACTGGGAGCTCATTGGCAACTACGACTACCAGATCCAGTCCAACTTCTTCGCCAAGGGCGACGAGACCTCCTCCGACCGCGGCGGCAACCACACCGTCTCCGACCCCGTCAACACCGAGCACACCTACTCTGTCGAATGGACCCGCGACAAGATTGTCTGGAGCATCGACGGCGCCGTCGTCCGTACCCAGCTCGCCAGCGAGACCAAGAACGGCTACGGCTTTCCCCAGTCCCCTGTCCAGGTCAAGATTGGTATCTGGGTCGGCGGCAACGCCAAGGCCAACCACTGGCAGCTCAACTGGTCTGGTGGCCGTGCCGACTTCTCCAAGGCTCCCTTCAACGCCTACGTCAAGCGTGTTACTGTTGTCGACTATGCTGGTGGTGATAGCCCTGCTCACCACGAGGTCGAGAGCTACTCCTTCAGCGACCGCTCCGGCTCTTTCGACTCCATCAAGTTCTCTCCCGAGGGCAGCAAGAACATTGCTCATGCAAACGACGCTGAGGCCTCGAGCACTTCTTCTGCTGCTGCCTCTACTACTGGCAAGGCTGACAAGACCTCTAGCTCCGTCCAGCCTGCTGCTAGCAGCAGCAGCAACTCAACTTCCGCTGCGGCCTCTAGCGGTACTTCGCAGACTCCTGCTGCCACTAAGCCTGCTGACAAGAACAGTGGTGTCCGATCTGGCGCCGTCACGGGCAGCCTTGTTCTCGCTGCCGCCGGTGCTGCTCTCATGGCCATGCTGTAAACAGGATCTTGCTAGTGTTGTAAGATATTGAATAGTGAAGATGGAATAGATATCTTTTGCTGCTACATCATGGAGTGCGAGCTCTTTTTTTGGGATTGCAATGGCGTTTCACGGCACAGTATACCTTTGCGGCTGCTTTTCACTTCTCTTGTATATATTTTTGAAAAAAGATGTCAAAACAGATGATATTACTAGAGTTATACATATGCATCACAATTAGATTTTAAAGCCAAGATGCTCCCGATTATCATCGACTATGCGACCCCATTCCAGCAGTAGTCGGAACATGTATACTTCCATGTCTTCGTGTCGTAACGCCTTGCGTGCCCATGCTTGTCCGTTCTCTGCAATAGCGCGCGCCTTTTCATCGCCACCAGCATCGCGGTACTTGCCACGGCCAGAGAAGTAGTCTAGCACGGACCAGAGACCAGAGCCCAGGCGCAGATCGACAGGTACATAGTGATGCCATGCCTGCAGACGCTCGTCTACCCATGTCTTGAAGAGAGCACTGCGGTAGGGCAAGCTGCCGCTACCGACAAAGGGTAGGAATTGACGGCTAAATGCTGCTCCGTCAAGATCCATCAAGTGCTTGAATCGCCAGTGTTCGTCAAACGGAGGCTCCTCAGGGAGTTGGTTTTCTCTACTGTACTGCAATTCGCCATTGACTGTTGCAAGTGCGGGCGTGGCCCAGTGTTCAAAGCTTCTGAGCTCGTCAGCGCAATCACCGGGACTACCGACGCACTTGGGGGCGTCTCCAACAAACGACACATTAATGTTAAGCGCTGGCTTGTCACGGCTGTTATTGGCTAGTTGTGCCGTAGCCTGCTCATATGCTTGGTGTACAAAGCGTGCGCGCATGAAGCCAGCCCATCGTCCGCGCTGGGCGAACCCGTCGGAGCTAAGGCCACGCCAAAACATGGTGTTTTCCTTCTTGTCCCACTGTACGTCATTCAACACGCTTGTATCGTTGTAATTCCACGGCGAGGGGACGAGGATATCGGCGAAGCCACCGGTACGTGACTGACTAAAGACGGGATACAGCTTGGGTGTGATGACGCTGACGACGGGCGAGTTGATGAAGCCGCTGAGCGTTGCGGCGTCGGGCTGGTGGCAAAGGTCCATGGCAAGGTTTACATCTTTCACTAGAGACCCGTCGCGGGTCATGATGGAGTGTGGCTTTGTGCATGGGACACACAGCGTACCCAAATCCCACCAGCGGAAGCTGCGCGCGTTGGATGATGGAGGGCAGGATGGCGCCACAAAGGTGTTGTAAATGGGATAGCCGCCGCGGTTTGTGAAGTCGGGAGTAACTCTCTCGCCGGCAATTGGTTCTATCCACTCCGAGGGCCATTCGTGCTTGGTCATGGCGGTGCTCATCCTATCATTCGCATTCATTTCCTCATGTGTCTTCATACCGGCCTGCTTGAGCGCCTCCATGGCCTCAAAAGGGACAGAAACTTGGCATCCATCTCCCAAGTTAAAGGCAATGTCCATATCAGGAAGCCAGTCAATAAAGGGCTGGATCATCTTCTCCATGGTCTCTATCATCCACTGGTGGGTGTCTGGGATGTGCGGTGACCGCTCAGACTTGTGGCTGCGAATGCGCAGACCGCCAGTGCCAACCTCGGCATAGTTAAGAAGATGTCCCGTCTGGGCTCGGATATCAGCTGGCTTAACTCCCCAAAAGGGCAGCAGGTCGTCGTATATTTGGTTGAAGTCGTCAATGATGGGGGATTTCTTGTCCATGGCGAACTTGTACCACTTATCAAAGTTGGGTGGTGGATGTGTGTTGTAGCGGAGGCGGTATTGCTTGACTGCTTGTTCCAGTGTCTTGCTGCTACTGGCACGCGATTGCCAATCTTTGGCTGACAACCGGGCATCTGTAATGAGCATATCCACTGAGTTGGCCAGGGAGGGTGAGGATGAGAATGTGGCCGTGAGTATCCAGCAGACTACGCAGACAGCAACAACTCGTAAATAGTTGACAAAAATGGGCCGTTGCAGGCCGGTCTGGTTGCTGTACCACGGCGAGTTGGTGCCGGGTGGTACCAGATAGTAGAGGAAGCCTGCCAGCAGAGCCACGGGAACATTTGTCAAAGCTGTTGAGCCGAACCACGACGGCGTCGAGAACCATATCGACGTGGGCCACGGCATCTCAAACCCAAAGAGACCGACACTAGCAATTAGCAGACCGACGGTCGTGGGAGGGAGTGCCAGTAGACTCAGCCAGGTGGAAACAATAGTCACTGCAACAAGCGTCGAGTCGAAGAAGAGGTCTCTGTAGTCAAGGTATTTCAAAGGCATAGCTTCAACGATCCAAGTCACCCCGGTTGGTATGAACAAGCATCCGACTGCAACAGCACAGAGCTTTGGCATGTAGTTGGACGCCTCGGTTCCTGCTTCGGCATCACGACGGCGGATCTTGGCAAGTTGCGAGATGATGAATGCGTCTAATGAGCACAGGATGAGTTGTACAAGCGGTGTCCAGAAACGTAATCCGACGCCGATGGGGCAGATGGCGCCGTTTGCATTAAAGCGACGGCCTAGCGCAATCATTGAAGATACCGCCCATGCAAACGCCACTAGGCCGTAGAGTAGCGATCCCTTTGGGAGTCTGTTAAGAGGAGAGCTACTCGAGCTTGCATCAGGCTTGGGGGCCAATGGGGTATAGTCGATGGCCTCCGATGCTACCCAGAAGGTGATAAATAGGGGTAGAAAGGCCTAAGCGACAGGTTAGCGGTTTACAGAAAAAGGACCACTTGGAGGAAGATATACTTCAGAACCAGTCCATGCGCACTGGGAAGAGTGGATTGTTTGGTTAAAGAAAAGGGAGCGTGCCACAAGAGCCAAGAGAAGCACCAGCAGCCATCGTCGTGGTAGTTGCGTAGCCGTTCCTGGGCTAGTGGAACGTGGTTTATACCATATCGGCAGTAATTTGAAGAATAACGCAGTCAGAAGAAGAGTTCCAATAGACAAATATTCGGGGTGTTCTAGCCAAAAAAAAAAAAAAAAAGAGTAAGGTCGGTATCCATGTCGTATGGATCATTAGTGGACATACCAAATGCTGCGCTAGAGTAGTATCTTATAGAGAGGATATACAAGGCGCCAATAAGAGAGCTGAGGCATACCATTAGCATTCAATGGAGGAAGACGAGTGCGGAATTTAGCGGACGCACAGTATGGCGACATGATAATACTCGAGTTCGTTGAGTCTCATCATGATGACGCCGCTAAGAAAAGAGGAGGCGGTTGTCAGTCAGGGAGATCAGCACCTAACAGCGGGTGTTGTTGGGCAGTGGTGACAATCGCGGCCACATGAAAAGCGTACGCAAAGATTCACAAAAATGCCGCTACCATCCCCTTCTGATAAATCACGCAACTTAAGACAAAGGTGAAGAAAGTTTGCAGAAAATAAAAAGTTATTGAAAACCAGGCCGTTGAGTGGTTAGACGGGTGGCTAAATGCCGGCTAAACAGTTGCGCCGAAGGCTCAGCTGAAGCGTTGTAATATATAGCCACGCATTGCTCTTGTTTACAATAATACTATTGTTTTCATCATTATTCAATTATGCAAAGACGGAATCTTATTGAACAGATAGTCGTGCGTATTCCTGACGCGCAGGGCTCCGACTGCACATTGGTCGGCATTGATGGGCGCGATGGCTCAGGCAAGACTACATTTGCCGACGAGTTTGCGAATGTTTGTCAATCTGTACTCTCACGTCCGGTCATTCGAATCTCATTGGATGACTTTCATAATGTGCGGTCGCTGAGATATCGCCGCGGCAAAGCTTCCCCTGAGGGTTTCTATCTCGATAGCTATGACTACAATCGGTTCCATGCATTTGTCGGTAAATCGCTGAGCGCTGGTGGATCACGGCAATTCAAGTACCGCTGCCATGATCTTGACACAGATGAAGTGTTGGACTTGGAACCCTTCGAAGAGGCGCCGCCGGGTGCAATTGTGGTTGTTGATGGTCTATTTCTGCACCGCCCGGAGCTTGTTAGTGTATGGAACTATTCCGTGTATTTGGATGTGACGGCGGAGGAGTGTGCGCAGAGAATGATGGTCCGCGACGGTGCTGCACCACAATTAATACCTACTGATCGATATTTTGGAGGCATTGCTTTATATTTGGATGCATGCCATCCAAAGGAAAAGGCGAGCGTGGTTGTAGATAATAATCAAGTTGGGTTACCCTACATTGTTGATTTTGTAGGCGACCAAGTTTAGCACTGTATGGACTCTATCTATATGCTATTCACCTGTACTTAATATAGCACACAACGATACACCTACGATATACATTTTATGTCTTCAGTCTCCTTGCCATATTCTTTTGCTTTTCTTCTCTATTCTTTTTTTATATAAGAGCACTGACAATCGGCGCAGCATATGGCGTGACTAGCTAGCGGAAAACGTCCGGCGGCCCCGGAAAGAAACTTTGATCAGCGCCCACAGATTCCCCTCGGGGCGAAGAGACATGGAGTTTAAAGAGCAACCTTAACCAGATTAGGAAGGTTACAGTGGTCCTGTCATGACACAAGCAGCTAAATTTCACGACTCGAATTGCAATTTTAGAGCCTCTTGATTGCCAAAGTTGACTGTTTTATTTTAAAAATACATCGATATATAGCGCTCAATATCAGTATTTATTATACTGAATGTATCGATAGACATTGGCAAAGTACGGATATACCCAGACCCCTTGTTCTCCCAGTTAATATAAGCATAAGCCATGCACACGTACACATTATTGCTCCCCTCACAACACTAGTCAGGGACCTTTGTTTTCGCTTCTCCTGCCACCCACACACTTATTCCCGCATCATCATGGGCCGCCAAGGGCCACAAGTACCTGCTATAGAGCAGGCGAAAGGTCCCTCCAAAATTGGAGTCTTCGTATATCCCGGTTAGCGTAGCATCCACCTGTCAGGTCTTTAAGTAGCTAGTCTGCCCTCCACATCAACCGCCCCAACGTCGTAGTTCTCCATCTCAACTTGCGTCTGATCTCTCACACATTCAATTGGCTTCAGACATCATGAAATTCGCCCTCCTCTCTGCGTTAGCAGCTGTTGCTGTAGCCCACAGGCCTTGGAACGCTGGCGCCGCTGGTCTCCTCCCAGAAGGCCCTGTCGAAGGCAACACCACGGAAGGGTTTGGCAAGCTCGAATATTTTGATCAGCTTATTGATCACTCGAACCCTTCCCTCGGCACCTTTAAGCAGCGCTACTGGTGGAATATTGACCACTATGGTGGTCCTAACTCGCCAATTGTACTCGAGTCTCCAGGAGAGTCCGCCGTTGCCACTGATGGCGACCTGTACCGCATGACGAACCGCACTCTCCCGGGTCTTTTGGCCCAAGACAACCAAGGTGCATACATTCGTATTGAGCACCGATACTTTGGACCCAGCACACCGTTCAACGGTCTTCTCAACACCGAGACCCTGCAGCATCTCACTCTCGACAACGCTGTGCAGGATCTCGTCTACTTTGCCCGCAATGTCGTCTTCCCCTTTGACAAGACCAACGGCAAGGCCACCAAGCCCGACCAGGCGCCATGGCTCCTGTCTGGCTGCTCTTACTCTGGTGCTCTCTCCGCCTGGACACATGCCCTGTCTCCTGGTACATTTTGGGCCCATGAAGCCGGCAGTGCTGTAGTCCAAGCTGTTGAACAGTTCTCAGACTTCTTCATCCCCATCAAAAACTTCATGCCCAAGAACTGCACCGCCGATGTCCAAAAGGTCATCGCGTATACTGATAAGGTTCTCCTCAAGGGTTCCGAGTCTGAGAAGAAGGCTCTTAAGACCAAGTTTTCCGTCGGCAACTACACCGACTCCCACTTCTCCAAGTACATCTCCGACTGGCTTAGCGTTGTTCAACCCCAGCAAGTGTACTATAAGACCAATGCTCTCCACACTGTCTGTGACTTTGTTGAGGTCAGTAGCGTTTTCACTATTGTGCACACCAGGAAACTAGCTAACATACCACATAGAACCAACTGCCCAAGCCTACCGTTCCCAAGCCTGGTGCTGAAGGTGTTGGTCTGGAGCTTGCTCTTGACGGTCTTGCCCGAGGCTACGATTGGCTTTGGAACACCAACCAGTTCCCCGAGGACGACGTCACTCCCGAAGTGAACTCCTGGGAATGGTTCCTTTGCAATGAACCGTGAGTGGAATATCTCGTTCACTTCATTCTATTTTCGATCGCTAACAGTTTCTCGTAGCTTTGAGTGGTGGCAGTCATGGAGCCGGTTTGACAAGACGGGTCTTCTGTCGCGCGTGTATACATGGAAGGATGATATCAAGCTGACCTGTGAGGACAAATTCCCCGACATCAACGGCTTCAAGTATGGGCTCAAGAATGGCCGTACCTACCACACCGTCAACAAGCACACTGGTGGATGGCGCAATGTGAAGACCACTCGTCTATTATGGATCAATGGCGAGTTTGATCCCTGGAGACCTGCCACTGTTTCGTGGGAAGGGCGTCCCGGCGGTGCTCTGCAGAGCACCCCCGAGGCCCCCGTGTTTGTTATCAAGAACGCTGGCCACTGCAATGACTATGTCTCTGCAAACGCACAAACCCCTGAAGGCAAGGAGGTTTTTGCTGCCACCTTGAAGCAATTCCGCACATGGGTAGCTGACTTTTACAAGGCTCACCCCCACGCCAACTAGATATTTTTAGATTGCGTACATAAAAAATAAACGTGCCATAACTTATGAAGTGTAATCCGTTGCCTGGTTGGTCTAGGTTGGGAGATGCAGCGAAAAAACGTTCATCTGGACTCTAAATCAGTTGCTTATAAGTTGGAGAGAAAGGGGAAGACTATTCCGTGGGACCATGGCAGTTCGACTGGCAGAAGGAAGCGTCTGTACGGTCAGGCAGTCAGAGAGATTCAGGACTATGAGCAAAGGGCAGGTAGAGCGACAACAAGGAAGGGTTTACTGAAATTATTACTAAATACCCGACGCCTCTTCTCGCGCCGAACTACCCAAGCTGGACCCTTTTCAAAGTAACCACTGTAAACTGCTGCCACGTGTATGTATTTGCATTTCGTGGCGGCCCCGAAAGTCTCCAGGTCCTACAGGTGTTACCGTTGGCGGCGAGCTGGGGGGTGGTGGTGACATGCAATATGCGCGTATGCGCAAGAGCCGAAGAAGAAGGCGAATAGAGATTACCCCGCATGCAGCCTTTGGGGGATCCCTGAAAGGAACTTTGGAAGCTAAAGAATCAGGCTGTGATGCAGGCTAGGGAGCCAGTAGACTCCACTAACTCTGGAATGGAGCGCCGCCTGTGCAAGGACTTATCTGCCGCTGAGGCGAGTAGTGTTTATCGGCATGCGGATATTGAGGCGTGGGGTTACATGAGCTGGAGTCAGCCGCCACGCGCCTTGCTTGATTTGTCCATCTACCGGGGAACGGCCCTCTGAGGCGCGCAAACCAGCGTATTTGGGAATAGCTTGAGATGGGGGGAGTTTATTGAGGTACGAGATCAACTGACTGGATGGTGAAATCAGCCTCAGGCGGGTAAAATGGCCCGCCGAACTCTGGCAAAGAGTTTGGACCTTTTTGGGCTTCGACCCCAAGCCATCACCTCGTAAGCCGCCACGACGGCAGCCGCCGCCGCATATGGCGCTTTGTTATACTTAATGGCCTGGGGGGAATCATGGAAATCTCCAGAGGCTTTGGAATATAGATGTGGCATGATCCTAAGACCGCCACTGCCAGCTTTCCCACATAGCACGTTGACCCTGAGCCATCACGACTTCTACACCACCTTGTTGTTGCACCTCTTCCCCTCAATCCTTCCTCTACTACGACACAAACATGCAGTTTGCCCCGAATTACTATGACGAGAGCCAGTATGCTATGCTAGCAAATTCCCATCTTGATAAGTCGCTGCTGCATGGAGGACATCAGCTTGGGGGTGACGACTTTTCCATGTTATCGCACGCCTATTCACAAGAAGCGGCACTGATGCTGTCTGAAGATCCCTCCCAATCGTACGCAGCTGCGGGATCCTACATTGCAGATCTAGGATCGTCGTCCAATGAAGCTTCGCAATGGGATATGCAAGCTTTGTTGAATTTAGATGGCGAGGAGTTGCTAGTCGATGATCTTGACAATGCAGTTGGGTTGCATCACATACTGCAGGATAGCCCTACCACCACTTCTACAGCGCGTGGTGATCCCAAGTCATCAAAGGCCGCTCTGCGGTGCCCACATCCATCCTGTTCGTCAAAGACTGTCTTTACGAGGCAATGCGATGTGGACAAACACTACCGTCTTCATTTCCGTCAATATTTCTGCCGAATTGAAGGCTGTCCACAAAACCAGACTGTGGCGTTTGCAACAGTCAAAGACCGAGACCGCCATGAGCGTGCACACAATCCATCTATACCTTGTGAACACTGCGGCAAACTTTTCAGCCGACAGGATAATCTGCGGGACCATTGCCGGCGGCGACATGCCAAAGGAAAGTGAAGTGCGAGGGTCGTGTTTGATCGGCACAGGTTTTGTGTTGAGAGCGGATTATAGAGTATACAATAGACAGCATTCTAGCATAGTCAATATTTACAATTGCACAACATTTCAAAGTCCCAACTTATTTTCTTTTAATTTTATGGAGATAGGCAAATTCCCCCAAAAACTTGTTACGAAATCAAGGGCTTCTCCATCGTGCGCCGCCATTGATCGATCTACAGATGTGGGAGGCGGCGCCAAAGGTGGCGGCGATCTCGGTTCTATATCTGGCTTGGTCAATCCGCCACGCTATACCCTGCACGAAAAGATTAGTCGCAGATAAGGCGATATTTATGCAGAGACTTCAAGACGCTATTGCTTACATTCAAATGACTAAAAATTCGGAAGTATATACCACTTGGTAGGAGAGTGGTGCTAGCGCGTAAATATATCGTGTTATTGAAACATATATAAGTCATTCTTCTTATATAAACAAATAGATGAAGCTATATACCACTATTGCCTGCAATCAATGCCGCTTTTTCATAAGCTCTAAAGTGGTACCTGAAATCGCCACCTAGTTCTGGTTGGTAGAGAAGGTCCAGTCCTCGCCGTTAGAGCGAGCCTTGTTCTGGTTCGTGGAGAAGGTCCAGTCCTCTCCGTTAGAACGAGCAGCGTTCTTGTTTGTAGAGAAGGTCCAATCTTCGCCGTTTGTAGAGCGGGCGGCATTCTTGTTGGTCGAGAAGGTCCAGTCTTCTCCGTTGGTGGCGCGGGCAGCATTCTTGTTGGTCGAGAAGGTCCAATCCTCGCCGTTGGTGGAACGGGCAGCGTTCTTGTTGGTAGAGAAGGTCCAGTCCTCGCCGTTAGAGCGAGCCTTGTTCTGGTTCGTGGAGAAGGTCCAGTCCTCTCCGTTAGTAGAACGAGCGGCGTTCTTGTTAGTAGAGAAGGTCCAGTCTTCTCCGTTGGTGGCGCGGGCGGCATTCTTGTTGGTCGAGAAAGTCCAGTCCTCACCATTGGTGCTGCGTGCAGCGTTCTTGTTGGTGGAAAAAGTCCAGTCCTCGCCATTGGTAGAACGGGCAGCGTTCTTGTTGGTAGAGAACGTCCAGTCCTCACCGTTGGTGCTGCGAGCCTTGTTCTGGTTGGTGGAGAATGTCCAATCCTCACCGTTAGAACGAGCAGCGTTCTTGTTTGTAGAGAAGGTCCAATCTTCGCCGTTTGTAGAGCGGGCGGCATTCTTGTTGGTCGAGAAAGTCCAATCTTCACCATTGGTGCTGCGAGCAGCGTTCTTATTGGTAGAGAAGGTCCAATCCTCGCCGTTAGAGGTAGGAAGAGCGTTGCTACCGAGAGCCAGGAAGGCGGTAATGAAAGCGATTTTCTGAGGATACATTTTGAAGAATGGTTTTGAGAAGTAGATAAAGCAGTTTATCTGAGAAAAGTGTTTGAAAGAAGTGTTTGTGTTTGTAAAGCAAGTGTTGCTGATGCTGAGTGAAGAGAAGGCCGAGAGAGAGGAACACGCCTCGTATTTATACTACATTACACATCACCAAAATTGATACAACTCATAGTCCTCCTTGGGGATAAGCATTGCCAACAATGTTTCATCACTGCACCTCTGTTGTCGCTTTGCCTGGCTATCTCGAGCTCTGTCGTCTCGCTGATGCTTGCGAAGTCCCAGGACCTGCGACACTCACTCGGAGAGTTCTACTTTTGACTGGAGGCCTTGCATATTGGAGGCCGTACATTTTAATACATTTTAATTGGAGTTTACCAAATAAATATGAAGGTAATATTTGCCGATGATCTTCGACGCTGGTGGCCGTATACCGCTGGTGGCCGTATATCACAGGTGGCTGTAGCTATTGGTGGCCGTAAAAGCTGGCGGCCTTACATTACGATGAACGGTTCCTACACGAAGAATATAATATAGAAAAAATTGGCTTTAATACTCTAGGCAATTCACTAACGTAAATCTTTCACAAGACTTTTATCCCAGATAACCCCGCATGTTGTCCTTTTTTTTCGTCAAGTTCAAAATTTTGACCAACATTCCACTACTTACTCAATTACACCCAACTATTCAATATGGCTAGCTCTAGCAGGCCATTTCTTTCTTCCTCCGAAAAGTCAGATAGTGATCTAGACTTGCCCAGCATTGAATTTAGGTCTGATAAAGAAGGGCCTAACAAACGTCATTGGCGGCGGTTCTACGCTGTTGTGCGCATCATTGTGGTCATCCTCGCGTCTTGGGGCTTTGTGTCTATATGCATCGAGGCTAGCCGACAATTCGAATCAGATTCATGGCTCACATGCGATACAAAGAGCAAGGTCCCTGATCCTTATCACCCAGAGACCCTCGAACCAGGCCGAAATACATGCGACTGTGGCACAACAACACAACAGGCTCTGTCACGCGACTGCGTCTATGATAGCCTCGCCGCGGCCTGGCTACCACCTTACTGCCGCGATGAAGAGCTCACGGCAAAATTTGAGGTCTCTGGCCCTGGACCTGAAGGCCAGTGGTTTTACTATGCCGACGAAGCAGGCACGATCCCTCTCAACAAGGCTCAGTTGGCAGCCTTGGGGGAGGTTGGAGGCTCGTTTTGGGCCTTGAGAGACTGGCATATTGCACATTGCCTATTTTATTGGCAAAAATATACAAGAATGCGAGAGACGGGAATTATCATGGAGCAGCGATTTGACCACATTGAACATGTCCGACACTGCCAGCACCTTGCCTTGAAGCCAAAGCCGGATCACTTTTTCCTCATCAACGTTAATGTGGTGATGAACTCAACTCTTTTACAATAGCTCAGTGTAATATATCTTAATGTAATAATATTGGCTGCCTTCTTCATAAACCTTGACAACGACCACAGTTGGGTGACACTGCGCACAGAGGTAGTGTGACAATGGTTAGGCCAATTCAGCCAACCCGTGGGTTAGCTCCTACCATACGCGTAAGGCGGTCGGTATCGTTTATAAAATGTCATCACCGTACTAGTGAGGTTCAGCGTACGGGATTTAGTGAAGGACAAAATTATACCCACGAATTCAGGCTCATTCTACCGAATAGAACCGGCATCTCTTTTACAACGCGCTCGTTAGTACTGAAAAATGGCACATGATATTTCGGCCATTCTTTCGCTATCAAATGACAGTCAGATATGGCGTTAGCCACTGGTGGCCTCATTCTTCCGCCATCCAGTGGACTTTGGTGATCATACTGGTGGCGCCGAAAGCTGAACCTGGATCTAGTGAGATGTAAGGCCCCCAGCGGCCCCCAGCGGTGCCTCAATGCTGAACGACAGGCTGTGCGCCACAAGCCTCATCCAGCCCCGAGTTATACTTGAATTGGGGTAATGGAAAAAGTATTGGGAGTAAGATGAGAATGAGGTATCCTTTACCCCTCTGAGGTTTCCAGTTCATCACAACCCACCCATTCTCTTTTCTGTACTCTTTCACCAACCTCTATTCTAAGAACTCAAACCAGGTTTCTCTATTTCTTTGCCTATTTCTTGAAATTATGGCTGAATACTCCAAGATTGACCTATCATCTTCAAAAGAGAGAGGATGGGCTACAGAAGAGGACGATGCAGAGAGTGCTCTGTTACAAAACAGAAGAATTGGTCCGTCACGATCGTCGACGTGGCATTGGCTTCGCGAGGAAAGGCGGACTGTGACTCTCCATGCAATCTTCTTGCTTTCCAACATTCTAGCTTTAATGGCATATGCTTCAGGATGGCTATCCATTCGGAACCTATCAGATCCCCATTCGAAGAGTGAGTAAATTCCATTTGGCTTGTCAGCGACGCAAAGCTAACTATGCTGGCTCAGCACCAATGCGCCATGTTATATCCTATGAAAGCCGGCCGTTTGCACTTCAGTCGATTTATTTGGCCAACGGGACAATAAATCCAACCAAGTCAAACAACTTCAATGGACAACCAAGACCCGAGCTAGAAAGCGCTTGGGAAGAACTCATGCAGCGTACGTAAAACCCACACCAAGATTTACTGCTTTGTATTGTACTGATGCTTAAATGACAGATCAAAACGTCCGTGTTCATCAGGATGAACTGGGAGACTTTGCGCACGATGATTCCGTTGTCAAACTTGCCGACGGTAGCGGCGAATACTACAGCACTGTGGCGGTCTTTCACGGGCTTCACTGTATCCAGAGACTTCAGAAGTCAATGTATCCCGAAACCTATTACCCCGGGTTGACCAAGGAGGAGATCTTTACTCTACAGAGACATACAGGTTAGTTGAACAGCTCTATAGTGTTCATTATCTAATCGAGAGCTGTAATTCTAATGCGCATAGTAGAACACTGCCTGGATTGGCTACGTGAGTATCTCATGTGCAACGCCGACACATCCCTCATTCCTATCCAATGGTCATCAGAGTAAGTGAGAACTGCCATTTTTGGAAGCGGCACATATGCTTACCCACGTCGAAGTTCCCCAGGGCCTATTGCTACCGATACCGGAAAACATCAGTGTGTTGTTTGGGAGCCAGTCTATAATTGGATGGCCAGCCGCGCGTTCAACCCATCCCAACCCGGCATGCTCGTGCATCCCATTTTTGGTAGGCAGTTATGGAGTAAAATTCTCTATTGAAACATGGATTAACAAAATAATATAGGAGATGCGTACAATAAATCGAGCGAGCATAACCATGCACTTGGAATTACACCTTTGGGTCATGGAGGAGTGCTACACGTCGGACACAATGAGCACAGCGGGCATGACGGCCATGATTCTGATCATCATTGATAATTGAGAGTGGGCTGAGAGTATTTTCTTTAAGATACAAGTGAGAATTGTAATATCGACATTTGTTTGCATTTCACATCAATTTGGTCTAAGCACAGTGCATCAATCTATCCCCTGTCCTCTGACATCGGATGGCACAAAAGAATCCATTAACACTTCTATGAATCCAAATACCATTACAGGCTAAGTTACGTTATTACTTTCTGGCAGTACAAAATACTCCTGTAACCGAAATTGAGGCAAGAAAACCGAAACGAGGCTGCCGGTTACTACTGGGCTATACAACTGGTCTGTAAGGCCCCCAGTCTATAATCTATTAGAGAGAAATCTACTCCTCAGGGACAAGGCTCTTATTTCAGGCCCTTCCCCCGCACTTAGTTTACCCCGCACAAAAGGCCTCGTTTACAGGAAATGTAAGGCCTTCAGGCCCCCTCTGCGGAGAGTGCGCTGCCTGCCCAAACTTCAGAGCTGAGGTTGTTGGATTGGCCTCGTTTGCTATAGATGCGGGGACTTTGAATTAAGTCAATCGACGCAGCTTCCATTCACTTTCAACCTTTCCCCCCATAACATACTCCTCGCTCTATTGGTTTCTAAAATCTACCATCTTGATCTCCTCGCATTACTCTTCCAAGCTCTAACAAGACATACAATGCCTGCCATGACTCCACAAGAACTGGCCGACTGTTTACTTGACAAAACAGAGCCAGAGCACAATATTGCAGCTTTGGAGCACCGCCAGAGATTAATTGAATCTTGGGTGATCCCACAGGGCTCCCGAATTCTTGAAATTGGACCTGGCCAAGGCGATTTTACCGTCTGCTTGGCGGATGCCGTCGGCCCTACAGGCAAGGTTGTTGCCGTTGACCCGGCACCACTCGATTGGGGTATGTATTCAGTTGTATACCTCATAACCTTTCATTGCGGTTTATTTACAGTTTTATGTGACTACAGGAACTCCTAGCTATGCCACAGCACGACCGTTTGTCCTGGCATCGCCACTGGGACCTCGCATCGAGTTCGTCCAAGACGACCCCATCCACTATCTTGAAAATCTACCGAAAGACGAGCAATCGTTCGATTTTATAGCGTTTTGTCATTCTATTTGGTACTTTTCTCAACCAACATACCTTCCAACGATGCTCTCGCTCGCCAAGGGCCGCATCGGCGGTGCGCTTATCGCTGAGTACAGCATGTCGACATCCATTCCCGAAGCAGTACCGCATGTTCTCGCAGCCCTCGCTGCGAATGCGGTAGAAAGCTTTCGCGGAGAGGATTCGAGCCGCAATATCCGCAGTGCTCTCACACCGGCGCAAATTCAAAAGGCAGCGGAGGAGGTTGGCTGGGCGCTTGGTAGCGAGAAGCTCATCACGCCTGGTGCAAAGCAATTAGATGCTTTTCGGGAGGTATACATGATTATCAATGGGAGCGGATTCGTTTCAGATGTCACAGCAGCCGACATAAGCGACAAGGTCAAGGTGATGCTGAAAGGCATGCAGCATGCGGTCGCGGCCAGCGTGGACACAGTTGAGGGCGGTGTTCACGGCGTAAGAAACATGGACGTTTGGAGTGCCAGATTTGAGCCTAGTACAAAATAAATGAAGGTAGTTTAATTTTCAAATTTATTACAATCCTGATGAAATCCACACAGTTAAAGCGATAGAGTATGTTGGTCTTTGTTGATGTTGTGTAATTCAGATAAGCCGTGTCGCGTGATGATTCTGGATCCCCCCCAATAAAGCCCCCCAATGATGTGCGCTAGGCTGTGGGGTAGCGGTGCAACGTCCCCCAAGGGCAGCTGTATTTTTAGCGTGGCAGTGCGGGCGCTGGCGGGACCCTTGTGGGGATCTGGGCCGGTGTGCGTCTTGGGCCTTTGGAGGGAACTGCTGGGGCTCCCACCAACAACGGCAGGCAAATGCAGGGCCCCCAGTCTGTAAGGCCTGCAGCAAACGAACCTCCTGTACAACACGAGGATGGACTTTTAAAATGCTGCAAGATTTAGGCCCCCAGCTGCTGCACAACCAGTAGTGTTTAGCCTTATATTTCTGCCGCTACTATTATTTCTTTGCCACTGCCAAACTCTTTCTCAGCGCCGCAACAATCTGAAACCGCCATTTTCACCAGGTGACAGCCAGGGGGCAAGCAGCAAACCAAAGCCGGCCTCTGAGCCCCCGCCGCTGGGCCAGGTCCAGGCCGCGCAAGTGGCGTTTTCGCAATTTGGCTTCTCGAGATTTGTATGGCGTAACAGTATCGCTGCGCCACGAAACTTCACTGTTGCTGACCAGTACCCAACTGCACGCCACTAATCTACATTCGGCGAGCACCTTTGTCTTCCACAGCGCCTACCTAGCCTCGTTGCTGCGCTGAATGTGGAGGACGGAGAGAGGACGGCCGCGCAACCAGCAAACTGTCAGCCAGCCGAGGGCCTGCAATGGAAAACTAACCCTTTCATCCTGACGACCAGAACAAAGCGTAGAATCTCCGCTAGATACGAGTATTCTTAGCATTGCTTTTTGCTCGATATTTGCCGTCGGCACTCCCCTCTGCATCGCGTACTGCATAGTCTGGCACTTCCACCCACCACGACACACTCACCTACCATGAGCGCTGCAGCTGGATGCCCTCCAGGCGCGGACAACCTGTTGGGACCTCGCGTCGAGACAGCTTGTCGACCCTTTGACTTTACTCTATTGTTTGAAGATACCTTCTTTAACGTTGTTCCGGCGGTAACATTTCTTCTTTTGCTGCCGCTTCAGCTCCGCCAATTGCTCAAAGCGCAGACAAAACTCAACTCGTACGCGCTGGCGACCTGGAAGCTGGTACATTTCACCCACTCGCGCTGTCAGAATTCCGTATACTAATAAAGCCTTCTCTTGTCTGTCAGGCGCTTCTAGCTCTTCTTTTTGCCCTGCACATAGTGTATCTTGTTATTCTCTCCCAAAACTCGGCCCTGACAACCCAGCTTAGCCTCGCATCTGGCGTACTCGCAGCTGTAGCGGTTCTAGGCGCTGGCATCCTCTCCGTTGTGGAAGACCAACGTTCGGCGCGCCCATCCGACATACTCGTGCTCTACTTTTCCGCCTGTACCCTCCTTTCTCTTCCTCGACTACGATCGCTATGGCTTCTCAATGCTACTACCGCGCCTAAGGCAGTTTGGACCGTCATATTCATCCTAACCATCGCTGTCGTCTGCGCTGAGTCCGTACGAAAGAATCGATTTCTGCTTCCGCCATACAGGAGCTTATCGACTGAGCAAACTGTCAGCTTTTGGAGCCGTGGCTTGTTTGTCTGGGTTCTACCATTTTTCAAGTTAGGCTATTCCAAAGATCTCAATGTGCACGACATTCCCCAGGTCGACACTGCCCTGCGAGGCGAGGCGGCCTATGCAAAGCTAGAAGCTTCTTGGAATCAAACGTCTGGTCGCCATCGATTGCTTCGATCTATGTTCAAGGCTAATCTGTGGCCATTTTTCTCGGCTGTCATTCCCCGCGTCTGCCTGTCGTGCTTCTCCTTTTCACAACCATTTCTCATCGCTGCGTCGGTGTCGAATCTCCAAGACCGCGAGAATGAAGACCACGCACGCTATGGCCATGCTCTTGTCGGGGCGTTTGTGCTTGTATACATGGGAATTGCGGTGAGCCAGTCAGACAATATTGCATTGTATTCGAAACTAACCTTTATTGTAAAATAGATATCCCGAGCCCTCTACCAGCGTCAAAACTTTAGAATGACGTCCCGAATTCGCGCCGCTCTGATTTCCAAAATCTACCAGGATACAACCGCCCTCCGACATACGGAAATCAAGGATGCTGCAGCTGTGACATTGATGGGAACTGATGTAGAGAGAATCATCGCTTCTCTGTCCCAGGTTCATGAGATTTGGGCGGCTGTGCCTGAAATCAGCATTGCAGTGTGGTTGTTGGTGCGTCGCATCTCATATGCGGCAATCGTTCCACTGATCATATGTCTCAGTAAGTCGTCTTTTGATAACTTTGGATTGAACCTTGACAGTTTGCGGCTTTCCATATGTTGCTTAAGCTGACTTTTCAAAACTTTAGTTTCCATTGTTGGGGCGTCTCAAATCGCGGCCCATTTCGGGCCAGCCCAGATCGCTTGGATCCAACGCGTGCAGAAGCGTGTAGCAGTTACTGCAAACATGATAAATGACATGAAAGTCGTCAAGATGCTCGGCTTATCAGAGGCACTCTACAAGATCACGGCGCAGTTGCGGCGAGACGAGTTGCATGCGTCAGAGCGGTTCCGCAAACTGCTTGTAATGCAAATTCTAACTGGTAAGCACCCGAATAGTACGCCACGCCAAACACAAAGCTAATCACTGTTTTGCATGTAACAGGAAATGCGCCAGCTCTGTTTGCTCCTTTTGCTACCTTTGTCACCTATGCAATTATTGCCAAGGTTAAGAGTGACCAAACGCTGCTAGCAGCTCAAGCATTTGCCTCGCTTTCTCTCATAAGTCTTGCGACAGAACCTCTCATCATGCTCTGCCAGGCCCTACCCAATCTTATGCAAGGTATCGCATGCTTCCAACACATCGAAGACTATTGCATCAAAGTCAAGACAGAGGCGACAGCCTTCCCACCACTTCCTCCATCTCAAGATGCTACCGCAGTTGAATTGGGAACGAAGGGCAAAACTTCGCAAACTAAATCAAAAAGCCCTGCGTTTTCCTTCAATAATGCAGGCATTACGTGGAGTTCAACAGACGAGAAAAGTGTGTTGCATGAGCTGACTCTTGACATCTTGCCAGGATTCACGGCCATTATTGGACCTGTCGCGAGTGGGAAGTCAACACTGCTAGCCAGTATAATTGGCGAGACAGTTCTTAAGCAGGGTTTTATGTCGCCGCCTCTGTCACGAGTCGCTTTCTGTCCGCAGACCCCATGGATCATTGATGACACTGTTCGCTGTAACATCACCGGATACGGAGATTTCGACCAGGACTGGTACGACTTTACCATATCGTCTTGTGGCCTGTTGGATGATATCAAAAGGTTCCCATTGGGAGACAAGTTTCTTTGTGGCAGCAAGGGGGCATCTCTGAGCGGCGGTCAGAGACAACGAGTAGTATGTCTACGAACAACCCCATGTTAATCGACACAGCTAACCTTCTACGATAGGCACTGGCGCGCGCCGTCTACTCCAGGCTTCCAATTGTTATTCTGGACGATATTATGAGTGGTTTTGACTCAAAAACGACTGGCAATATTCTAGAGAAGTTGTTCAGCCAGAATGGCTACTTCCGCAAGGCTGGTATTTCTGTTATACTGGCGACTCATAGCCGTATGTTGTCAAAGCGTTATCTAGCTCGTCTACCTTATTCTAACGAACCCATTTAGACCGCGTTTTGCCTTTCATGGACTCTGTCGTCGTACTTGAGCACGGGACAGTTGTTGAAGTGAAACCCTACGACAAAATTAAAGCACCAGCCCCAAAGTCCGCGTCTGACGATGAGGCCGACTCCGAACAAAGCAACGAGGTTAATGATGACAGCACAACCAATGTTCAAGGTGATGCTCCGAGTGTACTGGAAGATCCAGAGATCGAACTGGAAAAAGACTCCTTACGCAGGCGCGGTGGAAGCTGGTCTGTATACTCATACTACTGTAGGAGTGCTGGCGTTGTGCCTCTAGTGCTCTGGGTGGGATTCACTTTCGTTGGCGCTGTGACCGCAACGTACACTGGTAAGTCTTGGGTGATCCTCGTGAGACACTGGCCGGAAGCTAATATGATGCTGTAGCTGTATGGATACAGCAGTGGACGAAAGCGAATGAGCAGCATCCTAATGAGCAATTGGGGCTCTACCTCGGGATTTACACAATGCTGGTAGTACTGGCACTTCTCGCTGTCGCAGGTGAATGCTGGTATGTTATTTACCGTTTATTCTCCGAAATTATTTTAACCAGTGCAAAAAACAGGGTATTCTTCATCAAAATTATCAGCGAAACGGCGCTCAAGCTTCATGATGATTTGCTACGAGCCACAATCAAGTGAGCCGGTATTGGAAAGTCATCGAAAGATAGTTGCTAACAAGTTCGTGATTTCAGTGCGCCCTTTTACTTCTTTCAAACCACCGATGCGGGCACAATCACCAATCGGTATGTTAAGCAACGCCTACCTGACATTTGGAGCTACTGTGAACCTTGAATACTGACCTCTTGCCACAGATTCAGTCAGGATATGGATCTTATCGACATGACATTGCCTGCTCATGCCGTCACATTCACCACAGGTATATCTCGTCCGCTTCAATTCTGTGTAACTCACGAACAGTCTAACCACAGTTTTGCAGGTACCGCATCATGCATCGTTCAGCTCATCTTCATCTGTATCGTGGGTAAGTATCTTGCTGCGACGGTACCAGCACTTATCTGCGTCCTCTTCGTCGTTCAGCGCTACTATTTGCGCACGTCCAGACAGCTGCGTCTGATGGACATTGAAGCCAAGGCACCCATCTACAAGGTTTTCCTTGAGACCACAGAAGGAGTAGCTCCTATCCGAAGCTTTGGGTGGTCAACCGCTTTCCACAAGAGACAAGATTATGTACTTAATATCTCTCAGCGACCGCTGTACATGCTTGCCTGTATTCAGCAGTGGCTTGCTCTGGTTCTGGATCTCATTGTTGGAGGTCTGGCCGTTGTAATCACCGCATCTGCCACAGCTGATACCAGTGCCATCAGCGCAGGAGACCTTGGTGTGGCACTTGTGTTGGTATTACAGTTCAGTACCCTTCTAACACAGAGCGTCCAGAACTGGACACGCCTCGAGACATCCATTGGAGCTGTTGCCCGTGTACAGCAGTTTCTGCGGGATACCCCACCAGAGGCTCATGGCACCGAAACGCTCCCAACTAATTTCCCCGAGAGCGGTACCATATGCTACAATAACGTCACAGCTAGCTATGGGTAAGTCATTTTGCGCCAACTTCTGATAATCATCTAACTGTTCAAGGCCGGATTCGGACCCTGTGCTCAAGAATGTCGACCTAACCATCCAGCCTGGCGAAAAGGTCATTTTTTGTGGTCCATCGGGTAGCGGCAAGTCGTCTCTCATCATGGCGACACTGATGATGATGGAAGTACATGGGGGGTCGATCAAAATTGATGACACCAATATCAACACGGTTGCTGGGAATGACTTGCGCCTCCATCTCAATGTTGTACCACAGGATCCATTCTTCATGCCTGGTACTGTAAGGTTCAACATCGATCCCAAAGGTCAATCCGGAGATGAATCCATACAGGTCGCCCTTGGTAAGGTTGGCCTATGGGACAAGATTGACTCCAAGGGCGGCCTCGATGCTGCGCTTGATCCCTCCGAATTATCCCATGGTGAGAAGCAGCTCATGTGTCTTGCAAGAGCTATGCTGGTCAAGAGTCAAATTCTTATTCTGGATGAAGCGATGAGCAGGTATGCTGCGACGATTCATGCGATTGTTATGCCAGATTGACTGACTTTCCTCACAGTGTTGACAGCGCGACGGAAGCCAAAATGCAGGATATTGTCGATGCCGAGTTTCAATCGCAGACGGTGATATCAGTTTTGCATCGATTTGATCATGTCAGGAGCTATAACCGCGTCGTTGTTTTGAGAAGCGGCGAGATTGTCGAATCTGGTACGCCAGATGCCCTGTTGGCTTCGGGTTCGGCTTTCCAGGGCCTTTACAACGTCAATATTGATTAAGGAATATATTCCAGGTGTTGAGAAATGTTAATTACTAGAGCCTTCTATATCAATGTACATTCCATATGCCGAATACAAAAAGTGAACACCCGTGTTGTGCTTCAAACCTCCATAATTGTCACATCCCGTCTAGATTCTTCGTTTTCAAAACAAACTATTGTTCATCTTCGTCAATGGGTTTTGAAAGTTCCCAGACGTTTTGAAACCGTCCTTCCGCATCCCTATCAGCTATGAATATCAACTCCATATTTTGTTCCTCGCTATCCCCAATCGCCATGGCCACTGTGCATCGGACAGCAATCTTGTCTTCTTCTTGAACGAGAAAATTGGCTTGCATCTCCCACTTGCGACAGATTTTCCGGAATAATGTCACTTTTTCAACCGCTTTTTCGAAATCAGTGCGGCCACCGCCCGCTGAGTAGCGAAGGTAGTTGGGGCTCATCGTACGCTTGCAGAAGCCGCGGGCGTCCTTTGGATCCCCGATGAAGGCACCATCAAGCCATTTTTTAAATTCTTGAGTGGTAATTTTGGCGATCGTCATTATTATTTGCTTGACAGATAAACTGCTGAATTGATGATGAAACAATTTCTAATCTCTCTGAGGCCGGAGACTTTTAGTTGAGAGTGACGTTGTGGGCCAAGCGGTGTACACTAGGATGAGACAAATGCAAGATGTTACGACTACTGCGATCAAAATTTATATAGTTTATAAACTTTGAATAATTACTTATTAGCTTAAAGTGACCTCTCATCATCTATCTTATGCTTCGTCATCTCTCTTCTTCACCACGGCTGACTCGAAGGGCAATCCGGCTTGTTCGCGCAAAACACCATACATGGAGGACGAATCTAATGGTCGGTCATGTTCCTCGGAATACTTTTGTGCCGTTTTATAATTGCCCATGATTGTTTCTGCAGTGGGCAAAGTGACACCGGCGTTTTTAGCACAGTCAACAACGAGGCCAACATCCTTGACAGCCAGGTTGAGATCAGACCACGGCCGCTCGGCTCTAACAGGCAGATAATGACCACCCGTGATTCTTTGTGAGACGGCAAGAGGAAGCGCCTTATACTGGAGATCAATAAGGTTCTCAACAGCGGCTTCGCTTAATCCAACCTTTTCCGCCAACACATGCGTTTCTGACAACAGCTCCATCATGCCCGCAGTAATAAAGTTGCTGTCTACTTGGTTAGTTATGCAGGTGAATATGTCTGAATGTTCTTGTATCATACCCAACAGTTTTGAGTTTACTAGAGAGAGTCACATCTTCTCCAAGATAAATCACAGCTCGTGCCATGACACCCTCTAGATATGGCTCAATAGTCTTCACGGCGTCTGGTGGCCCAGCTAGCACAAAGAGCAGCTGACCGTTTGCGGCTACCGGACTAGCACCGAATACTGGCGCTGCTAGGAACTGGGCACCATGCTTAGAAAAACTGGTTTGCATCCATGCAGATGTATCGGGATGGACAGTAGATGTATCGACGATTAATTTCTTGACTGCAGCCGAAGGCGCAAGGCCCGAGAGCATGGCTTCCACAGTTGCCTTTGTCGCGACATCATCGCTGAGAGAGATGAACACGATGTCAGAGTTAATCAAAACATCTTGGGCCGATTCTGCACATTTTGCACCAGCCTCTACTACTGGCTCGCAGCGGGCTACGGAGCGGTTGAAGCATAGCAAAGAATCCGACGCAGTACTGCGAAGATGGTGCTGGACGTTGATGGCCATGCCCTGCCCCATGCTGCCGAGGCCTGAGATGTTAGTTATTTACAATGATACATCTGTACAGAGAAGATCCTACCAATCCATCCGACACGAGGTGCGCTCATTGTGTAGTTGAAGTTTTGGGGCGAGATATAACTTGGGTGGAGTTGAGTCAGAGTATTCCTGAGTAAGGCCCAGATTTATATCTCGTATTGTGGGCGGCGACGCCGCGTGAGGAGTTCATCACAGTGGTTTCGGGAAATTGACCAGTGCCTTATCCTCTGCATTTGTAGAACCTTTTTAAATGACAATTTTAATAATATTTCTGTTTCGTGGTAAAAAGTAAAATCTATTGTGAGTATTCAGACACCTGCTGAAGTGCACCAGGTGACAATATACTGTAATGGAGCGCGGCGTACAAGGCTTGCTAGGCGAGCGCCGACAACGGAACGCGAGTGAAGGGGATGCTATAGCGCGCACTAGTGTATAAGTTACCAGTCCCAATTCCAGGCTTGATATTATAAAAACAACACTTCTACTGGAACCAAAGCAGGCGTTGATGATACAGATCTGACCAAGTATGCTGTACTCCAGTATACGCAATCGCTTCAGAGCATATTCGACGCGCAAACGGACTCATTATTAGCTGCGTATGCTCGCTTGCACAAAAGACCAGGCACCTAGCCTCGCTCATCATGGGCGCGTTCATGAACCAGTTGGCACACCCTTGTACTTTGCAGGGGGCTGCAGATCCTGTGACTTTAAATATTTCTGGCAAATACGTTCAAATTATATTATCTCCTAAGCAACTTATACATCAAATAAAAATAAAAGTGTCGTCCTATCCGTTATTATAGCTTAGACAATCGTCCATGGCCACTGTTGTGCGACACACTTCCCAGTGGACCGTGCAAAGATGCTTGCACTCCGCATAATGCGCTTGAAGTAAATAATCTATCAAGCCTAAATGTAAAAGGAGATATGAGTAAAATGGTCTGTTCGGATTCAAGAAGTTAACCTACATAAAGGTCTTTGTGATCAGCCTTGATCGCGTCGGCTCCCTTTTCAGCGACCATGTAAACCGAATTCTGAATGCGGCAATCCGGGATGACAGGAATGGCAGAGGCATCGATGCAACGCAAGTTCTTGATACCAAATACTCTTAGCTTGGGATCAACAGCTCCCTGTTGAATGTTCTGGCCGATACGAGCAGTACCACAAGGATGGAAGGATGTCTGGCATCTGTCGAGGACAGTTCGCTTCATCGCCTCATCATCATCAAGGGGCATATCCCAAGGGTATTCGGCTTCAACAATGTCTTTGAAGCCCGGACCGTTCATCAGAACATCGTAAGAGAAACGGATACCTTCGCGTACAGCAATAATATCGAGATCATCGTTGAAGTAGTTGAGGTTGATGTTGGCCTGCTGAAGCGGGTCGGCGCTGTTGAGAGTCACGGTGCCACCTTCAGAGACAGGTCGAACCAAATCAACCATTACTGTCATGTAGCTGCCCTTATTAGGGTGAGGGTAATGCCACTGGAAGGCACTACCAAACAAGGGGATGAAGTCCAGCTCAAAGTGTGGTTGGCCGTAGGGACAGAATGGATCCTTGTTACCATTGGCAGCTTTCCGCTGTCGATACTCTGGAGAGTTCTCCAGATATTTGTCAATGCGTGGGAATCCAATCATCTCCAAAAATGGGGATCCCATCGCGCCCGTGTGGTTGTTCTTGTAGGCTGCCAGGACCTGGTCTTGAGCCTTGCCCTTGCGCAGGACATGACTATCCATCGAATACTGGTCCTTGATACGCAAGACAAAAGGGACACCGGGGTGGTCCAGCAGATGTTGCCCGATGTGTGGAGAATCAACAAGAAGGGGAATGTTGTGCTTGGCAAGTTCTTCTTTGGGACCAATGCCGCTAAGCATGAGAAGCTTTGGCGATTCAAAAACACCTTGTGACACAATGACTTCTCTTTCGGCATAGAAACTGTATTCCTGGCCACTAGCTGTGATGACAGTGACACCCTTGGCGCTACGATCGGCACTGTCGATGATGAGCTGCTTCGAATGAACTTCGGGAAGCACGGTAACATTGGGCTTGTCCACAAGAGCCAAGAAGCTACCAGAGCGACGTCCTTGGTAGATGGTGTTCACACTGTGCACTAGACCACGCATTTCGCCATCAAAGATGTTCTCGGAGAGTGGTTCTCCAGTAGAGACCCATGCCTGCGTGAGCAGTTTGCGGAAGGGTTCCATCTCAGGCATGAGTCTGGCATGGGAAATAGGAATTGGGCCTCCTGTACCAATCTTTGAGAGCTCCTTGGGATAAAGACCCTCATCATCATGGTAGGTGACGCTTTTGCGAAGGTATGAGACAAGGTGATCCCAAGTCCACTCTTTGCCACCGTATTCCTCCCACATATCGAAGGTCCCCTTCGACCCAGGTACCCATGAGAAGTAGTTCAGCGATGAACTGCCACCTAAGGCCTTGCCTCGCGTGTTGGGCTTTTCAATGCGCTCATAGTCGTCTCGTTTGACCATGGTGGTTTTGTATGCCCAGTCATACTCACTACCACGGATATCCATGGCAAGTCCAGGAGTACGAATCTCTTCATTGTCTTTTGATGATCCAATGCCAGCTTCAACAACCAAGACATTGGCATTGGGGTTCTCAGCAAGGCGACAAGCCACAATGTTGCCAGCAGTACCGCCGCCAACGACGATGAAATCAAAGCGAGATCCGTCCTTGAGACTCATGATAAAAGGACGAGAGAAGTGATTTGGTTATGTTGTCTTGCAATATAGAAATATTCGTTGTGTTTGTTGAATCTTTCCGAAGTCTTGTAGTAGATTTATGGTCTTTTATAACACATGATGACTGATATTTCTACTTCTCACGCTGATCAGACAGTCTACAATCCACCGCATAGATGAAATTGCATATTCCTAAATAGACTGTACTATTTGATACACTGCATGTAGACCTGGTACTATTATGCCTAAAAATGGTAGTTCTTCCCAGAGAAGATACGCAGATTTAACAACGCTTATCGATAGGCACTAGACCCCAAGAGTTAGGGCGCTCCTACGGCGGGAAAGCCGATGAGTGAGCTATCAGAATACCGTCATCCAATTAAACGATTCTCTCGATCATGTGGCATTCCGTTTGAAAACCCAGAGCAAAAAGTCAAGATCAGCCTCGGCTGTCTGTCTGAAGTTCCGCGCGGTGGAAAGACTGGTAGGCCCATAGTGGGCTGGGAGCCACTAGATCCCATCCGAATCCAGTAATACTAAACAGCCAATCAGCTGCGCGCGCTTGAATACCCGGAGAGGAACTGGATTTACTAACAATAGTCTGGCTCCACCAACATAGTATCGCCGCTTTTGTTCAAGAACACGACGTGGGAGCAATCAATCGATCCACTTCAAGTTCCAACGCTGTCACTCAAAGCTTTCTTGACGACAGGGGGGCGCTAGCATGTGCGTTACGCGACTCTAAAACGCTAAAAACAGGGTTCCCAGAAGGCAGCCGGAAATCGCAAGAGTAGACCGCCAGTTCCAAGAAAGCTTAGTTTGGTAGTTCGGAATCTTTTAGGTATGTCATCTGCCGTGTACCATCATTGTAATTGGATAAGAGTCAGCTTTTGAAATATAATGAGCAATTCCGCAGTTTTCTAGGCCTCGCTATTTTCACATAGATACTGCATAGAACCACTCGTCTACACTCAAGCAAGACACTTCATGAAACATCATGTCAACACAAGCATTATGCGAACCGCTCACTCAATACGCTACATTCCTAGTAGTGTCGGCTACGGCTAGACCAAACTCAATCGCCACAATCAAACAAGGCCTTACCTCGCTTAGCGACATGATTAAGAACGTAGCTGTTCGATACCCAGGCGCACGCCTTAGTTGCAACGCTGGCATAGGGAGCTCGTTATGGGACTGACTATATCCGGCTCCGCACTATGCCGCAGGGGCCCCTGGCCAAAAGCCCCGCGAATTGCGTCGGTTTAAGGAGCTTCATGGAGGTACTCATACCGCAGTGTCAACCCCTGGCGACCTTCTATTCCACATCAGGGCCGAGCGACATGACATGGTATTTGAGTTTGAACGGCAACTGTTGGACTTTTTGGGAGAGTCCATCTCTACTGAGGATGAGACAGTAGGTTTCCGCTATTTTGACGGCCGAGACCTGCTTGGGTTTGTTGATGGGACTGCAAATCCTGATGCGCAGGACCTGAACAAGACAGTCTGCATATCGGCAGAAGATGACCCTGCTGCAGCAGGTGGATGCTACATAGTGGTCCAAAAGTATGTACATGACATGGGGTCATGGGCAAAACTTTCTACAGAAGAGCAGCAGAACGTGATCGGAAGAGCAAAGTTTGATAACATTGAGCTGAGCGACGCCCCCGCTTCACAGCAAAAAGCGCATAAAACGCTAGCTACTGTAGTAAATAAATACGGTGAGGAGTGTGAGATTCTTCGAGATAATATGCCTTTTGGGAATCCTGGGCAAAGGGTCTTTGGAACATACTTTATTGGATATTGCAAAGACCTTTGGGTTATTGAAAAGATGCTGGAACGAATGTTTATTGGGGACCCTCCTGGAAAGTATGATAAGATACTGGACTATTCCAAAGCAGTAACCGGGGCGATATTCTACGCACCACCTGCACGAGTGTTGCAATTACTAGATAATTAAATACTCGAAACAAGTGATAAATATGCTTTAAGATTAATCTCCACGAATAGAAGATAGAAGGACGTCAGGTGTCCAATCATTCTTGTCTACCCAACTTGTTGATGGTGTATGAGGAAGGATATTCAAGAGGCACCGTTCAACACCACGTCTTGTTTCCTGTGACATGTAGCTGATAACAGTAGAGAGATTCAGCACATATCCGCTGATATTAGATCGCCCCTGAATTGGCAAACCGTAAAAGAGAGTATTGTATAGCCCCTCAATGGAAGTCAGCCACTCTGATTTGCGATTTCCTAAGAAAAGGTCCAAATCTGCCATTTGAGAGTCAGCGGCGGCCGCAGTTGGAGAGTTGCTGGTAGGGGACACCCCTTCTGATGGTGGAGAAACAACAGAAGATTGAATGATAACAACAATAAACAGAATACAGGCTAATCGTGTGTATTCACGCTCGTCACACTCGTGGCTGTCTGGGTTGTCGTTTGTCGCCGGGATAGCGGCGTACAGCGTTCCGAGGGCGATTTGCAAATGGGAGTAGTTAGTGATGCCACTGGAGTAAAGAACAAGTGAGTTGTTCATAAGTGTTCGCGTGTCTTGTATAAAGGATATGAGCCAAAGAGATCGGATACGTGGGAGGGCATCGTGGTTGCCCAATATGGGGTGGAGGCGAGCAGAGATTGACGAATCACAAATCTCCCATAGCTGATTAGAACTATCGAACCATGATGGTTTCGACATGAGACTGATCCTAATAAGAGTTAGCTTAAGACGATAGGATAGGTATAAAGAATAACGTACAAGTAGATGGTTAGTTCTAGACGCCAATTATTTTGTAACGACTTTATACCACCGCGTTGTTCGATCAGTCTTTGGAGACCTGCGCGGTGTACGAGCCATTCAGCCTCAGTGCCCCAATACCTCTGAGAGCGTCATTAGTAAATTGAAAAGCTTCTCACGCATATTTACGTACCTCGTAAGCCAATATCCGTGATATGGCGGCTAGAACATCGTCACTGAGCGCTAATTGCTCATCTGCCATCCACTCTGACAATATCCGTATTGCTTCGGCCTTAAATGTCAAGGCTTCTGTAGAATGTGATCTGTTTTGCATTCGGGCAAGATGTGCTGCCGATTGTGCCATGACAGCATTAAACGACGCTGCATTGGAAAGATCGAGGGGGAAGAAGACATCGCGAAGAGGATTGAATCGTGATTTCGGTGCATTATCGAACGTCATGGATGCATATATCGTTAACCCTGTATTATGTATGAGTCTTAACGCAATAGATAGTTCAAGCCAAAGATGAAGCTACTTACAGTGCAAGAGTAGTTTATGATGCTGGGCGGTTAGTTTAACAGGAAACTTATCAAACGGGTCTAATCGACAGCTACCCAATGCCAAATTCATGCCGGAAAGTGCCTGTGCTGGGATACCCTCCAGATGTGCTGAATCCATCATTTTTGTCGGAGACGTTGTGTATGATGGCCTTCGACTCCCGCCTGTGCTAGACTGCGCTGGCTTCCCGGTGCGGTCTGGCAATGGGCGTAGCACAGGCGGGGATCGGCGAGACGACGATGAGGACGAGTCTGTATGGATATGGATGCTCTTTGATCGTCGCCGCTGCTTCCAATGCTCACGCATAGCATGGCTTCGAGCATCGTGGGCGGTCTGCTCATTTACAAATGCAAACTCCGCGACATCGAAAGCGTCTCCAGATTTTTTCTTCTTTGCCTGCGCTGGTGTCTTTGATAGTGGCTCGGAAGGTTTGGGTGACATTTGGGGAAAGTTTGTGGCTGAAGAAGAAAATGCAATGATAATAGGAATAGTAGTAAAAGAAAGGGGTGGTCGCGTGGTTTGGAAGGAGGAATATAGACAGTAGTTATCAATACGAAGAATAATGATTTGGGTTATCAGACGGCTTGGGAAGACCCCTCGCATTGTGATGTGGTGGTATGTAGCAGTAGGTGGGATTCTTAGACCAACCACCTGTTGCAGACCGTTGTGGACTCTACAGCAGGGATTCTAGCTAGAAGGGTCTCGCCGTTTCCAGCAGACTCCAGCCTAAACACAGGTTCAAACGCCGACTTGCGCCCCCTGTGAGTTTACGCTAAGCTTTGTGGATACAGGTCAAACACAAGCGTCTCCGCTAGAAACCCGGCCTAACCGTCACGGTCACTGGAATGCTATCATTGTTCTCTCCACCATCACCGCTAGCTAGAGCATGAGTTTGTGACTGACTGGACTCAAAAAGATGCGAACGGGTTTAGTTGCTTGAATAAGGTTTGCAACGGGAAGCTACGTCTTCAAAAGGCCCTCAGTTCCTTGATTTTGTTCCTTGAACAGCCCCTATCACAGCAGTCCGGCCTATTGTAGCCGAGCAATTGGAGCCGCGTTATAGTCTGTGCTTTTTACTTTTGCTAGTGCGCCATGCCGTTTGACCCCGCCCAGTGCTATCCGTCCAGCGGCTCCTCATGCACTAAATTTAACAGGGCGGCGGGGGAGGAGGGGAACTCGGCGCTCACGGGCGGGTGCTGAATTTCGCCCGGGAGGAAGCCAGACAAAGCATGTCGCCACGACTCCCATCACGCCTCACGTACACCCTGAAGACGGTAGCCTGGGAGGCTCTACTGTAATGAAGAATACAAGTATGAGAAAAATCAGACCAAAAATGCCAATAAATTTCTTGCTTTATTTTTTGTTTTTTTATTGCCAAAAAAAACAAACAATATTCTAGCCACAAAATAAGGTAACCCAAGATAACCACACACGGGAAAACACACCAGACAGTGTTCGCCTGAATCACCTCTAACTATCGCTGGTGTAAGCCTTGCAGAAGCAGATTTTTGATATCTTCATGCACCAGTCCAAAGTAGTCTGCATCTGTTAGTAAAGAACTTCTTCTGTTGTTGATCAACGCATACCTAAAACATCAGACTCGAGCTTTGGTTGAAGTCCGGCCAAGGTCGGCAGGATGTTGGTCAAAAACTGTTCTTTACCCTGTGGCTCATTACAAATAATTTGCCATAGCTCTTTAGCTTGCCAAAAATCACGCTCCTTATCCAACTGCGTTGCAAAAGCAGAGACATGTCCAGACCAAAGCTCGTGCACTGGCATCTGCACTCGTTTGCTGGTGGTGACAGGGCACACCTGAGACCCGACATAGTCTGGATCAGCGCCATAGTTACCGTTCATTGTGCCCGGACCGTCTCGCACATATGGAGCGTACACGCAGTTTATGGGGCGGTTGGGAGGAAGCTGAAAGTAATTCGGGCCAACGCGATATCGATGGGCGTCGGGGTACGAAAACATCCGAGCTTGTAAGACTGTAACCTTGATTAGAGAATAAAAGAAACGTCGAATTTGTATCTCGGGGGGCACATACCTGGGTCTGCAGACGGCCCAATTCCAGGTACCATGTTGGAAGGGGAAAAACATGCCTGTTCGATATCCTGGAAGTAGTTGCTCGGATTCTTTGTCAAAGTAAATCTCCCGATACGTCGCAGCGGATACTTTTCATGTGGCCAGGTAAATGTGTTGTCGAAGATGTCCATTGGTGCGTCGTTTACCTCCTCGGGTCTGATAACCTGAACATACATGGTCCAGCTCGGGTAGTTCCCTGTCTTTATCGCGTGGAACAAATCCTTGACATGATAATCTGGTTCTGCCCCAGCAAGGTAGAGGGCTGTCTTAGCATCCATGGTTTTAACACCTCCATCTGGCTTAAAGTGCCACTTCACATACACATAGCTTCCATCCTGTTGAGATTAGCTATTATTCCATACTATCGTTTCGATGACTCACAGCTTTGTTCAACGTATAGGTGTGTACACCGAAACCATTAATATGGCGAAGGGACGCTGGGATTCCACGTTGACCAAACAAATGCATCAACGCATGGATGCCCTCTGGGTTGTTGACGTGAAAATCCCAAAACATAGTGTTGTCGGGCACATTTGTCTGTGGGTGCCGTTTATGTGAACGATTCATGGAGGGAAATTTGATAGGGTCCCGAATAAAGAATACCGGAAGATCGTTGAAAACAAAGTCTTGTATACCTTCCTCGGTATAAAACTTGGTCGCCCAGCCACGGACATCACGGACTGTATCGCTCGAACCTTTCTCTCCACCGACCGTTGAGATGCGCGTCAATATGGGTGTTTTTTTACCGATTCCAGTCAAAAATTTGGCATCAGTGATGTCGGATACATCCTCAAGGACTTCAAATTCGCCAAACGCGCCGGCAGCTTTGGCATGCACGCTTCTATGGGAAGGGTTAGTCACGGAATACAAGACTTTTAATTCAACATACCGCTCAGGGATTCGCTCGCGTGCAAAATGGGCCAAGATTTCAATCGTTTGAGTGTCTGCCAGAGTAACCACACCACCATTGGTAGATCCGTATCGTAGTTGATGGACAGAGCCTGGATTGTCACTTGGCTGGCCATTGGCAAGAGTGCTTACCCTTCCAGTTTCCTCAGGAGACTTGTAATCTCTTGCTACAGCATCAAGGTAGTTGGCCATAGAGCTGGTATGGGTATTGTTGGAAGTCTATTTTTGTCAAAAAAAATTGCAACAGTTTCCAACGATGAAGGGATTAGCATACCATAGCGGGTGTCGCTGTTCACGCTGAAATTAACCATAAGTAACATACCATCCAGATTATAACCATAGTTGCAATACAAAGGACAGCGGATTACTTATAAATAGGCGATTTCATTACCTGTATTTCTATTGGCTGAAATATCGACTGCCTCGACTGCTGACGCTCAACGAAGACGCCAGCAGACACTAGTACTTCTCAATCGGGAAAGAGTAATACAACATATCGTACAAAGCATAAATAGTATTTCTGCTTACAAGACTGCATATTGAAAGAAAAAGTAATATAATAAAAATATACTAAATGATTAAAAGTATTTTATGGTTGTTTATCATAGCTTTCGGTATACTTGAACGCGTCTTAATTTCCATAGGGTAGCGTGCCTTGTTGATAGGCTCACCCGTCTCTCGCGCCGCTGAATGACGCTTCACGTGACCCAACTTCTCGGCTGGTCGAGGTGCGAGCGGAGACTATACGTGTAAGATCATCAGCTTATCGCTTCTTCACGGGCGGTTGACGACTTTGGTAATACTATGAGGCTACTGTTTTATCAATGGAAGTCACATCAATGCCCCAAATACCGACCAATATTGCCAGGCCAAAGGTAGACCTACCAAAAGCGGTTGTACCGAAGTCAAAACAACATAAGAGGGTCACTCCAAGGACAAAAACAGGCTGCTTTTCTTGCAGGTATGAGATTGTTGCTTAGGCCAGTTTATTAGGAGTAAAAATTCATAACCTATACAGAAAACGTCACATGAAATGTGATGAGCAATACCCAACATGTCGGAGGTGCGTAGTTGGCCGCTTGGAGTGCCACTATCCCCAGCCCAAGCGGACCAATATTCGCCCCGCGGCGCTTTTACAACCAGCAACATATTTGTGCCCGGATGGAATCTCTCCCGAGTGCTATGAGCTTGATATTTTTGGGACATTTCGAAGCTCCATGGTTGCCATTATTGGTGGTTCATTCAACCACTTGTTTTGGAAAATCGACGTGCCGACTGCTGCTCAAATTTATCCGTCACTTTGGCATGCTGCTATTGCATTGACTGCTATTTATAAGAGTGTGAAGGTAGACAACAAACCAATACGACCAGCAATGGGCACCATTCTTACGCCTACTCGGAATCATCTATATGTTCTAGCTCTAGAACATTTCAACAAATCAATTCAGTATCTCGCCAGGGCAGTTGCTATCCATTCTGGTGACATAGCCGGCATGAGATACAGAGACAAAGAAATGATCCTATTAACACATCTTCTATATATTGGGTTATGCGGTATGCTCTCTGATGATCGACAAATCACGTCACAATGCAAGGTCTTTAGCAATATCGTTGAAGCCATGCGCTTCGGAGATGAAGACACAGCCTCCCGGAGTGGCATCGTAGCCCATGAAGACCTGTTGTCTGTCATTCTTGTTGTTGATAATTCAGTATCAGAGGCTGTTGGATTGCCAAATCGGTGGCATCGGTCTTGGACTGTCAAGTGTCCGAGCTTTGCAAGGTTTACAACAATAACACAAGCTTATATTAGCTTACTACCCACCCAATTTCCACATCTTCTTCAACGCGAAGAAGTCTTGACCTCTGATAACATGCCAGTGAAACGGCCTATCCGACTTGAAATGCTTCGATCGTTCGCCGCCAAGTTTGCTGCGTTCCAGCAAAGCGCTAAGCTCGTTGCTGCAAACGATCGAGAGACATTGCAAACCATTGAGATTATAATGGAGGCCTCATGGGTTAGAGAGGAAGTGCTCCTCTCAAAGAGCAGACTTGAAGCAATCACGGCGAACAACAAATTCCATGGGATTTTATGTAAAATCGAGGATGCCATGACGCAAGTGACAGCGCGAGGCGAAGCATATTCAGAGGATGCTCCGCTATTCATATATGCCCCGTCTTTTGGAATGCTACTACAAATGATATTAGAGGTATCTAATAGTCCAGAAATCTATCGCACGACACTCAAGCTCTTGAAAAGATGGCCATACAATGAAACGAATAGCCGCACTCAAGAGGAAATCTGGTTTCGCGAGCGGATATTTCAACATTGCCTGGAGGGTCCTGAGAGAACAAAGCCATTTCAAAAGTCGGGCATGCCTATTTTGTCAGGATTTTCTCAAGAACCAATTGTTAGCGACGATTACGCCTGTGAATGTATACAAAATACATATATATGTCGTGAGCATCGGTTGGGGGAATACGAAAAAGTTGTAGATATGCCGCTTCTAAAGATAGGAGTTGTATGTTGGTATGAGTATCGACATAAACTTCCGTTTACATGGTATTCATATAATTCCCAATAGAGATTTTTAGCCCAATTAATCATTTGACGGAGACGCTTTGAAACTAGATCGGTGCCTCAATATCTCCGTCATGTCTCTAGTGCTCTAATACCCATAACCATGGTATCATCTATCGCTCTTGATCATATCTGCAGCCCGCTCCGCGACGGCATACACCGAAGACATAATATTACCTCGCGGGATCAAAGGGAAGATACTTGCGTCAATGACGCGCATATTGCTCGTACCGTAGACCTTTAGTCTGTCATCTACGACACCACCCTTTTCCTTGGGAAGCATCGCCGCTGTTCCGCAAGAATGATACGTCGTAGTGGCTGTGTCCAGAATATATTCTTTGGCCTTGTCCACCTCTGCAATATGGAGAGCATTAGGGTGGTTTCTCTTGCCACCCGATTTGAAGAATGGTGCAAGATGCTGGCTATGACGAAATTGCTCGAGCTGCTGCAGGTGCAGAGCCATGACCTGTAAATTGGCAGGATGGGACAAGTAGCGAGGGTCAATAGACGGCAAGGCAGTAGCATCAGCCAAGGTAATATGCGTGGCACCGCGCGAAAAGGGGTGCGACTGAGAAAAGCCCAGACTGATAAAGTTTTCGGCATGTAGCTGCGAACCTACGAAGCTGCTGGAATCTTGGTGTATATTAGCTTGTGCCAGAAACATGAACCAGTCAGCTGAGGCCTCATTGGGGTGATCACCAATGGAAGAAAGAGCATCATCATAGTCTTTCCGTCAAGTCAGTACTGACACTGGTGCGGGGGCTGGCACTGGTGCATCTCTCGATAGGTCCTTGATGTCGACATCAACGCGCATGAACGCGCTCGACTGGACGCCACCAATAGTAAATGGACCGATTTGGTGCTTGACATACATCTCCTGCGCCTGAGCCATAGCTGCAGGTTCTTGTCGCATGAGAGGATCACCTGTAATGACGCCATTGGCCGCCTCATAGCTAACACCAGTCATGAGATGGTCTTGCAGGTTCTCACCAACGCCTGGGGAGTCGACAACGACGGAAAGTGCCATTTCTTTTATACTATTCTCATAATTTCCAATATTGTCAATTACCATGTAATAGTACAATCGCGTATTACCTTTCCCAGTTTAGGTACGCGACAAGGACACTGGCCAGACGCGGATATCGATTCACTTACCTCAGAGGCCTGCCGACAAAGTGAGCTAGCAGATGGAGCTTTAGCTTGGGTTACCTAGCCCGCAAGGAGAGTATCAGATAATTCGGAAGTATCTACACCGTTTATATGAGATAGCTAGTTAACCAAAACAACAACTAAGCCCATGGATTGATGCAGCCACAAGGCGCCTATGCCACAAGGCGGATGAAATCAATGCGACCCAACATCGTCCGCATGTCGACTGTGCAGCAACGAAAGAGGGGTTGTACGACATGATCCTCATCACAAAGAGTATATATAGTTTAAAAATCCCCTCCTGAAGCCTATCCTTCTGGATAACAAGCAAGACAGAAGTCTAAAGAACAAGGCTACATCATATACTTCCTTCAAAACATATGCCATGGAGATGTTACGTCCTGCAGCCTGGATTGCCTATTTGGAAGGACTTCAGAATCTACCACTTCCAGACAACCTGCATCTTGTCACCCCATTCAGCATGGATAAGCGATTACGAGCCCTTGAACGCAGACTGAACATAACCCAACCTCCGCCGTTGACCGAGGTCACCACACACGGGCTTGTCTGGCGCATCGGGCAGGCAAATGCAGCAAGTAACCACGGCGCATGGCCGCGCTACATAACTCTTGGATATGCAGACATTATGACTCCCAGTGATGTCACATTATCCCTCGACGGTCTAGCTTGTATTGTGGATGATATTTTGAGAGATTGTGCTATTCCATGCTATGGAAAGGGGATTGACGATGTTTGCCAAAAAGACCAAGACAATGATGGCGATTGTCATGAGGATCTCCGTGCCATTGTACAAAAGCTATATTACATTACTGGCAGGAAACGGTATCTTCCACCTGATTTTGTCCCCGCTGAGCTTCTAGCGATCTATGCATTCGCTGCACAGCTAATGTTTCGGATCCGTTATGCGGAGCGCTTTGCACCGGTGATACGACAGCATCCAGTGGGTATACCTCCTGGAATTAGAATTGTTGGGGATCAGCCACGCCAAAAAGCGCGTTCCAAATCACCAAGCACGGATTCCTCCAGGAGTTTCAGGCGGTATAAGAAGCCGTCGAGGTTCGGCTGGCTATCGAAATTGCTGTTCTGGAGAACGGAGACAAAGTCAAAGCCAAAGCGAGACGACGAGAGCGACACTACCGCTGAAATTGTGGACTAAGTAGGCGCCGTCGATCGCTTTCATAGTCAATAGACCCGTCTTCTCAGCCACATAGCGTTAACTCAGACTGATTATTCAACACTGGAAAGGTTTGCGCCAAGACTAGTAATATAAGCATTAAGAAAACTCTAAATATTATCATCATGAGTTAACCTGATATAATGGTGATGATCCGTGTCGCCCGACCAAACGCTATCCTCAATCAGCTTGCACCAGCACTCCAGCAAACAATCGAGCCGCTGAGCGCAGTAGTAGTTACCACAAAAAGGTTTGAAGCCATGCTGAAAGAGATCTGCAATACTACGCTTGTGAAGAAGCTTGCTATCGCTTCTTCGTGCGTGGCCGCTGTGACGATTGTTAAGCGTGAACGGGAGCAGTAGCTGAAACCCTTCCTCGGCCGTGTCGAGGCCGTTTCTCTCCAATGCCATAGTATATAAGCTAGCCGCAACACAAGACGGCGTGTGTGTATCCGAAGAGGGTGATTAAAAGTCCGGTAGTAAAAACGGGCTCGTGCTTCTCGTCAGCTAAACAGAGCTGTTAGTGTTAGCGACAAGGAATATGTATACTGGTGGTATAGTATATTTAGAGCGATGCAGCACAGCGAATGGCTACGCTGCTACATTCAGCCGTGTCAGCCGGTGGTAGAACGAGCGAGACCTGCAGCGACGTAGACGAGCCGCGACCGTCTCGCCCGTGTCAGAAACGAACGTGCAAAGGCAGGATCCAGCGCCGCGGCGGCGACTAAGGGCTTGGGAATATCTGAGTCAAGCTTTGAGAATAACTCGTCTATGGGCTTCGAGATACGCAACTCCGTCTCCCGATCCCACGCGCCGACGCACACGGTAACCTGGGCTTCGCCGTCGGTCGCCACTCCCAACGCCCGATCTTCTCAAAGCCGTACAGCGCTGCACATAGACTGTGCCAAAAGCAGGCCAGCGAGTCATGGTATTCTAACAGTGACAGCCTGCTGAAGGCCCACGCGAGAGGCTGGGTCGATTCGTTCGCGTCGCTCTGGCTACGGCCGAAAGCGGCGAGAAGGTTTTCTTACAGGTTTTCGTATCGTGCAATTCTAGCGATTCTTTCTATTAATGTTACCGGGAGATACAATATCAGCACCGTCTCATTTCCTTCACCTCTCGACCGTAGTTTATATACGCAGACCCGACAATACATAACAGATCGCTTGATCTATCACATGAACCATTCTCCTCAGGCGTAACCTGCCCTGGTACGTTGCTGCGCTGATTTACCAACCCATTTGTCGGCTCACGAATCACCCCTTTTAACCATCAAGCAGTATATTTGAAAATTGAATACTATTACATTAAGGTTAAGCTAGACATCTAGCTCGTGAAGCTCATAGAGGATGCAATGTCTCCACGCTACAGAGGGCTACTGGCGCCATTGAAGCCGTAGTCATAAGCATAATGGTGTATGAAAACCCCGACATGGTGCAAACCTTGGTGGTAGATGACAGCGCTAGCGCTACCGTCGGCAGCTAAGGTCGTGTCGAGGGCGTACAAACGCACTAGCTTGTTATTGGTTACTTTTGTAGATCAGCTATAAACTCTCCAACGAGCATGCTAGCGCTTCTAAACCATATATACAACAAGTTATTTGGAAAAGTCCCATAATAGAAGCTAGAAACGAGCATAAATACTATAGATTATACAATCTACTTATAATTAGATACTAACAAATCTGGCAAACTCCTATTCCTTGGAGAAATCCGACGTTATTGTACTCGGAGTAGTCAGCTTTAATTTTCCAACAACCGCCTTCTTTGGCCAAATCCAGCGTGTCGATGCCTCGGATTGGAATTTTTCCACCAAATCCACCAGGAGCATTCCATCGGAAAGCTATTTTAGTACAACTATAGAACATATCTAGCGTCACGAATCCGTTTGGTGCCCCGGGGTGGGGAGGGTTCGCTGCAATGAATGCTGCTCGTCCGTTGACAACAACAGCCCCAGACATCTAGCAGGTAGACGATTCGGTTAGCATGATCCCGTAAGAATGAACGTTTATAGACATACTGGAGTAATCCCTGGAGTAGTAAACTCCTGACTGTCAGAGTATAGCTTGAAGTCCGACGTCAGTGTGTCTTTGATCCGATTCACATTGCCGTCAGTGAAGAACTGTTGAAAATTTGTCACAATCTCTCTGGCGCGCCAGTCTGGTACACAGTCGCCTTGACTATTGCTCAGAGCAGTACCAATGAACAAGAAAACTGGTGTCAACATATGCATTTTGAACTATTAGAATATATCAAATTATATAGCTGCGCCTATACAACTCTTTCCCTAGGCGGCGAAAAAGACGGATTTTATATTAAATCGAGCCAGTAGTTTCACACGGTAGGAAAATGTACACAACTACCGTTGGTGCCACAGTCAGGTCTAGATTTGTCCACTATCATAACCTTACAAGGTGGCGAGAGTGCCACGCTGAATAATATTATCCGTTTTCCTTGGTAGGAAATACATCGAACTTTTGCGCCCCTAACGCCTTAGCCAGGCCTAGACCTACAGGGCGCACAACGTGGCGGTGAGGCGCCTCCAATTGGCCGTAAAGTATACACTTAAACAAAAGTCTAACTGCTATACAATACTGAAATGGTTGAGAAATACAAACCGCGTATCGAGTTGTCTCTTGTTAGATACCTATAGCGCAGTAATCCTGTTCCGATCTCTCATATAATATAATTCGAGCGCTTCGTATTATTTGTCGCTTCCAGGTTGGTGGGTCTGTAGGGCAGCGAAAGTATCGAGGGTGGGCATCGATCGATCGCCATCGCCATTTTTCAAGTCCTGCACGCTCACTACCGGGCAATGAATACATGGACGCCGCACGCGAGCTGTAATTGTCCATTTCTCTTGCTGAGCGCCTTCCCACGTGGCTGATTTGCCCGCCAAGAGCGACAGCACAGCTCGCTACACCACAGGGGTTTTCCCCAGTGCTGCTTCATACATGTGTCGGAGTCCCTTGCTTGGCTATATTCCAGGAGAAGAAAAATATTTACAAAATTCTCTAACAACTCGGTATCCACAGAGCTGTCTAAAATAGTAACTACTAACTAAAATCCTCATGTAGAACAAGTAACTAATGGTTCTAGAACATGGCAGCAAGCATTCTACACGAGGCTGTCTCGATTGCTGCACTCCACCGTTAATAATCATTGAATTTCTCGACCTCTTTGTGATTGAAGCGGTAGAAAGAAACCACTTTGGACCGTTCGGGGCTGATTTTAGCTTGTATTAATCTTAATCTCAGCTCTTGTTTGTCTCTCTTCTCTGTACGTATAACTATTGACCAGGTGAGAAAGCGAGGCACTTGCGAAACATGTAAAGCGGTAAACTCCGCATTTTTCATCTTTGTTTTAGATTATATTTGATGTGAACGAGGTCTAGACGAGCCTCTTCCAAGTGATATTTCTTCTGGTGGCGCGACGGTTAAAATTATGGCTAAGTAGTTCCACGGTACCAGGGATTGGCTACAGTACGAGCGCCGCCGTTGCTCGTTGTGGGCTGGCTCCTTCTGGCATAAAGGTGGAGCTGGCGTCTCGAACACTTCGAATTGCGTGGGTACCGCTCAGCTTGGCTTACATGAGGTGGGAGCTTTTTTTCTCATAATTTCGCGTTACTTTTGTTTCTATTTTAGACTGATCTGGATTAAGAACAAGCGAATATATAAAACGGAAGGGAAAAGAACACAGCTAACGAGGAATTGCCACGTCGCGGTCAACACTGAGAAGCCGGCAGAAGCGACATCTACTGGCCGAGTATCTGTTTTGTAATATTGCATTTCATGAGGGCTTTACAGTGCTAGAGCTGCAAGGTGGTGCCACTCTCCATACAATAGCCATGTCATTTTTTTACCTGTTTCTATTTTTGGCGAGTTACTCGCTATCAGCTGCCCGGTTGTCACGCTTTTGTTGACGTCCTTGCCCTAGCTCTCCAGTAAATATTTATGCTCCTTTACATAGTTGGGAACGCTTACATCGTCATCATCATGCTCTGCAGTGCAGTGCATTGTATAGGTTCTAGAATTTCTCCACGACATATATAATATGGCTTATACCTCGAATACTACTGCATCCAATACGACCACAAATACATCTTTGTCTACGGTTGCAATAGCTACTATGTTGGTTCAAGGCTTAATAACACGTGTTATCGAAAAGTGAGAGGTTGTGGTAAAAGTTCGTTGTTCTCTTCTAGTTCCATGGTCGGAACTGCTCTNACGGAAGGGAAAAGAACACAGCTAACGAGGAATTGCCACGTCGCGGTCAACACTGAGAAGCCGGCAGAAGCGACATCTACTGGCCGAGTATCTGTTTTGTAATATTGCATTTCATGAGGGCTTTACAGTGCTAGAGCTGCAAGGTGGTGCCACTCTCCATACAATAGCCATGTCATTTTTTTACCTGTTTCTATTTTTGGCGAGTTACTCGCTATCAGCTGCCCGGTTGTCACGCTTTTGTTGACGTCCTTGCCCTAGCTCTCCAGTAAATATTTATGCTCCTTTACATAGTTGGGAACGCTTACATCGTCATCATCATGCTCTGCAGTGCAGTGCATTGTATAGGTTCTAGAATTTCTCCACGACATATATAATATGGCTTATACCTCGAATACTACTGCATCCAATACGACCACAAATACATCTTTGTCTACGGTTGCAATAGCTACTATGTTGGTTCAAGGCTTAATAACACGTGTTATCGAAAAGTGAGAGGTTGTGGTAAAAGTTCGTTGTTCTCTTCTAGTTCCATGGTCGGAACTGCTCTAGTTAAATACAGCGAATACATCCTGTATTCACTTCCTTTTCCTATGTTATCCACTTCCAGTGACTTAACTGTTCCTTCGCTCATCCGGTAAAGTGACATACGTCCAATGTCACAATAGTCACAACATACTAGTATTATTGTGGGATGCATCGTAGCTGCAATTATTGTGATCATAGTGATAATAAAAAGGTACTATTATTCTTACACACAGCCATCTCCTCTCACAAAGCACCTATTATAGCATAATAGGAAACTCATGGCGCTCCCTAGGGTAACCGCGTCACCAACAATGCCACCAGCACGATGTGGAGCTCTTTGATCACTCGCTGTAGTAAAGAAGCAAGTCAAGGAACAACATCGTTTATTAGTAGACTAAGAGTAGAATTACAACTTGGTTTCTAATACGTGTTACATCCTCTGCGCGGTTATTGTTATGTCACGCACCGACTACAGCACAACAAGGCTGCTTGAAAACTATCTAAAAGTTGGTTACTGACTCTCGTAACTCTATCCTCTGGCCTCTCCAGGCCAAATCCAACTTCCTTATTAGGAAAAGAATATGTCTCATTCTTAGAGAGCTACACGGTGTCAATAATTTGAGAGGAGCCACAATCGAAAAGCTGTGGAAAAACAACAACAACAATTCAACGAACTCATACAGAAGGCTTGATTTTGTTTTGTTTTTTCAGCTCGTTTGGTCTTACTGCAGTTTTGAAGAATGTTGTACACGTCAGACGGTATCCTCTTAGAGCCTTGCATCGTCCAAGTCAAGGCATGGCAAATTATGTGCCGAGTTATACTATCACTCCGAGTTGGTGGATGCATATGATTTCTATTGTCTTCTTTTAGTAAGTCACCCGGCGAGAAGATCGGCAACGCGCAGCTCCAAGTATGGATAAGCAGACAGCTTGCGACTGGTTAGCTATACGATTGACAGTGATGCCGTTCACACCCTAGTAGAATCCCTTGGGGAGTATATGGAAGCGTGATTGTAGCTAACGCTGCACAAGATTCGTGACGTAACAGTGGAAAGAGGTATGGCAAGTAGAAGTATAAAGTCCAGCTCTACAGAACGGACTCCGTGTAGCGAAACATGTATACGTCAACACCAAATCTTATATTTCCACTGTACGCTCAATAACACAGATCGAAGAGTATAGTTTCGGTAACATCTCAGCTCCTGAAATGCCTTCTACAATCTATGAACCTATCATTGACAGACGTCGTCCAAGTGGCAAGGTGCCTTCGGCCAAATTTGACCCAGAAAGACATCTAGCTTTTGAGGAGCCAGTGTCAACATTAACTTGGCAGGACCTGGGTTATCCAAAGGATCACGGCGTATCGCCTATTGCAGTGGCACAACCATTCCGACTTTTTACTGACGAAGCCATCCAGTACATGCGGAATGAGATCCTCCAAGTCGAAGTTATGGAAAAGTTTCGTGTTTCTAGTACCATCGCTGCCATGCAAGTGCGCGGTTACGTGGAGACGCACGCGCCATTCATCTATGCCGCTTGGAAGCACCCAAAAACACTGGAGATTCTGTCCCAGGTCATGGGCATTGATCTCAGTATAAAGGTCGACCATGAAATTGGCCATGTCAACTTTGCTGTAAAGTCTGAGGCGCTCGAAACAGATATCGACATACAAACGGGTGACTCGAGATACCCTGGTGCGGATGCTACCACGGGCACCAAGTACGATGCCGAGAAGGAGGTGGTGGGGTGGCACTATGACAGCTACCCCTTCTCATGCGTAACGATGTTGAGCGATTCTACCAACATGGTAGGTGGCGAGACAGCAGTTCAGCTTGGTGACAGCAAGGGCATTCTGAAGCTAGCACAGCCGAGGCTCGGATATGCAACATTACTACAGGGGCGCTATGTGCTTCACAAGGGGCTGACCGCAGGTCCTGGCCGGGAGCGGCTATCAATGGTGACGTCGTTGTGGCCACGATCCGCGTTTGTTCGCGACGAGAGTTTCCTCACCAACATTCGAACCGTGTCAAATAACAGCCAACTCTACGTTCAGTTTGCCGAGTATCGATTAGCCATGCTAGAGGAGCGTACACGAGCGCAGCTTGAAAACATCAAGCGCTGCCGCGACAAGGGCGACCAAATCGACATGACAGCGCTCAAGACGTTCATTGCTGATCAACAAGAGCACCTGCGTATTACTGATCTAGCACTACTTGAGGAGAACATGATTGAACGTGGCATTGTCAAGGAGATTGCGGTGGAGAATGAAGCCGTTGACGCCACCTAGATTACTATGAGCTAACCGACTCAGATGAATGTCATGTCGATCGGGCGGGGATAGCGGGTGTGGCTCCCGGACCCTCCCCGTGAGGCATTACAAACGACGCCTTGAGCGCGTATTATCTGACGGTAATTAGATAGAGAATAGATAGGGCACAGTATATAAAATTACCGCGTCACTCGAGGCACAATTCTTGCAGATCCATTCACCGCCGGGAGGAGAAAACGAGCAGGCAAACTTGCGAAAAGACGAGAATTGTTTGATCAAGCGTACTGTGACTAACACAGCCTGATCGGGCGGCGAATCAGCGTGACTGTTGGGTTCACGTGTAAGCCACCATGGACAAAAACCTGGTTTTATCACAGCCTGATTCCCGACGAAACTCGGCAAGAATCAATAGATTTAGGAATTGCGTGCTTTGAGGGATCGCTGTGCAGCTAACCGACCACCCAACCTGATGCAGTATGCAACTCCACTTGACGCGGCCAGCCCTCTGAGCTAGCCACTCTTAGGCGTAGTTTTGACCCGCAATCCATGCAGCTTTACCTGTGCCGTCCGTCTCATTTCCATGTCGCTCTGCTTTTTTTTTATGTTTACACCTGGGGCGGGACACGCCAAGTACCTCAATTACGAAAAGCCCAGATCTGGAAGTCAAGACGGGTCAGGTTACATAACATTGTTCCTCGCCTTCTCGTATCCCTTCGTCTAGTCAATTCTCCCTTGCCAGACTAATATACCTCTTCTCAAATAACAATGACCCTCAGCGATCACAGCGATGATCAGACTGCGGGCTTAGCAGCATCGGCTCCGAAGCCCACAGTGAAAAAAACATTCCGCTTTTATCTTGTCATCGTCACTCTCTGTTTCCTCAGTGTCCTAAGTGCACTAGAAAACACTGTGGTGTCAACATCTCTACCAAGTATTGCAAAAGACCTTGAGTTGGGCAACAGCTATGTTTGGGTTACAAATGTCTTTTTTCTTACGGCGTACGGAATTGCATTAATTCGCTCTAGTCCATGAACCTTACAACTAATTCCGTAATATAGAGCTGTCGTGCAACCGTTATTTGGCCAACTGGCTAATATCTTCGGCCGACGATCGGTAACACTGTTTGTTATCTTCCTGTTTGTTCTGGGTAGTGGGCTGTGCGGTGGCGCGACTAGCACTGCTATGCTTATTGCCGGACGAGCTATCCAAGGTATGGGTGGTGGTGGACTTAATACCCTGCCGAATATCATTGTCTCCGATCTTGTTCCTCTGCGAGAGCGGGGTAAATACGTAGCATGTTTCCTAACCACTTACTTTGTTGGTATTGCCATTGGACCCTGGGTTGGTGGTGCGATTGTTGAGGCAACAACCTGGCGATGGGTGTTTTATATCAATCTTCCAGTGAGTTTCTTTGGCCTGCGATAAATGAAGAGGGGTGCTAATGTCGATAGATTGGTGGGGTCTCTATGGTTATGGTCCTACTTTTCCTTCAAGTCGAATACGATAAAGAAATGTCCTTTGCCGACAAAGTTCGACGCATCGACTACGGTGGCAATTTCTTGCTCATCTGCTCTTCTATCTCGATCCTCTACGCTCTCACCTATGGTGGTAACTTGTATGCTTGGAATTCTACGACAATACTAGCGCCATTGATTGTTGGTTTTGCCGGTATCGGACTATTCGTTGCCTTTGAAAACACTGCCTGGGCCAAGGAGCCTGTCTGCCCGCCACATTTGTTTAGCAACCGCACATCCGCGATTGTTATGATAGTGACATTCATCAGCTCTGCTCTGCTCTATTGGGTATACTTTTTTATGCCCGTGTACTTCCAAGCCGTTCGAATGAGCTCACCAGCAACGTCAGGCCTTCAGCTACTGCCATCAGTAGTTGTTTCTGTACCAGCTTCGATTGTAGCTGTTCTTGTGCTGACACGCTTTGGGAGATACAAGCCGCTTCACATCGTTGGGTTCGCTATGTTGGCACTAGGACTGGGCTTATTCATCCGACTTGATCAGCATTCATCAACAGCCGAATGGGTCATTTATCAAATAATCAACTCATTGGGCAATGGAACGCTTATGAACTCCCTTCTACCTGCCTGTCAGGCAGCCTCACAACGTAAAGAATCCGACCAAGCTGCAACAACAGCTGTGTGGTCATCTGTCCGATCATTTGGAAGTATCTGGGGTGTTGTCGTACCCGCTGCTATCTTTAGTAACGCTTTTGGCCAACGAGCCAACGATATTACGGATACTACAACACGAGAGTTAATCCTAGAGCAATTTCACTCTGGCAATGCATACGCCGATGCGACAGCTTCATTTCTACTAGGCCTCGATGAAACAACTAGGCAGCAAGTTATTGGTGTTTATGAAGGATCACTCCAACTTATGTGGGAAATATCCCTTGGTTTGGGCGGTCTATGTCTAGTGCTAGTTTTACTAGAAAGGGAGATTATACTAAAAACCAGCTTGGAAACCAAGTATGGGCTACGAGAGAAGTAGATAAAAGCACGCATTCACAATGGATTTTCTGAAGAGACCTTCCCAGCGATATCTATAGTCGTAGTCTATCTCTCTTCTTAAAGGCCACTTTTCCTTTTTCTCCAAGTCTTTTTTGCCTATCTGCACTAATACTATCCCTACACCCAACATAATCGCTTGTAACACCACGTTATTCTTATTCTTATAATTTAGTTAAATGTTTAATAACTCTTAAAATAGACTACTTTTGGTTCCCTAATATATATCGAGCAACTTCTAATAATCGCTCATACCATTCCAAAACCTGCTTTCTACTCTCTCTTGAGAATACTAGAAAGTAAGCTAGAAATTCTACTCCGTGTACAGGTGAGACTACCGTTCCAGGATGCTTGAACATTTCAGCCCTGGATACAAATGGTGCGATATCCGGTACGCGCTTTAAGATCTCCTGACAGAAATCTTCTGGAACAATAATCTCATCTTCCCCGACAGGGATCTGACAATTGCCACACCAGTACTGGGAGTGGCATTGGAAAGGTTGGGCGATCGCTTGGTACCTTGTGAAATCTTCAACGGCGCGGAGAAGGTGAAGAGCGCAGAGATCAACTCCACATGTGTACAAGGTTGCAAACGCGCAATCCAGCCCAGGAGGGCGTACGTTTACCTCGATAAGGAAAATTGATACTGGCTGCTTAGGTATTTCCCCTGTATCTTGTAGATCCAAAACTCTACCGTGTTTGCGGTATGTTTTACTAGAGTTCTGAACACGTGCTTCAACGTGGAATACACCGGATCGGAAGCCCATACTCACAAGGCTCTCGCCAAGAGATATCTTAATAGCCTCTTGCTCCTCATATTCCAGGGCAGTCGGACAGAGCATGATTGTTTCGCGAAAGTCATCAGCTACTGTGGCCTCGGCTGCGTCGGCGTTGCAGGGAAAGTCGTCTGTCAATTCGACAAAGAGCACTTGTCCATCCAACATAACAAAGTTGGCGTCAACCTCTGGGCCGTCCACGTATGGTTCAATAAGGATACCATGCTTGGCAAGACCGGACTTCTCCATGCTCTGAAGAGCCTCCTGGAGGGAAATCTCGTCTTGGACCTTCTTTACGCCTCGAGACGCAGCGCCGCGGCAAGGCTTAACAATCAGCGGAAAGTTCAAGCAGCGGATCTTTTGCACTACAGCGCTTTCAGTACCTTCCGCAGCGTTATTTAAACGCAGTGTGGGAATACTGGCATTCTTGAGAACGTTGCGTGTCTTGTCCTTATAATGAGCCCGCAGCACGGCATCTACCGGCTCGGTGGCAAGGCCGAGCAAAGCCGCAGTTTGAGCGGTGGCTATGACATACTCGTCAGAGAATGTCACAATTGCGTCAATATCGCATTTATGGACAGCAGCTGCCAGTCTCGTAGGGAGCCCAGCATCGATTGTCATGTCGACTGCGATGAAGTCGTCTCTTAAATCTGCGTATGCTTCACCATCCATAAAGTGGCCTGCGTAATCTAGGACGATCAGCGACATGCCGAGCGCCTGAGCAGCCTCAAATGGCCCTCGGGATCCCCAGGACATGTTTTTTGTGTCAAACATTGGACGACCTCCAACAACAGCTACAGTCTTAGCTACAGGCTTCGTTGGTATGAGCCAGTTAAAAGACAGACGATCGTGCAAAATCTGATTTAATGCTCTGAAAGTGTCTTTATGCGAATCTAGCGATGGCTTGCCGACAATTGCCCCTGGTGATGCAGCCATTAGATCTGGCAGGGATGTCTCGCCTCTCGGGAGAATGGCCTTTTGAATACCGTTTGATGGAATGACAAATTCGACAACATCCTCAACATGCTCAGCGTGGACCATGCGAGAACGCAACAAGTCATTTCTGCAGAGATGTCCACTGCGGGTAGCCAGGACTACTTTAACAGGTAACTCGGTGAACTGCAAGGTTCCCTTGGTATAAAGTGTTTGTATGAGAGCGCCGATTGGTGTACGACCGACCTGCTGAATGCTTTCAACCGTGAGCAATCCGCGATCTGATGCGTTGAGCTTGATTATCAAGTCGATAGAGAGAAAGTACGGCTGTGGATCGTACGTAGAGTATTCGTTCAGGAGCCTCCAAGATACGGAGACGCTCAACGGTTCTACTCGACAATCTAGTTAGTATATTAACCGCTCGTTTGCTAAAGGTGTCGTACCGCCGACATCAGGAATGTTCACCAGGAGATTGTCACATTTGAACTCTTCCGTATCTGCGGTTGCTGGTTGGCCGTCGATGAATACCATTGTAGTTTACTTTGAATGGTTTACTAGGCTGGTAATAAAACCGCTTTGCAGAGGATATATGTGTATGAAGTATGATATGCGACTTGAAGTGCACTAAAAATGATTGAGGGTAAAACAAGGTGATTATGAATGATTCACTAGACTCCTTTCGCCATGGTTAGCCTCCAGTACGTTCCTTTGGGAAGCAACAGCATGTCGTCAGCTTCTAAGAGCAGCCTCAGGCTAGCTGCATGGTGACCATGAAGCATGAAGGTAGTAACTTGAGTGGCGTATTTTACAAACCAGGTAAATAACGCAATAAAAGCGGAGATAGAAACTATCCTTGGTACTATTAGTTTCAGGCTAGTAGAAATTCGGCTAGATCCTTTTGTATTAGACCTAGAAGGTTTTGTGTTGGACTACCAATCGGCGACATGTACGAAGAGAGAAAGACGTGCTGGGCTGGTGCCGCGTTGCACCACAATATATGCAAGGGACTTTTTTCTAGCCCTCCTGAGATAGCATCCCGTTAAAGCGGCGAGAACTTCGTGTCGCGTTGCCTCCTTCTGCATGAGGCTCTTTGCAGGTCATCGTTTGTTCTTGGGCAATGTTAATAAAAGTACCCAAACCTCGCCCATGCACAGCGTCATGCACAGTGTCATGCAGTGCGTCATTCACTGCGGTGCCGTGGAGTTCATTGTCATTGAGTAAATTTGTCCTTTTCGGAATTTGCTGTTATTTTTCCGACATACAGGCGGCACAGCCTGATTTCGCTCTATAAAGCAAGTTGCTAAACAATATTGTGTCGTGTGGGATCTCCAACTGAAGCTTGACTGAGACGCCAGATAAGCCACCTGACGCCCCCGCCGCAACACGCATGAGTTTGCAAGGAATGAGAGTGCTTGCTTTCCTTTGTTAATGTATTCAGTCTTACTAGTGCTTAAGACGTGGGCTTTAGTGTATGGCAAAGATACTCGCTGGTGAATTTCCCTAGGCTAGTAGATATCTAAACAAGTAAAATGTGGCAATGCTTTCTTGCAATATATTAATTCGTAGAGTAAACCAGTTATATTATATTAACCCTAGATGAACGGCTAGGCTAGATTTTCATCGTTGAGTGCATAGCCTCGTGACAGCTAGGTGCTGCTGATGTCTTCTACTCCGGATTTCACTCCTAATCCGCCGTGGCTTGTAGCGCCTGAGCCATGTCGGCGACTACTACGGGAAAAGTCAGTTGATTGGTTGCCTTCGCCTCTTGGCGATTTACGCCTTCGATACCCGTATCGTCTTCCACCAAGCCGTCAAGGTACGAGGTAGCGAAGATTCGACCGGCCTTGGCCTTCTCCAAATCTGAGAGGACCATCTCTTCCACCAATGTCTGGAAGTTGTACTGGGGCTCCCAGCCAAGGACGCGCCTAGCTTTGGCGGCGGAACCAGACAGATTCTCCACGTCGAGCTGACGATAGAAGGCCGGGTTCACTCTGACTCGTACCTTGCCAGTTGCGACCTCCTTGGCCACCTCGTCAAGGCCCTTGCCAGACCATCTATGATTCGTTAGTAATTGTAACACATTTATATGTGTGGCAAGGCGGGCCGGCGGCTAAATCTTACTCAATCTTCATGCCGACAACGTCAAAAGCAGCATTAACAAAGTCCCTAACACTGTATGAGCTCCCGGTGGCCAGAACGTAATCTCCCCCCTCTGGCTGTTGTAGGATGAGGTACGCTCCACGCATGTAATCCTTGGAGTGTCCCCAGTCGCGTGTGGAGTTTACATTTCCAAGCTCAAAAAGCTCAGATTGACCAGTAGCAATCAGGGCGACTTGTGTAGTAATCTTTCGCGTCACAAAGGTGGTTCCTGCAGATAGGTGTCAGCATTTAGCCAAACGTCGGGCTTTGTACCCAGGGAAGGCTACTTACCCCGTCGAGGTGATTCGTGGTTGAACAGAATGCCGTTAGATGCATGGAATCCGTAAGCCTCGCGGAAGTTTACAGTAGTCCAAAACTGGAAGGCCTTGGATACAGCATACGGTGAGTACGGGTGGAACGGTGTCTCTTCGGTTTGTGGTGGGGGAGTATCCGGACCGAACAGTTCAGACGAACAGGCCTGGTTTGGCGAGTTAGCGGTTTGCTTTCGCATGAGTAGATCTTGCACAAACTTGCATTGTAAATTCTGATCGTCTTTCCTAGCCCAAGAAACCTGACGGCTTCGAGAAGCTTGAGAGTGCCCACGGCATTGGTGTCGCAGGTGGCCAACGGGTTCTCGAAAGAGATTCCAACGTGTGACTGCGCGGCAAGATGGTAGATCTCGTCAACCTTGATAGAACCTAGGATTTGAATTAGACGGGCACTATCGCACACATCGCCAAGGTGTAGCGTGACGCCGTGTCTCATTGGGCGTTCCAAGGCCTGACGTCTTTGCGAAGATGGCCTCACAAGGCCATGGACGATGTACCCTTCAGACAAGAGAATCTCGGTCAAATAAGATCCGTCCTGTCCAGTAATACCTATTGAACGTTGATATTAGAATGGTGCTCATTGTAGCATGCAAAGCCACCAACCAGTGATGAAAGCAGCCTTTTGCTCCTTTGAGCTGCCATTGGTACCATTAGTACCATAACCATTGGTGCTATGACCGTTGGTGCTATAACCGCTGTTGCCATGACCATTGTTATTATGACCGTTGGTGCCATTTGGAGTGTTAGACACGACAGCCATTATGCTATGTCTTGCAGTAATCAGGTCGAACGGGTTATGTTTGCGAGGATCTTGGGATAAAATGTGAGCTCATCATACGTCAAGGTGTACAAAGAGCGCACTATATAATACACGTTTATAATTGTTGGAAATATCTCTATACTGTGAGTTGACTTCAGAGCCTGGTTTTTTAGTCGGGGTCTGCACTCGCCCCCCGGGGTGAGGGGAGTGATAGTATTGCTAGCCGCAAGCGATAGCCTCGAGCGGCGGACGATTTGAGACATTATAGAGTGTTTACTGGCTTCTATTATGCCATGGTCTAGAGCTGAGATATACTAAAAAAACGGCATAATGAGCTTCATCAGGTCCTCCGTGCTCATTGTATTCAACCTCTGCTCAGTGAGCCCAGAAGTCCTTAGCAAGTCTCCTCTTAGCGCTGTCGAGTTTATGTCAGTGGCGTACGAAGTCTCAAACTCCAGATAGTATCCCATCTTTTCAGTTCCATCAGAGTCTCCTTTACTGTCGCTTAACCCGTAGCAGCTCCACAAGACCGCCGGGTCTTGTTCGTTGGCCTCCGTCACACCACCTGCATGAATGAGAATTGCTCAGCCCCGTATGCACATGTTGCTGTATGAAAACCCGTTTTGGAAACTTACATGTGCGATCAGCACGCGACCAGCTGCCGAAATTGGTCCACCGTTTTGGGCAACCTCCGACTGTGAAGTGTTCTGGAACATGACGGGCTCTGCTCGACACGAGGATCCTGGGTAGCCTGTATGGCAAGTTCATGAGCGGATCCAAGCGGTTCAAGTTGTCTGGCCCGATCAAGTGGCAAAATACAACTTTGAAGCCGTCACTTTTCGCCAGCCTGACGACGGCTTCTGTGAACGGCAGAAAGGGATACCATGTACTTGGCCACACCCATACCTTGTCCTTGGGAATCATCGGCATAGCATTCCACAAGTTAGCACGTCTCTCTCGGCTGAGGAAGAATTCGGGATGGCTATCGATGAGCTTATTTCTTAGATGGAAGTTTTCGCTCGGAAGGACGACAATGGCTATTGGTGAAACTTCAGGCCTAAGCACGGATAGTAGCACGTCAAGGTGGCCGCGATGTGGTGGGTTGAAAGACCCTCCATATACCAGTATGAGGTTCTCGCGCTCTCGTTGAAGGATGCCGTCAATTCCATCTACCGAACTAATGAAGGATTCTGATGCAAGGCGCACTTCCTTGTAGGCGTGCTTTAGGTAGACTTGGAGTGACATTGTGGCTTTGAAGGTTAACAGCTGAACGGGAGGACTCAAAGCAAGTTTGGTGATAACAGAACATCCACCGTAGCAGCTACCTCCTGCGGCAGTTAATCTCTTAAATAAGAAAAAGAGACCGAGCCAGCTGACTCACGCTATTGTGTAATGTAATTGCTATTGTCAAGCAACCGTAGTTTGTGGACCTCGACAAAAGCATACACGGCGGGCCCGCCTCCTTGTAGCAACAACACAGCGCATATGGTCTCAACTTAAATTTAAAGATTGCTACAGGAGCTATTATGGCTATGTAATTTAGAAATTATTACTTTAGGGCTGTATGATTATAACTTAGTGGCTATGACCACGCTGTAGTTTACAACCTTGGAGCAAACCAACAGCCCGCCAGCACTAGCGCAGTCGCAGCTGGAATACTGTACCCACCATCGAAATAGATATGAAGCCTCTTGCTAGCCATCATGATGCTCATGGTGACCACAATTGCGAGTATACCATGGAATTCATACCACTCGCCAGCAAAGACAAGCGTTCCGCTGAGGATATCTTCGGCGCGCTCTGACCAGCAAGCTACTGCGCTAGCCGTCATCAGAAGCAAGCCTGCGTATGGCGTAGCGAGACCTTCATGATACAGAGGCTTTCCATGTTCGTCCCGCGGAACCGACTGTGCAGCGACGTTGAATCGCGCAAGCCGAGCCAGGCCGCAAAGCACATAGAGAGCGAGCACGGCTTGGTCAAGGAGGCTGTCGAATCCCATACAGTAGAGCGTCACAGCTGGTGCAACGCAAAAAGACACCTATGCTTCCTGTAAGCGTGGACTATACGTTGCGGTTTCGTTTTGGAGAAAGAATATCACATACCAGATCCGAGAAGCTGTCTAGCTCCTTGCCAAGCTCGGAGCACTCATTCCGCATTCTAGCAACCATGCCATCAAATCGATCAAATTCATATCCAAGGAAAACGAGGAGGTAGGCAAGGACAACACGCTGTTGCATAGAAGCGAAGATTGCCATAACTTGAGATATTGATGTCAATATCACCCTGCACAAAAAGCTGGTTTCTAACTAACCTCCGCAGAGAGCTGTAAATCTACCATTAGTAATCAAATATTTAATATCACCTGGGAGCATTCAGACTCACCGTTTGATAAAGTCAAATAATCAGCGACCTTGAGTCGCCTACTCTATACTTCAGCAAGAATAAATGACACGGCTTCTATCGTAGATTCATACCTGACCATGTCAAACGTTTGCGCTTGCTGTTTCGTGGCAGACATAGTTTCCCATCGGGATTGATAACAATGGTATGATGAATAATGAATAGTTCGACCGTAGAAGGTGATAAAGATGTTGATGCGCAAGCGAAGAGAAACAAAGACTATGGTGGCTATTTCCGAGTTCTCGTAACCGGGCAACTCTCACACGAGTAGCGCCTCATATACAGGCAAGGCTAGAACTCCTATATTCTAGACCACCAGCGGAATCTTGTGCTCCAGCTGTCCACTCTGTTCAATATCCGCACTTTTGCATTTGTGACACAACCGCGGTCCGCGGGCAAGCGACCTTCTAAGCTACCGGCGAGCCAATCTTCGGAGCCTTATTTACAACGGGTCACGGCTAAGTGTAGGCGGGTTTAGCACCGAGAAAACATGGAGTAGTTTCATAAACACCCACCAGGGAGTATTCGTAGCATTTCATATACTCCTATGACGAAGTAATAAAATATCGGCTCTTGCCTAAAGTAGTTTAACTGCAGCGGCTTCTTGTTTACAGGGTATGAAAGCCCACTGTCATTGAGGTGACTGTCTATTCTCCGCTCGCCGCTTTTACATGCTTTAGGTGGAGTAGCAGAGCTCATCGCTTCGGCTGGATCAGAGGCAATCAGGCTGCGAGGGTTAGAGCCGACAATTACATTGTGCCCAAGGCTCTGCCGGTGGATACTATAATGAGGGAATATCTGCCAGCCTCTCTGCAACCCTTGCCTTTATGCGTCGGAGCCTAATGTGCAAGTCTCTCGTTACGTGGCGTGTTTGCGTAACGAGTCGCGTGCTCAACTTCCCCTTTCAACCAAGCTTACACATCCCTGGGCCTACTTCCACTGTCATGGACGATCAGGAGCAGACGTTTCGCTCTGTTGCACGTAATTGGCAAGATGGGTAACAAACCGGCCAGGGAAGAGCGGCGTGATGCTTCGGACGAGGAGATCAAGTCCCTTCCTCATGTAGCGGACTCTATTCCATTCAATGTTTGGGTGGCATTGTTGGCCAGCGGCGCTGAAAGATTCTCATTTTACGCTGTATCTACTCCTTGGCGTAAGAATATCGTGTTTGGAGTGTGAAGTGGTGGTGGCTAACACTAGATATAGAGAATTACATCCAGAATGACCGCGGGAGCATTGCGGTCCCTGGTGCGCTCGGGTTGGGACAATCGACTGCAACCAACATCACAAGCGCATTTTATTTTGTGACTTTTCTTTCACCAACACCGTGGGCCATCCTATCTGATACGTGGTTGGGTCGCTACAAGACACTGTGTCTCGCTTTCTTGTAAGTCGCATCTGTATCCCTTCACGAGAGTATCAATTAACTTGGGGCAAGCCTTAACTTCTGCGGATGCCTGGTTATGTTTGTGACTTCGCTCGATGTTTTTGGCGCGCAATCTATACATGTGATTGGGCTAGCGTTTGCTATGATTCTTCTTGGTTTAGGAACTGGAGGTGTCAAGGCCACTGTCTCTCCCTTCATCGGTACGTGATTTATAGCCTGGAAGCCCGCTACTGCTGCTAACCGCTGGCGGTTATAGGTGATCAGTACACGATAGTACACCCTCAACTTGTAGTGAGGAGAAACGGACAGAAGGTTATCGTCCATCGATCATTGACGCTTCAATACGTGTATAACATAGCTTACTGGTAATTGGACATGAAGCCAAGTTGATCTTCAACACTGACATGAACCAGGTTTACAAACATTGCTAGTCTATCGCTCATAGCTTCAACGTATTTAGAGAAGGACGTTGGTTTCTGGGCTGCGTACCTTTTGCCTCTCTGTTCCGTATGGATGCTGGTACCAATGCTGCTTTTCTTCAACAGATATTGGGGTAGGTTGTTTAAGTTTTTGTTTTTTTTTTCATGAATCGATTCAGGCTAATGTTACCGCAGTCAAGCTTCCACCACAAGCGAATGTCCTTTCGCAGGCTGCCAGGGTTGTTAAGTCTACTACGCGGGATCGTCTCCGCCTAGATTCGGCGATGCCAGCGTACCAGCAAGAGAAATACGGCAAGTGCGTCGACTGGGATGACGCATTTGTTTTGGAGATCAAGAGAGGACTTAGGGCCTGCCGAGTTATGTAAGTTATTTCTACATACTTGCCAATTGTAGACGTGTACTAAGACTGGTCACATAGGGCATGCTTTGTTCCGTTTCATTTGTGCATGAACCAGATTGTCAACAACTTGGTGTCTCAGGCAGGTCAAATGCGCCTTGAGGGAGTACCCAACGATACCATTCAAGCCTTGAATTCCATTGCTTGCGTGCTTCTGGGACCCGTTTTGCAAAAGGGCTTGTATCCAATAGTGCGCAAGCTGGGACTGAACTTCGGCCCAATTGCCCGCATAACGTGTGCCTTTATCATAATGAGCACCTCTATGGCTGTTGCAGCTGGACTACAGAAAATAATTTATGAAAAGGGCCCATGCTATGAAAGCCCGCTCAACTGTCCTGCCTCGCAGAATGGTAGTGTTTCTAATGACATATCGGTGTGGGCGCAAACACCGGTGTATCTGCTCCTCTCTGTGGCTGAGATCTTAGGGTTTACAACTTTATCAGAATACAGCTACTCAGAAGCACCTGAGAGTATGCGCAGCTTGGTGCAGGCTCTAGGACAGCTGAGCTCTGGTATAGGTTCGGCGCTGGGCATCGCCTTTTCTCCGCTGTCCAAAGACCCTCAAATTTTGTACCTGTACGCTGGGCTCGCGGTAACGATGATCACGGCCGCTCCGGCTTTTTGGTTTGCCTTTAGGAAGCACGACATTGCTTTGTCCTCGGCCCCCAGTGCTACTGAACCAACTATCCAGAACCGTTGATGGCTTCTATCAGAGACATAACCGAGTATTGAGTGCCAGATTGCCTAGTCAACTTGTGGCGGACATAGACTCAATAATAATTTATATAATAAAATTATTTATATCTTGATAGAATTAAGTTTAATATTTCTTTGTATACTGCGAGAAGTATTTATCCAACATCGGTCCGACATGGAGTTATAGGTTTAAAATGACCTTCTAAAAGTAGTCTCTGTAAAGGTAACCGAGGCTTTGATATTATTATTCTGGTCTACAAACGTGAACAACTTCTCACGTGATAGGGCCAAAAAAAGCTATAAAGTCCTCATGTTACCCATTCACCATACCATCTCCTTCATCAGCCTGCCTAGCAAAGTTCCACCAGACGGACATTTCTCACTCGTTAGTACGCGACTAACAAATAGAAACAATGGAAAATTCCGTGATCCTCGGGGCATTTGATAAGCTTGTTCAAGATAGTATCGTGTTCTATGATGAAGACCAGAAAATCGTTCAACACAACGAAGGCAAGCTTACGGTGAGTGACCTGATACGTCCACGATCAACAACAACCTCTCTAACAATCGCCTAGTTTTCCTTCGTATTGACCAGGGCGCTTCTGAAGAAGCCTACTTTTGAAAACAAGACGGAGCAGAGCGACCAGTCAAAAAATGAAATGCAGTTACGACCTGGCAGCGACATAAACACCAATGGCTTTGAGATTGGCAATGTTGGCGAGAGTCACGTCATAGTTGTCAACAAGTTCGCCTTTGCGCGACCTCATCTCATGCTGGTTTCGTCAGATGGATATCGCCGGCAGTTTGAGCCTCTCGATTTGATCGATCTTGAAGCAGTTTGGAGCAGTGTCATGTCCATGAGCAACGACTACATTGCCTTCTATAACTGCGGTCGAGATAGCGGTTGCAGCCGCTTGCATAAGCACATACAACTTATGCCTATGCCGACCATGAGCTTTGCTTCGTTCCTCGATATCGAAGGCGGCAAAGAAACGGAAGTGCCATATATATGGGCCTATAAACGTTTTGCGTCCGGAGCAATCACAGCTACCAACTTGGTTGAAATCTACAACCTCTTATTAAAGGAAGCAACACATGTCTATACTAAAGCCACAGGAAAAGAAAGCAGTATCCAAGCTGGTGTAGCAATTCCCCACAACATGATTCTCTCCAAGCGGTGGATGGTGGTGCTGCCGCGAAGACAGGCTGCTATCAACAAAGAAGCCGGCGCGAACGCGTTGGGGATGCTGGGTGTGATTGCTGTTGCGACGCAGAACGAAATAGACAACTGGGTACAATCTGGACTTATTGAATCTCTAAAGGCGCTAGGCGTTCCTCGCTTTTGAGGTATGCAATACTACATTTGTTCCCTGCAGTTCGCTTGACAGGCAAAATATTGCGACTAGATGGAGTTCTCTAGTTTTTTCTTGTTAATTAGATTGTATGTTGTAGAGTAAATGTCATGTTATTCCGACCTGTATAGGATCTAGGTGATAAAAAACATATAAGGTAGTATATTACAGCTACAGTAGTCACAATCCATCTACGGAGCCATCCTTCGCAGGCACCACTTCGCACTAAGTTGGTACATCTCGTACCTTGACTTGCTAAGCTACTCGCTGTTAAAGCGCTGTCTTTTGACCCTTAAACCCTGTATTCAGAAATTCAGTGCTATTGGTTGACTTCGGACTAGAAATCTAGTTCGACAACATCGTACAGGCAGCAATTTTTCCGTGCCACAGGGGACCGTTGACGCCACTGGGTGCCAAAGTCCCAGCCAAGGCACTCGTCCAATTCACCGCCTCGATCCATGGTCCACTGATATTGTTGAAGCGGTCGCTCCGTGTCCCGCTTGCGTGTGTTGCTAGCCTCCAAATCTGCATATACTTTTATGTACGTCAGGATTATATCCACCACTTCAACATGTAATCTTGTCTCCAAGCCAGCGCGACGTTTATCCAATCACGTGCAATGTGAAACGAGTCTAGCTCCACAAATTGGATAATTAAAAAGCCAAAGCGTTATTCATTTCCATTTCGTGTTGCCCTAACCTTCTCAATCAATTAACCTTCCCATTTTCTTCCATGGATACAGTGATCGTCAAGCTAGGTGGTGCAGCTATCACCAACAAAGCCTCCACTAATACCATATCTCCTAGCCTTGACGATCTTGTGGGGAAGGTCGCTCATGCCTACCATAGCTCTCTCCAACCTAGCGGTAAAAGGCTCATTCTTATACATGGGGCAGGTAGCTTTGGCCATCCCCCCGCGAAAAAATACAACGTCAAAGGTGGATGGCAGGCAACGACGGCCCACGATGACGAGCTGGCTAAACAGCACAGCGACGTGACAAAATTCGGAATGGCATTTACAAGGCAGCGGGTTCTAGAGCTACACCATCGCATCCTGGAAAGACTGCAGAGTCACGGAAATTTACCTGTTCTTTCTATATCGGCGTACGATACTGTTGAAACCGATGGAGGATTACTGACTGAAGCATCAGGCTATCGCCTGATATTGAGAGTGCGGCATCTACTCCAGCAAGGTTTTATTCCCTTGTTGTTCGGTGACGCTGTACTTGACCAAAGATGGGGCTGTACAATTCTTTCCGGTGATGCTCTAGTGCACCAATTGGCAATTAATATGCCATCTGCACGACGCTGTATCTTCATTACAGATGTTGCTGGTATTTATACCAAAGACCCTAAGGAACATGCAGACGCAATCCTGATTCGACAGTTACATTATAATGATAGCCTAGATACCGCTCAAGACAATAGTAGTGGGACACTGGACGGTGTGGATGATGTTACAGGCAGCATGCGTAGTAAATGGGAGTGGGCGAGACAAATCATGACTGAGGCCCCAGCTATATCTTATGTTCTGATTTGTGAAACAGCAAACTCCGACCGAGCGCTAGCAACGATCGCATCAAACAGCAATGACGCGTATCGTACATCTAGCACTTGGACTACTATTACTCGATAAATCATTACTACAAATGGGTTGATAGTATTACGTGAGATATAATATTTACAGTTTGATAGTATACGTAGTTTACATGCGAGCGCCTTACCTCTCTCGACTCTATAGTATAAAAATATACACAACATAACCAAATAATGCTAAACCCATATATTTTATTCTGAGTGATCTGAAGAAATGGTTTCCACTTCATTTTCACAAGTTTGCGCATTATGGCCAATTTCGCCGCATTTTCCACAGCGCCGACGGCGCGTGTCCACCAGACTTGCATATATCGATATCCGCCAAAATTTCGAGCCTTATATCGATATCCACATAAGCCCAACATCTTATTTGGATATCGATATATCCAGTTTGATATCCATATAGCCACATAGCCACTTTAGCAAGGTTGATATCCATTTAAGCCACATCTATTTATAGATTCAATGTCAATGTGGCGGTGATCTAGTCTAGCAAGACTTCAACCTCCGTATCCATGCCGAATTCTACAGCTACGCTCGAAATTACACCCCTACCGCCGCGCGACTTGGGAACAATGATACCTTCCCGTATCCAGTTACCCACACACTCCACCTTCGCCAGATTCTCGCACGTCATGCGCTCTCTATCCCAAGATAGCGTGCGGCGCGTGGATGAGAAATGAGACTCTGCGTCAGATGACTCAGGAGGAATGGAGAGGATATCTATTGCTATACGAGAAAGCCGCGGGTACGCTTTCCTTTGGTCTGAATGTAGCCACCACTCGAGCGCAGTTCCGGTAATCCGGATGGGAGGAGCACAAATAAATATTTCGAAGTCATCGGCATCGCCTACTATCGGGCCAGTCACCGCTATATCACTTAAGAGCTCATCCAGCTTGTTACACTGTCTGCTAGTAGAAGAAGGCGTATCTGTAGGAATCTGCAAATCAGGGCTCGCCGCAGACTTGTATTTTTCTAACCAAATTTCGTGAGTGGCATTAACGGCAGGAGCTTGCCAGGACTCTTTCTAATTCCGTTCAATGTATTTTCGTCGCTTCGAAGGATCAAGCAGGAGCGCCGCTGCATACACTGGCGTCTGGTCTGACAAAGCGTAGTATTTATTAAGCACAAACCAGCCCATATCGATACAGTGGCCCATGTGACGATCCAGCGTTTCCTGTGAACTATAAAGTTCAACCATATTTAACCATGTGCCTAAGTATGAATTGTAGACATGATAACTCACTAACGACTGCTTAACCAACCCTCTGTCACTTCTGCTTACGGACTTCGTCTACTTGCACAGCAACTGTTCTACTACCTAGCACAGCCTTCTACATAGTGCGAGCCACATCATTACAGACAGCGCATCAATATATCGACGACTACATCAGGAGACTTACACCTATGTCAAGTTCAACGCCCCCTTCTTGTTCGCTGCCATCCGCAACATACACGTTCCAGTTTCTCCCTCCTCCGTCCGGATCTCTTCTTTTACCACAAAGCCAAACCTTTGGTAAAAACCACTCACACCTGGTGCAGCTGTCACCCAGCAAGGAAGTCCATTGTCGTCTGCAAACTTCTCCAACCAACGCATGAGCATACTTCCGGCACCTCGACCTTGCGCAACCGGATGTGTGCCTATTAATTTCAGAGCTATAGAATATTAGCACAACTCATTTTGGGGGAGTTATTACGTCAGGGTCGAGACCTACTTATCGCAGGGTGGTTGCCCAATTCGCGCTCCCGCGCCGCTTTCGCCATCATCGCATATTCTGACTCGCCAGATGCTTGAGAAGCACGATGGTCTGCCACAGATGCAGCTTGCGCTATTCCAGGTCCAATACACATGTCGGCCGGGAGGTCTAAATACCTTAGTTATTCCACGTACAGCGTAACATACCCGTTGTCGTAGGTTGCAGGCGTACCATTGGGATAGAATAGTTTCGGATCCAGGTTCGTATTATCCAAACTAACCTTGATCCAGCTCACCAGCATTCCGGTTTCTGAGTCAACGATTTTCTTATAAATATTGAATGGTTCGCTATAATTCCGTGGCCAACGACTAATCACTCCGGTGATCTTCTCATCCACTGGTCTTGCCGCATGAAGCCTTTCAAATGAGAGGATGTACGCCGTGGCAAAAGCGGTAGCATCCCCGTATGTCATATCTTGAAACTGAAGAGGCATGTTTATACTAGCAGTCTGCTCTGTGCTAGTGATTGATATTTTGCCTATTCAAGATCGGGGATTATTTGTGACATTGAGAGAATAGCATTCTATTCTCCGCATTTACACGCGCTACTTTTTGCGGGACTACAATAAGATTTTTGCGCACTACGCTACTCTACTATTGCTGACTGTAACGCTCCTCCCCGTTCCCGCTTTTAAGCCAATCACACGTCTAGATCTCTACCCCCCATTTCCCATTGGTAAAACGGGGCGCGTTTCGATCTTTGACCTAGGAACTGGCGTGCGTTCCCAGTCGCTGCTCGTCAAAATGTGCCACCTCGCGAACTAGACGCGCCTAGTGTGATTGGGAACGCGCCCCGTTTCCTATAGCTTACCCGGAACATCTTCAGACGCAGCAAGCGCATCTCACTACTATCTACAATAGAAATATCGACTTTTTATAGTATTCAGTTTACTGTCAGTAATAATATTAAGAGAGAGCGGTCGAAATATCAAATATTAACGTTGTAATTGCGGAAATATGCTGAGTGTACCGCAGCGCAAGAAGCTGGACGCGCTTGGCTTGCACCTTGATGAACAACATCGAGTAATATTGTGCAAGATATGCAAATTCGCAATCAAGCCAGCTGGCGATCGAGTGTCACGACATCTTGGAGAAAAGCATGGCATCTCTCGCAAAGCATGAGCTGGACTATGCAAGCTAATCACAATACTAGAGCTGCCCGATCCTGCTGCACTGACACCAAGACCCGACAGTGTACAGCCGCATCCTTACCTTGAAATACGCACCTGCTTCTCCTGCAAGTTGTGCCAGTTTAAAACGTCTAGTTTCGATCTCATTAGTCGCTATATCCCGAAGCAGCATGTCGAAATACGCCGCCCGGGTTCTAAGGGAGTTTGGATCTGCGACTATATCGACAACACGAGCAGTTTTCAGAGCTGGCAAGCGAATAACATTACCAATACATAGCGCGTCAATATCGCTAGTAATCCAGGCAGCGAGCTTTCTGGTATTAGGAGGCTTGCCGCGAATGGTACGGATGCACAGAGTAACACTGTCGACCCACGTCAATCACTTGTGCAGCGACTGAGAGATGAGGAAATGCAATCTTCTGTTCCTAGGGTTACTAATAGTAGTGTTAAGGATGCCGCATTGTCGCAGCCAGCGCTCATGACGAATTGGATGCGCCGAACAAGATGGCACCAGACGTTCTTGGAGGCAGATCGTCCTGCACTCGTTGCCCTCTCGATGCTCCCAAGCCTATACCAACAACAACAACGCCCGCTACGTGTACAGTTGAGCAATGGCGCAATACTCGAGAGCCCAGCGCGAGATGAGCAGAGGCTGCGTACTATGATGTGTGCAGTGGATCGACTGATAGATCGAGCTGGCGAGACTATACGCAATACAGATGTTGCGGTGCGTCGTTGGCTTCGTGGCCGTTTTCCAGACCGACCATACAAAGCACCATTTAAGCTAGTTACCAGTACACATGCGGAAACACAGTATCGTCGGCTATTGAAACGCTGCATCTGTGTTTGGGTTCGTCTGTGGCACATGCCTCCGGCGGTAGCGCGTCTGGTGGCCGGTCGCCCTGTGATAATGGAGCAGCGCTATGTACTACAAGCCTTATGGTGCGATGTAGACTGGGATGCTTCTGTTCTGGATGAAGATAGGATGGCTCTAGATGACGATGACAGCGATGCAGCGAGTGATAGAGAGAGCGATACTGAATTTGAAAGCGGCGATGAGAATGATAGTATATGCAGCAGTGACAGCTTAAGTGAGAGCTCTACATTCTCTACAAGCAGTACACTCCCAACAAACAGTCAAAACAGTGGTTATCCCGACCATATCAACAAAACGACAACGCTACCAGAGGATCCAGATAATCAACTGGATGCGCTGCTTAGCTTCTGCCTCTACATGGTGAAGGAGGAAGTCCACGATGGGCAGGCAAACTCAACGATGATTGGATTTTTCAGTGCTATATGTGGTCTCTCGCTGCCTGATGGCAAGGAATATCTACGTCCAGCACAGTTTACAACACATCTAGCAGGGCTTATATACTGTATTCGCTTGGTCGTTATTGAGGCAACCTTGCCACTGAGAGAGCATAAATCGATCCATCTTGCAGCGCGACCCTCGTTTGGTCAGCTCCAGCTACTACAGACCATAAGACAGCCGTACCTTTGCGACGGGACTATGTCGTCTATGGGAGAGCTACTGAGCCTTCTTGCGTTCGGTTATGCTCATCGGAGCGCAGAAGGCCCAAGCTTTATATTTGAATGGAGCGATGATAATGAGACCATCTCATGGGATGGTATTGGTGCTGGCAATGAAGGCATTCCGTGGTTTCGTGCATGATCTCTTGGGCCAGGCGGAAGTGCTGTCAGAAAAGCTTCTATATGGATGGCAGATGCCGTCGATAGATCTCTCTGCTATTCACGATCGACTCTCCAACAAAGCTAGTGGATATTCATTTCTAAACAAACCTGCCAAAAAACTTGAACATGCATATCTTGAGGTGTTCCAAGCTGCAAGTCTATCACCACTAGATGCGCTACTTCGGCCTGATCAGAACGCGACAAGCAGTGGAGAGTGGGACACCAGAGCTGCCGCACAATACGTTGAACAGCATGACCACCATTTGAAGCAGCTGATGTTGCTGATCAACTTGTGTGGAGGACAATGGTGCCGCATTTCAGAGCTACTAACTATTGAACGAGTCAACACGGCAAGCCGTATACGCGGTATTGGCTTCTATAAAGGCGAGCTTGCTACTATTATACGACATAGTAAAACACGAACAACAACGAACAAAGAGTTTGAAGTCGCCCGCTTTCTACCAAAGCCACTGACATTACTAGTATTTAAATACCTAGTCTATATACATCGAGTTGCGGTTATGATCCAGAGGCGATGCTTCCATGCGCCGGAGAGTAACAGTAGCTTATTATTTCAGCCACTATCAGCGAAGCGCTTGTGGTCAGTGGCAACATTCTCCCAGGAACTCAAGTACTACACAGCAAAGTACAAAGATATTGGATTTTCAATTGGCGCTCAAATTGCTCGGCAGCTATCTATTGCGATTACGGATCAGCACATACCCGACGCCAGCTACACATAGTTAGGGCGTATCAACTGTGGTGGTATTGGGTTCGGGGTAGGCGGTAGTGGGTATCTGGGTAGCATTCGAGTCCATTTTGGGAAGCGAGTGGGCTACTGCTTGAATCTACCCAGGCTACCCTACAGAGATCGTGGTTGGGTTACGGATTGGATGTGCATGCTGTTTGACGTAATCAAGCAGTTATTATATAAACAACGTCTCGTACTGGACAATTGAAGTATTTACTCAATTTTTGTCTCGCAGCTAGAGTTGTGGCTGGCAGCGGGTCTGGTCGAGTACAACTGGAGGTTTCCTGACAGGTGAAGCTGTTGTTTTGGTTCTCCGATATATCCAAATTCCTTGTAGCGACTCAAAAGATTATAACGGTGAAGCTCTTGGTGTTGCTAGCGAGACGGATAGCGAGTCAGAGTCCGAACGAAGAGGCCGGTGGCGCAAGAGCCGTTTGCGTGCCGAGTACTGTGACCCTGACAGTGCTGTCTACGGGGGCACTATGAAGCGGCGACGACTACTTGGCACGCTGCCTCGGTCGACGAGTCTAATAACTTGATTTAATATTAATAGTAATAGGCAGACAAAGCTGCTATTTAAAATATCGTCCTGTCTAACGAGAATAATAATATGAAACTTTCCTTGAGATAAGAGAAGAACGCCGGATGCTTGGAGGCAGCATAGACCATGTATACGTAGCAAGTTCTACAGGAGTATAAAAATAGACCATCGGCTTTGGACTATTACTGTATTGAACTGAAAATGTTTGAGCAGGACATCTTGTCGCAGGACCTCCTCGATGTATTCAGCCTATATGCCGCGGACTCTGTAAATGCATTTCCAAGGCTTCCAGGCTACCAAATGGTTTGGCACAGTAACAGTGGCTCTCGTTTCTCTGATGTCTAACCAGACTCCCCTTATTTGTCTTTATCGCTAAATATTCTGGACATTTCCAACTATGCAGGGCACGCTGATGACTTTCTACGCCAGTCGATGTAGCTAGGACCTTGCCACAATGACGACAGACGCAGTGGCCAGTTGCTTGTTGGTGCTGTCGAAGGGCAATTTTCGTTTCGCAATGCTTGTCGCAGGAGTCGCACTGAAAACCCATAATCAGAATTAATGCCGCGGCGATAATTTCACTGGAAGTAATAGCGTCGGAGAATATTAAACATATGTTTTCAAAACTATGGTAGAATGTGGTGTTTTGAGTGTTTAAAGGGGAGCTGAGTGCTTATCTTTGCGCCTACTATTCGTCCACGTTAGAAACTGTGTGTCAAGCTGTTATTGGGTAGGTCTTGGCACATGCATTGTGTCATTAAAGCCACGGAATGTCTATTAACACTGTACTTAATTGGCATGTATTAGTATGCCTTTGATTATTATAAAGCAGGCGTTTTGCACAGTGATTAGATACGGTTAGAGGGAACTTGCACCGTCGACTGCAACCCGAAAGCCTGGGTCAAAATGTCTCGGTCGAAATTTACTGGAATGCGTTCACGTTTGGCTGTGGATGCGGCCATGGACAAAGCGTGGTCGGCACTGGGACGGTGGGTATGTACGATTTCACGACCTATTTCGCAAGTCAAATCCCTTGTGCTTTCACAGAGGCTGAGTATCTTCCTATGCGCCGAGATCAATACGTTGTTTTTACTCGTTTGGTTTCTTTTGCATCCTCGTAGCCAATGTAATTATTATGCTTCATGGTAATCTAAAAGATGTGGTGGAGACCTACACACTCGATGCCGAGGCATCCAATCTCTACGTCCCCTAAGTTACCTCCTCACCTGCATCGCATCGCAGATCCTCCGTCGCTGGAAAGTGGACCATCGAATCTGACGCGATCTAGCGATATTCCGTCATCCATTAATCGAGCAACTGAACAAGGTCCTCGCCTATGCTCGCTATCAACCACAGTCTTGCGAAAGTCACCTTGAGTTGCGATGATACTAGACGTATAGTCAATAGTAAGTCGTACAGCTTGACAATGTCACGAGTTGTAGTCAGGTGATGACGCGTAGTTGGTGGGCGAAGTACGCGTCCCGAATGCATCAGTCGTGTTTTGGAACCTCGTCCTCCCATGAGCAGCGGCTCAAAACCGAAAAATGTCGAAAATGCTCGCCCTCGAAAAAGATTATAATGCCCCCCCTTCATCTCAGTCCCATTTTTCCAAGTTCTCTAACTTTAATCCAAACGAGAACGCGCCATTCGACGATGAATTTACGCGTTTAGCGGCATCGCAGAACTGGACCCCTGGGTCTCAGGTCTATCAGGACGAGCGTACGATCGCAATGCGAGAAGAACTCAAGACGCATTACTTTCCCCTATCGCAATTGTCTGGCCAATTTTCAAGCCCACTCAATAAGGAGGAGGAACTGAGTGGCTATCAGGCCCTTTGTAGTGAGGTTGGTTTGCCTCACAGCGCCACAGTTGAAGATTGCAAGAAACAATTAAAGCGTACGTTGGTCAATATCATCGACTTAATCGATGCGCGACGGACAGGGAAGCCAGTCAAATTATGGGAGAATTTGGCAGAGTTTTCAGAGTACACCCTGCGAGATGGCCATCACATCAGCGTGAAAGAAGCGAAGAAGGATGGGGGATATCTTGCCGCCTTGCTACAACGGCTCATCAGGCAACCAAAAGGATCAAGACGAAAGAGGATACCAGCTACATCTAAAGCGCGACCAGCTTCGGGGCGGGTGTCAAAGAAGGGACGTGCTTGACTTAAACATACTTGTACTATTAACAATAAATATGAACATGCAGGCGTTTAGTTCTATAATATATTTGTGCATATAACTACGGGTGGCGGAGTCGTATTATCATGATATGCTAGGTATAGTAGGCACCGTGGTAACGAACATGTTGCCGCACAGCCGTAATAATAGCGCTCGAAGCGTCACAATGCGCCTGTACTGCTCTGGCCATCACTTTATGACTTTGTAGTGCCGCTATGCCGCCTTGATGGGTTTCTCACTAAGGCACGCTAAATGAAATTGTGTATGCTTTGTTTTGCATGTGTCTCGCGATGTTTGAAAATTATGGTGCTAATAGACCTGCCGTTTGCCATATGCGGCGAAGGAACAGCCCTAATCCAACCTAAGGCACTATTCGCATCGGCGCGTAAAGGTCACAGTTTATGTTATTTCGCAATTACAGACAGGGGTTGTAACGTGTTTGGGGGGACCCTAAGATACGGTTAATCAAGAATACGCCAGCGGGGTCGCGATCGTCGAACGCTATGGACCTGATTCTTGAGGAAAAATACGCGTAAGTGGTTGTTGTTCTTGAGCTTCGCTATGTATAGTGGAACTATCGACGAACATTTTGGTCCCCTCTTGCCCGAGGAAAATGAGCAGTTCGAGCTTGATACGAGTGATGACGAAGCGACCAGCGATCACCCTGCTGAAAAGGAGTTCTATGATGGGCTCCGCACCTCAACTGCCAACTTCGACGGAGGTACCACTAGCGGCAACTTGGATGAGGTTGATAGCGTTGATCTCTCTGGTGCTAAGCGAATCAGTAGTAAGTTTAGGATAATTGCTGCGACAAGTTACGTGCTGACCCCTTAATTAGCTGAATAATTTATTGCAACGGTGAATTCTTCTATATTTGATGGTATATAGGCTCTGAACATGATTCAAAGCAAGTACTCTATGAATTATAGTGAATTAAATGGGTCCAAAACTGCTACTATGGACGATGAGTACTATCCCGTGTTTCATCTGGATATAATTAGCATTGTTAAGTAGTAAAGGTCTCTATTTATTCTAGCAAAGTTATACTACTCTAAATAACTACTAAAAGTAAAGGTAAGAGTAAATGAAGAAAGAAAAGAACGAAAAGAAAAAAAGTTAATAAGTTAAAAGACTGTTGAAGTGTTTTAGAGTCTTGGAGACTTGGGTGGAGTGGTTTGCTGTTGAGAGCGATGTTGTAGTCTTGGTAGTATTATAGTAGCAGTAGTTTTTAACCTTGTGTATTTTGTGGTCTATTTAGTGCTGATGTTTTGGAGCGGGTTTTCGACTTTCTTTGAGCTGTTTATTAAGGCTATTAGTTAACGATCGATATAGCTGCCATCATGCGGGCTCGATTCAGTATAAGTCCGATCGTTGTGTCGAGATGGTTGGCAGCGTAGGGGCTCAGAAGCGCTTGCAAGCCTTTGTACGTTTGCACTGTCTCCTTCTCCATCAAGCCGCCAGCTGAGAAGACTCCCCCCCAGAGTCAAGCGAGGATCAAGACGAGAACGAGAGCGGCGGCGGCGGCGGCAGTAGCAGTAGCAGCAGCAGTAGCAGCAGTAGCAGCAGCAGCAGTAGCAGCAGCAGTAGCAGCAGCAGTAGCAGCAGCATCAGCAGCAGCACTCATAGCGGCAGCGAAGAAAGACGCTTTCATATTATAGCAGCAGAGACAGAGGCCGTGCTCTGGGCCATGTATACGTATTGTGACGACCAAAGCAGCGAGTGTCGCATGACACCACAGCGAGCGAGCGCGCTCAGCCAGTTTCTACGACACTATACCGCTAGTCAGCATCCAAGCTTTCGAAGCTACAAGAATACAGCAACACTAGATAAATACTTTCGGACTACAACACAACTCGTTCTCTATACATCACGAGCGCTGGCTAGTAACAAGGAGATCTTCACTTCACGTATGAAAACACATAACAAGGACGATTTCAAGCATATTGCTCTAGAGGCACGTGGCAAGAAGGGAGCTCCTTATACACCAAAGCTGCCACAGGACCAGCTAGAGCCTACCAATTGTCAGCTTAAAGCCATTGCCGCATTGACATATGCAGCAGATATAATCATTGAAGCAGAGAGAATCCATAAAAGCAAGCTGAGTAGTAAAGAAGGAGGAGCGAGAGAGTCTACTACTACTACTACTACTAGAGAGATCCAAACGAATCGACTTCGAGAGAACAAGATACTGTCATATATACAAGAAGACGATTCCGAAGCTGAAGAAGAAGTAGAAGAAGAAGGAGAAGAAGAAGAAGATAACTCCAAGAGAGACGGCGGTAATAGCAACAATAGGACGGAGATGGAGAGCGAGACATACAACAGTGAAGACGAGAGCAGTAACGAATATAACAGCGAGGAGAGCGAGGAGAGCGAGAAGAGCATCCATCGCAAACAAATACCAACCAAGTCATCAAGGAAAGCAAAATCACTACGGAAAAGAGAGAGCAGCAAGCTTCAAAAATACCGCCAACACATGCAGGATATCGATACCACGGCGCCCCTAGAGATAAGACGAGCTATAGCGAAGGCTAGACGGGAAGTTCAAGAACAAGTGCAAGAACTACTCATGGCCATGATTGAGCATACTATTGGCGCATGTCAGTGGGCGTCGCCTATTACTAGCTTTGCTGCTATGCTCTCTCGTCAGATTACACCCTCCTATAAGCAAGGAGAAGGAACTACTACCACCCCCCTAGAGTCCATCGCGATCTCTACCAGTACGATGGAGGAGAAGGAGACTACCCTATACGATACTGTGACTATGTCGACATGGCAGCGATACCCACTACCTTGGGATGAAACGATCTCCAAGAAGGAGGTCCAGGATGCACTCCTCAGCATAGGTAATACTACTCCAGGTATGGATAATATTACTACTAAGATGCTGCGGGTCGCCTGGCCTAGTATCGGCGACGCTGTCACAATGCTCTACAACGGCTGCCTCCAGCTCGGGTACCATCCTATGGTATTTAAGTCGGCTGAAGTAGTTATGATCCCTAAACCTAACAAGAGGGATCTCTCAAACCCCTCTGCCTGGCGCCCTATCTCACTCCTCCCCTGCCTTAGCAAAGGACTGGAACGGGTGCTCGCCAGACGAATCGCCTACATGGCTGTCACACACGATATAATCCCTCCCGAGCTCGCAGGAGCTCTTCCTCGTCGCTCTGCTGTGGATATAGTCTCCTCCCTCGTCTTCGATATCGAGAGTAAAGTCTTCAAGAATCACCTAGTCGCAACCTTAGTTACTATGGATGTTAAAGGTGCCTTTGACGCTGTTCTGCGAAACCGGCTTATTCAGAGACTTCATAGACAAGGCTAGCCACTTAACCTAATACGCTGGGTGTATAGCTTTATGTCCTGCCGTATGGCACTCGCACGGTTCGGCAAGAGCCAATCAGACAGTATAGAACTCGCCTGCGGACTCCCGCAGGGCTCCCCGATCTCCCCGATACTTTATCTACTTTATATTGTGGATATCTACGCCCTCGACGGCGCAGACAAACGGTACGGATATGCAGATGATACGGCTATGCTGTTTATTGGCGCCTCCCTACAAGAAACCTCGCGACGAGCCGAGCAAGCGATCCAACGTATGGTCGAATGGAGCAAATCCACAGCAGTTATATTCGACCCTGCGAAGACAGAGATTTTGCACTTCACTAGGAAACGAGCCTCGGAAGCCCCGACAATCCGACACGAAAACAAGGTAAATAAGGCCGCGCCGTCGATGCGATGGCTTGGGGTATATCTTGATAGCAAACTAAAATTCAACGCCCATATTACCTACTGGAGACAGAAGGCGATAGTAACAGCGAACCTACTACGCAGCCTCAGCAACACGATCTCAGGCATCAAACCCTCCGCGGTCCGACGGGCAGTAAATACTGTTATTATCCCAACCATCTTTTATGGAATCGAAGTATGGCTCCTAGATGACGCCCCTGCTGCTGGACGCGGCCGGGCCTCCCAGATCACTCGAACAAGAATCACAGCCATCCAAAGCTGCCTGAATACAGCATGCCGCGCTATACTACCAGTCTGGAAAACGATCCCCGAGGTCTACATGTGGCGCGAAGCTGGGATTCCCACCGCCGAGGATCTAATACGAGCAGCCCGCTCAAGGATCTCGCTACGAATTGCTACCCTAGACCGAAGACACCCTATTCGCGAAAGACTAGACGATTTCGAACGTAGATATGCTCTAGAAGCACATCCCGAGACCCATCACTCTGTCATGTCAAGACATATTAGACTACTTGGATTATCTACCCTACATAAGGATATCCCAAGCGTACCCTTGATCCCTAGAAGGTATAACACTAACATCACTACCATACTCAACAAACATACAAAGGATATCGAAACCAAACTCCATCTCTAGTGGCTCAAGTCTCGACCCGAAGGCTACATTGTGTACTCCGACGGCTCGAAACTAGAGGACGGACGTGCGGGCTATGGGTTCATCATCTGCAAGGATGGTATACAGGTCGACTCAGGGTCCCGGCAGCTTGACCACAGAGAGGTGTTCGACGCCGAGATCTCCGGAGCACTCAAAGGCCTGAAACAGGCGATGACGCACAATCTCGAGCGACTTCCGGTCACTATCTGCATCGATAATTCGTCAGTAGTGAGAGGGATAGGGGGGACTGCTCCCATGTCCTCACAGGCACAATTCCGCGCATTCCAAGCCATCGGCGACGAGCACCCACGGCTCATCACGGTTCGCTGGACCCCAGGACATAAAGATATCCCTGGAAATGAAGCCGCAGACAGCCTGGCAAAGGCCGGCGCAGCTCTCCCTAACAAATAGGCAGCAACGACCTCATAGTAGAGGTCGGTTTTTTAATATGGGGGTAGGGTTAGGGTGAAAAAAAGAGGGGTAGAGGTCGGTTTGAAAAGAGGGGTTAGAGGTCGGTTTGCCACAATACCGCAAACCGAGCTAGAAAAGTATTTTAAAATATTGTAGAAAGTATACCCAATTGTAAAAGTAGAGCAAAAAAGTTTAATACTCCATTAGAGCAATATTAAAGCGTTGAGAGAGGCCAAAATATCAACCCAGGATTACCCAATTAGGCAAGTTGCGGGGGCGGGCCGTTGACACTAGAGTGGGTTCAGACCGGTCGGCGTGGATATATCGTAGCAAGCACAACATACAAGAGTATAGTTCCGACAAGATATACGTTTCCAGTCCATTAAAAGCATTCGAAAAATGAACAATATTGAGCCATTTATTTACGATACACGATTCCCATTCGTGTTTTGCACCGTATGTCGTTGGGCGTACGTTGTGGACGAGCTGTCGAGCCACATGAGAGCGCGTCACACGGAAAGTATCAGCAAAAGCGAAAGAGCACGTATCGCGAGCAAGATTCGCGAAATACCAGGGTTGATAAAGAACCAGGCTAGATTACGACATTATATATTGCCCGATCGAATACCAGAGCCGGTTCCACATATTGCCGCACCAGTCAACAATGGGTTGCGGTGTAGATATTGCCCGTACATAGTACGTGCCGTGCGCAGAATGCAGCATCATTGCCGTACACAACATAATTGGACCAACGATTGGGAAAAGGGAGGCAATGTAAGGCGAAAGAACAAGGAAATTCGTGATTTGCCATGGGAGAGCAATATTCGATGCCAAAAGATGTTTCCATCGCGTGCAGCGAGC